GTCTTGGTGGAAACTTAGTTGCTCCTACATCGAATGCTTCTGGGGAGTTGTTTTGCAGGCAGGGATGGACAAGAAATTCACTTTGGTTTGCATGTTTGCACTTCGGTTTGCATGAATGAGGCTTATCTGCCTCATTCACTTTTCCAAAGCAATATGCAAACCTAAACAGAGACGTGCTTTGAAATTCACGGGTCTCCGAATTCTGCAATGCAGTTCTCCAGTCAAGTAAGCCAAGTCATGTGTACAGAAATGCGTATACTAAGGGAAAGCATGCATTTGAAAATGCAAATACAGTGGTACCTCAGTTTTTGAACGTCTCAGTCAACGAACATTTCGGAACTCGAACGCCGTAAACCCGGAAGTAAATGCTTCTGTTTTTGAACACGCTTCGGAAGTTGAACGGCTTCCACCGAGTGTGTATGTTATTTTTTCTCAATTTTCTCTATTAAATTTGCAGGCTGCGCTTTGCACCTCGGTTTTCGAACGTTTCGGAGCTTGACAGTCTTCAGGAATGGATTACGTTCGAAAACCGAGGTACCACTGTGTTATAGCGAAAAAATGTAGTGGTCATAGATTGTTTGAAGAGGGACTTGGGAAAGACCTGGGTTCGAATCCCCAACCAGTCAGAAAGTTCGCTGGGGGTGAACTTGTGCCATTCGCTGCCTCTCAGCCTAAACTACTTTGCAGGGTTGTAGTCGGGGATTAAATGAGGAAGGTGGAGAACCACATACGCAACCTTAAGTTCCTTGGAGGAGAAAGGTGGGATATATATGTCAGATATACCATATATATAAATAACAAACCTTATTTTGTTCTTGTAAACTCCTTTGCAAATCCAAATGACTGAATGACTGAACGGGAGAGAATTGTTGTTAGGCCTAGAGCTCAGTAACCTCCAAAGCTCACCTGGCCGCTTTTGGCAAGCCTTCTCTTTCCACTAATGTGAGTAATACAAAATGCACATTTCACCTCTGAGAATCACATCTTTGCCTCTTTGAATTCTGGAGGAATAATGCACTTGGTCTGGTTAGCCAGCCAAATAGCGTAGCAAGGGGCTCCTTGCTTCAGGGAAAATCAATCGCTCCCATTAATAATTGGATGCCTCCCTAAATAGCTCTTGCGATGGAGAAGACAGAACCCATGCGCTCCAGCCGTCCCAATAATACTGTAGGCAGAATGCAGCCTGCCCCTCTAGGAAAAGATTTGTTTTGCACATGTAACCGTGCTTGTTTATTTCATTATTAATGAATGCAAGCAGCCAAAGGGAAACAGCCATTTGCATACCTTTGATTTGAGTGAGGTGAAGCTACATGAGAAAATCAGAAACTGTGCATAATTTAGAAGCCAGGAAGAAAGAAAAAAATCACGATGCATGGAGTTGCAAAAGTTGGGTGTGTGCCTTGCAGGTTGGCATATCCAACAACTGATCCTCTTCAAGCCGTCAAAATTATACGGGATCAAAACCAACGCATGATTCAAGCAAAGGTCAGGTCCTATGAGACCTAAATTCCCACTGTATTAATTCCCGCCCCCTCCCAGGGCCCTATAGAAGCGAACAGGGGGAAGACCTGTGGAAAGGTAGGTGAATATGCAGTTTGCCACTTGCCAGCTGTAGACTTCAGAGATGGGCTTCAGGATCAACTTTGAAAGATGTATGCTGCCCACCATGTGAGTTATAAAGTCCGCTTTGGATGTGAAGGCTGTTTTGACTTTGGGCAGGACCAGAGTGGGAGACAAGTGTGAAATCCACAGAAAAATGGTTTAGTGTGGGTGAAGCCTGGGCAGGACATGTTGAGCTAGAGGTGCAGCCTGTGGCCGATTCACACGGCAGTTTATTCCATTGTCCTGGCGTTTCCCTGACTGTGAATTTCTGCATTATGGTTGACCTTTCACACGACATAAAAGGCACTTCTGGGAAAGCAATGGAATATAACTCTTATTTAGTGTGCATTACTGTTATTTGATTCCAGGAAAAAAAATCCATTTGCAGTACCTCCTGCCAGAAAATCGCAGGGGTGAAGTGATTAAATTTGAGGCAGTACACTGGCATAACAGATCTTTCCCGGTGTTCTCTTTTTTTTATAAATATTTTTTATTAACAGGCCAATCACATCACATTCTTCAAATCACATTAGTTCCAAATTATACAGCCAAATTTTAAATTTTGTTGAGGGTACCCATACATCCAGCTCCGCACGAGTCCAAAATTCCGGATAACTCCAGGCATCACTTATTTTACTGCTTTAATTAGACAATTCTATCCAGTTCGATCCGGAAAGTCCTTTATTACTTTCTTTCTCTTCTTGTTGTTATCATATATTCCTTTCTTTGCGATCTCTGATGATTTTCACAAACAGATTGAAAACTGGCATCTCTGTGTGGGTTTTGTACTCTTCAAAGACCATATCGCTCAGGGACAGCCTCTGTTCAACGCTTCCATAAACAAAATTAATCTTCAGTCTGTCCTTTATTTTTTCTCAGGCTAGCCAAATAAATCAAATCAATCAGGAGGCTCTGTCAGGTCAAACTTGCATTCCAACATTCCTTCTATTTTGAACGATCCTGATTCTCCTCCCCCTGTTCTTCTTTCTCCGGCAAGCCTGTCTTGGCGAGACGCCATTTTTAAACTGCGTCATAAAAAATTTCCTCTTTCTCACCGTTCACCAATCTTCCCTCCTGTTGTAATCCATCCCACACAGTTCTTAAAATCCTGCTTATGATTAGTAAAACGCGACGATCTTATTTCTTTCTGGGGTGAAGGGTTATCAATATCACATCGTGCAAAGAAAAAAAGAGTTTTTTCCTCCACCCCCCCCTTCGTTCCAAACATACAGTCTCCTAGTGGTGATTCATCAGAAGATTTACTTATCCATCCGTCATTCCCGGTCACAGAGATCCATTAATCGGCAGTCTTATCGTCGAGCTTTACTTGATGTATGTGCTTCAGCTTCCTTTCCAATCATATGTTTCCAATTATAATTCCGAGCTGAAGCAACCAGCACGCGCTAATTGGAATCGGCGTCAGGAAGATCTGACTTCACCGAGGGCTCGTGCCAAGTGTTCGGCACCCCCATCTCTCGGATCAGGGGGTGCATTGTGAACACCGCTGGCAAGACAGTGCCCCCCCCCCCACTGTCCTGGGTGGGGTGGGGTGGGAAGGCTGCATACTTCCCACAGCAGCCCCTTAATTACCTCGTATGGGTCAGAGAGATGTTATTGTCGGCCATCTTCCAACGCGCCACCTGGTGGCCCCCCTTTCCCAGTGTTCTCACAAGGGAACAGAAGAATGCATGGGCAGAAATGGTGGAGCAGTAGCGATATTGCCTGCTGGTGTTCACTGTTGTGTATGAAGGATATTGACAAGCTGGAAGGTGTGCAGAGGAGGGCAACCAAAATGATCAAGGGTCTGGAAAAGGCAAGTCTTAAGAAGAACGGCTGAAGGAGCTGGGTATGTTTAGCCTGGAAAAGAGGAGACTGAGAGGAGATATGATAGCCATCTTCAAATATCTCAAAGGCTGTTACATGGAATATGGAGCAAGTTTGCTTTATCCTACTCTGGACGGTAGAACTCGAACCAGTGGCTTCAAGTTGCAAGAAAGGAGATTCAGACTAAACGTTCAGAAAAACTTTCTGACAGTAAGAGCTGTTAGAACGTGGAATAGTCTCCCTTGGGGGGTGCGGACGCTCCTTCGTGGGAGGTTTTTAACCAGAGGTCGGATGACCATCTGTCATGGATGCTTTAGCTGAGATTCTTGTATTGCAGGGGGTTGGACTAGATGACCCTCAGATCCCTTCCAACTCTATGATCCCAGCATGGCAGAGCATAACACTTTTGATCTTCAGGGTATGCGTCATGGCAACAAATTTAATTTTAACCAGTTTAGGCTGCCATCCTAATCCTACTCTCCAGAGTGTATGCACCAATGAATTCAATATAATTTATTTATGGGTAGGCACGCTTAGCACTGTAGCATTACTGAATTATTATTTATACCCCGCCTCCCCGCACCCCTCACGGGAATTAGCTTCAATACTTGAGGCACCAGACGACCTTAACGCAACATCACATACTCAACGCCCTTAAGAAAGTTGCCAAACTTCCCTGAGAATGTTGCAAACTTTTCCGCATTCTGCAAAGCACGCGGGAGTGTTGTCAGCGCGCTAAGCAAGACGAGCAGGCGCCTACGTGCCTAAGCCGCAGATATGCTGTTTTTACAGCGCTGTGCAAATCGCGCATCAAATGTGCAAGCAAGCAGCGCCGGTTTTGCACAGCTCAAAGCAAGCGCATGCGTTTCTAATTTCTTTTCGCGAGAACTGTTATTTTTGCATTCATCGACAAACGCATGTCTGCACCTGTCTTGCGAGTGCTATGTTTGCCCTATTCTGAAAATGCATGCGTGCACTTTTCTTGCAAGTGCTATTATTTCCACATTACTCTGCAAACGCATGCCTGCACCTATCCATCTATCTAGACTAGTACTATTATTTTTTGCATTACTCTGAAAATGCATGCATATGCAGCTTCTCTTCTCCAGCAAAGCGCGCGCCTCACTGTCAAAATCGGAGAGCAAAAAAAAAACCACGCACGGACAGAAAGAAGAAACAACGACCCAATCCTATTCATCTAACAGGGAGCTCCTTATTTCCTTCCCGGGACCTCGAGCCCCGCCCCGCTCTCACCTCCCATCTCCCGCTCCTCCAATCAGGGAAGCCCTTCCCACGCCACGCCCCCTTCTCTTCTTGCCCCTGCGCGGCCAGAACCAGGAGCCGCGGCCGCCCCAGCGCGCCTATCGCCAGCCCGCGCTTCCGATTGGCTCCCGCGCGCCCACGTGGGCTCACCCGAACGGCCCTCCCCCATTCCGCCACGCCCCTTCTCTCTCTCACCGGCGTGCGAGCGCGAGAGCTCGGAAGGGGGGGGCGGGGCGAAGCGTGCGCGCGGAAGGGGGAGGGCGAAGGAAGGAAGGGAAGGCGGCGCGGGGATTGGTTGCTAGGGCGCTGACGTCAGAGACCCGGAGGGCGGGGAGAAAGCTGAGGCACGGAAAAAGGTCAAACTAAAGGCGAGGAGAAGCGGCGGCAGCGGCGGCCGGAGCGGCGGAGGGAGGGGGGGCGGATTGGGCGGGAGGGGAGAGAGCGAGAGCCCCCCCCGCACCCCCCACCCCCACAGCAGGTACGGGCGGGGGGGAGGAGGAGGAGGAGTGGGGTGCGCTGTTCCCCGTGGCCACGCCCCCTTCCTCACCTTTTGGGGGGGGCATAGAAGAGGTGCCCCCCTGTACCCTTTTCTCATTGCTTCTCCTCAGGAGCCCCTGAACTTATAGGGGTGACATGGAGGGGGGGGAAGCCTCTGGTTCCCCTCATGTAATGTGTGCCCCCCCCAAACCAACATACACAGATAAGCACCCTAAGGTGCCAGCCCTCCTCACAGTCTTAGGTGCTTCTGGCTGCCCCCTATGTTTCTTATAGTTCTCTCCCCCCCCCCATTGGGGTCAAAAGCGGAAACTGCCCCCCCTCTTTTTTCTGGCACTTCTGCAAAAAACAGCAACAGCCCCCCCCCAGTAGGGGTGACCCCTGTGCTTCTCCTGCTGTCCTCAGGAGCCCTAGACTTAAATGAGGAAGTCTTTCCTTCCCCTCATGTAATGTGTCCCTCCTCCCCCCCCAACGCACACATAACCACCCTAAGGTGCCAGTCCTCCTTGTGGTCTGTGTGTTTCTGAGACCTATGTAGGTGTGTGTGTCCCCACCTCACTTATGGGGTCAAAAGCAGGAAGCGCGCCCCCCCCCCCACTTTTTCGGCACTTCTCTGAAAGAAAACGACAGCCCCACATTGAAACGCACCTATATTCGGCTCCTCAAATAAGTCTCTCTGCTCTTTAGCAGGGTTTTTTTGGGGGCGGGCGGGCACCATGCTAGAGTGCCCCCATATCTGTCCCAAGTGTCCTGGAGAAGTACCAACAGTCCTGTGCTTGTCTCTTTCCACACTACTGCTCCCACCTAAGTTGACAAGCTTCCTCCTTGCCGTGTTCCTGGGCATTGAGGATGTCAAGGGAATGTGAAGGGTAGGGTGGGGGCTTGCTGAAAAGTGAGCTGGTACAAAAAGGAAAGGTGCTGTTTGAAAAAGGGTCTTTGTTCTTTATGCTATGGGCAAGCTTGCACACACGCACACACACACACAAATACATATATGCATGCCATGACCTCTGCATGCCCCACAGGGTCCTTTTCTGGTTACGTTGGGTGATGTGGAGCGGAGATAAAGATGTTTTCCCTGCTTTGCTGTCAAGATTCCTTTAGGGAGGAATGTCACAGATGGGTTGGAAGAGTTGGTGATACAAGACGCAAAAGAGTTCTGTCGTTTTGCCCTGGTCTTCCCTGTTAGGGCAGCTGTACTGCATAAGAAGGCAGCTCTGATTTCTGTGATTATCTTTTTGGAGCACCCTGTCTTGGTGTGATTGCTGTTTGACACTTTAGTCGTCCTTTAGGGGGCAACTGGGTGTTTGGGGAAAGGGAGACAACCCAGCAGCTGGCAGAGCTTTCCCTTTCTCTGTAGAATTGAGGAAGTGGGGCAGGGGATATCCGGAGTGTTTCCCTCAAGCTTCCCAGCAAAATAGTTTCTATAAAAGACGGATATCAAGTGACAGTTTTGTGTAACACTCTTCACTTCCTTGTTTATCTGCTTTCCTTAGCTAGGCTTGCCACTTCTTTAAGATTGTTGACGGATGATGTTGTACGGACTAAATATATATATATCCCATGATGTCTGATAGGGAGGGACTGGGACTAAAACATCAGATTTGTTTCTTCATGGCCATTGCAAGCAGTGTTGGATTGAAGGAAAGGGAGTTTGTGCAAGGAAGCGAGAATGAGACGAGAAGTCTCGGAGCTGTAGCGTATAGCAACAGCAGGTTGCTCCTGAGCTGGAAACTTGGGTTCTGCTTTCTGAAACTTTCTGCTGACAGTACACTTCTTAGGGGGAATCTGAGTGACGGCTGATGCAGCATTGCTGCTCAAGATTTTTTTAATAAAAATTGTGGTTCATTGAAATTACTTCATTTTGATGTGCTGTACTCAGGCCTGCAGTGATTGACAGTTGTGCATCTAAGATGTGGATGTTGCCTGTTCACTATATGAGCAGTTGCTGCTTTGTATCAGGAAACTACTCTATTTATATCGTTGTTGTGTTTTTTTTTACAGGGCTAAAAGAAGAAATCACATGTACACCTAAGTAGATGATTGTTTGAAATAAGTGCGAAATCTCTAGAATGAGAACAGATGTAAATTGCTGTAGTCATAGGGTGACTTCTCTGCAATCAGCCTGATAGCTCATCACAGCACAGTCTTAATTGAACCTGCCAGACTTGTCAGCATGCTTACTCAATGCTATCCCACCCTGTCTAGTTTTGCAGAACAGCGGTAAAGAATGCTGGTGAGGGCAAAGCTCCACAGAGTAATGAAAAGTGAACTTCTTAGCATTTTGACATCAAGGTAGAGAATTCTTCCTCCCAGCTGCTTTCCTCAGGAGGCTTATCCAGTTTGTTGATTTGAATAAAAATGGGCACAATTAGCTCAATTAGCTGCTATATAAAATCTCAGTTTTCTGGCCTGATTCCTCCCGCTCTCGGCCCCACAATTCCCAAGGACTAGAATTATTTTGGTTTTGCTATAATTATCCTCATATGGGTGGGGCTCTTCGAAGGCTGCTCACCTTTTCTTTTTTTGGGCTGCCTTAGCTGTTTGTAAGAAGTTGTGGAGAGGCTGAGAGATGGCCCTGCTTTCTCTTTTCCCTTCCCAAACAGTTTGGACTGAACACAGCGGAGTTGAGTTCACTTGCTCTAATAACATATCACATGAGGGAGGGCATAACCTCAGAAGGGGTATTGAAAGCAAAAAGTGGAGATTCCATTGGCCTTTTTACAAACTGGGTTAAAAATTAAGCTCTGTCTGTGGTGTGTTAATGTGCTCCTGGAAAATATGTCACCAATTTCATAGCTGCCTTCCACATCTTGAAGTGTGGGTAAGAAGCAGTAACTCAGCAGATCATTCCAGATCTTATGACCTTAGTGGGTTTGTGGAGGTCACCAGCCTAAATATGTTTGTGTTCTCTATAGCAAGTGGGACAAGCATCTTTTCTCAAAACCTTGAGGTTTTATTCACATTGGCCTTTTTTTTTGGCTTTTTTTTGCTCATGAGATCTGGAACAAGTACACAATCTCTTGCAGTGCAATACACAGCTCTTCATATATGTCATGTTGTAAGTCCCTTTCAAATCTGAGGAGATGGTTAACTTGTTGGGAGGAAAGACAGTGTTGCTGTGAGACATATTCTCAGTGGTAGTGCCTGTCTGGATACTTGTACGTGCATCACGAGTATAAGGAAGTAGTTATGTAAAAGAGTTTTCCATCCTATCCCACCTACAGCCTTCCAAGCAGCCCTGAGATCAGGATTTCCCTCATACTGAACATTATGGAGAATGTGCTGTTCCTTTATCTTCTGTGTTGGACATCATTGAGTTGGGAGCAGGTTGCAGCAGTTACAGTTACGTTGTGTGGGAAATGGGAGTTTGGGTACAGTCTAGATCAGGGTAGGGAAACTGTTTTGTCTACATTATCAGGATCAGCCTCTTTGACCAAACCTGGCAGGTGTGCAAGGCTGCCAATGTGTGACTCGCAAGGCATCACAGTGACGTCTTGGGCCGAAGTACTTTGGACTCTCAGAGTTGGGACTTAAAAGCACCTTGTGGGCTGCTAAAAGGGAGGGGTTGTTCCTTCATTTTAGCAGAGAGTTGCATAGAATCACCTCCTAAAACAGTGATTTAAAAAAAGAAGAAAAAACCCTCCATTTTAGCTGATTTTGATGCACTTCTCTTTCTGAATGTTTGGAATCTCCTGCTAAAAATGGGAGGGTCCCGCTATTTTGGCAGGGGATCAGATGCAGGCTTTCATGGAAAACTGCCTAAATGATGTAGAGGAAGCCCATTTCCTTGAAACAAGAAGGTGTTTGCATGGAAACTGGCCAAACTGAACAGGATTGAACCCTGCTCCTCAGCTGATAAGTGGGGGTTCATTCCTGCTCAGTTTGGCTGTGCACTTCTGGGAACACGTACCCAGCCAATGCAGGATTTAACAATTATCTAGTGCCTATTAGGTGATATCATGTGTGATGTCAGCCAATGGGTGAATGGGCATAGTTTTGGGGAAGTAGCCTGGCAGTTCAAGTTGGACTCCTGGTGGGCCAGGATTGGCTTGAGGGCTGGAGGTTCCTCACTTCTGGCTTAGATTATATACAGTGGTACCTCGCAAGACGAATGCCTCGCAAGACGAAAAACTCGCAAGACGAAAGAGTTTTTCGTTTTTTGAGTTGCTTTGCAAGACGAATTTCCCTATGGGCTTGCTTCGCAAGACGAAAACGTCTTGCAAGTTTGTTTCCTTTTGGATTTTCAATGCATTCCTATGGAAAACCGTGCTTCGCAAGACGAAAAATTCGCAAGACGAAAAAACTCGCAGAACGAATTAATTTTGTCTTGTGAGGCACCACTGTACATGCGTAAGTGAAACCTTTTGAAAGAGGTATCCATGTGTACAGTGTTTCTAGAACAGTGTGGTATGAGGAGGAAAGTTCAGCTTTCAAGTTGTTCTCAGGTGACATCTACATACATCACCATATTAAAACAATAGTTGTACTAGAGTAAAATACCTGTTCATATCTTAAGAATAGATACTGCTGTGCAGTTGTGGGGAAGGGAGGGCAAATGGAGAAGAATCTGTACAGTCTCTCTCATCTGCTGTTTCTTGTATTGGTTTCCAGGAGAAGACAGAGCATAAGCCCTCGTGAAATATAAGGTGCAGTGTTTGGCCATGTCGGTGGCCTTCTCCCCGTTGGTGGATGAAGCAGTGGCCTTAGCAACCATCTCCTCTCTGGGGAGCGGAGAGAATTCTTTCTCCCTCTCTTCCTGCCCCTCAGGTGTGGCCACTTCACTGCATGAAGTATGTTTGCACATGTTTCACAGTAAAATAGCCCCCAGAGCACTTCAAAGTACTTCACAGAGCTGTAATTTCAGCTGCTCTGGGGAATCCTTTATTGTGGCACTTCCACGAGCAAATTCCAACTACTGGCATTTCTCGGAGCTAATTCTTGTGTGAATGAATCCTAAAATCGGCTTCTTTCAAACGAGAGTCCAAAACTTTTCCGTTTCATAAGTTCATTAGTACCAGTGAATGGGTTCCAACTGCAAATGCAGTATTAGGAAAACTTGGCAGTTTCTGTTTATTAAATGCAAGTAAAATAAACATGCCCATTTCTGGGGAAAATTGTGGAACACCAACATCACAGAGAGAATCTGAAGAAAACTTGGGGAAGGTGGTCAGTGGGACAGATGGCAATAGAAGGGAAAGCGGCAATCAGTTTCTTCTAAACTGAAAAGGAGAAAGATGGGGATGTTAGAGTGCTTTAAGTCCTAGAAATTTGCCACTTTCTGTTGCAGTGTTCAAGCAGTTCCTCCAGTTGACAGTTACCAGGGAGTTGCTGCCAAGCGTCTTTCTCAATGCCTGCCTTCGAAATCTACCCTGTCCTGGGCACATCTCACAGTCCTGTCTTAAAAATGCAACAACTCAAGCTTTCTTCAAGAGGCAGCAATATATTAAAGTGCAGTGATGTCGGTTTTCGGGGGAGGGGGGGCTGAATTGAGACTTATTTTTTTTTTGCATCAGGACAGGGGGAAAATTGGTTGGCATAAGAAAATACTCTCACATGCTGGGGTGTGATCTAATTTAGCACAATCAGTTTGCTTGTATTTATTAGACAAAGCAAAAAAGTATTACATTCCTAGCTTGCCTAGTATTGTATTTGCAACTGGCATCCATTCATTTTCTGCAAATGAGCTTACAAAAATGGGATTTCTGCATAGGAAAATGAAGCCCCATAATTTTTTCTGCCCCATGCTGCTGGATTTTCTAAACTCAATTCTATATACATCAACGTTTGTAAGCAATTTAACACTAGTGACAACATTCCAAGCAGTAACCAGGTGTTTACTTTGAAAACGTGAACCCTAGGAGGTATTTCTACCCGACTTAAAGTCTATCTTAATTCTTTTTAGGGAGAATTGAAGAATGTGGGGCAGAGCTTAATGTGAACCTTCTTGAAGTCCTTCTGCAATTTTCTAGTTCTCTGTCTCTTAAGTTTATATGAATGCGATCAAAGTTGATAGGTACTTGTGGGTCAGAAATTCTTTCTGTTCCAATTTCCATCTATTCCCCCCTCCCCTGCTCACCCCCACTTGCTGCCTGAAACCTTGTGTAATATTTATCTTGGTGCTAGAATGTTTCTGGAATACTTGAGGTAAATTGGATGAGGCATTTGGGAGATAAGAGGGTTCAACAAAAGGGGTGACTTCACTTCTTGAATATTCTTCAACTCTGCGTGAGTTCCCTAACCACTTGGCTCACAACTTTTCTAATCTTTTGCTTTTAGTGGGAGTTAATAAATTGGGCCAGCTCTCATGTGGAAGTTGGCAAGTCTTAGTGTTAGGTACATATTTAATTGCAGCCTTTATCTCTCAAATGCTAGGATAAATTGCAGGGGCAATGCCATGTTTCCATAGATGTGGGAGGAGAGGCATGGGTTGTGCAACTTTGCAATAATTTATTCTGGGTTGCTTAGCCGCAACCTGTATCGTTTGCTGTTGTTCCTCTCTTCGTTGTGTTACCATTCCCGCCAGTTACACTTCCGCTGGGGTTTTGTTTTTTTAAAAGGGATTGTTCAACGTGTTCTCTAGGGGCTGAGGGCCATGGCTGCATGCTTGCACTTCATAGTACTGCCTTGTTTAACACAAAACAGCATTTGTGATGTGCTCATTCTCCCATCTAGTTGGTCAATAGCTCTTGACAGATGGGAGAGTGAGAACTATTTGTACAGCCTGTAAAGTGCAGGAACAAAATGCAGGACTGTCTTCCTCCCAACAGTTAGTGTTATTTCTTAAAGTTTGAAGGAGAATGAGCAAGTGTTGCATGCGATCATCCTAGCACAACCTGCCCGTGATCTGCACGTGTCTTTATCCTTACGTGAGGTTCCTGCTTGTCTCTGGTGGAATTTTTAAAATGCCAATGCTAATGCATTTGTTTTGTACAACAGGGCACTCAACATCTTGTCTGCCATAACTCAAATACTGCACGCAGGTTGGACGATGCACGTGGTTGAAAAGTTGTTTATGTAGAACTTGCACTGTGCAAAGTGCTTTAGAAAAGCCTTGCTCATCATAATCGTATGAGGTATATTTTTCAGATTTTGCAGATGACAAAATAAGACTGTGTAGCTGAAAATCGTTTTGAGAGTTCATAAGAGCTGAGGTGGAATTTGGCCTTTTAGATCATGGGTGAGTGGTGTAGCTTCACATCATTAGCTTTGTGAAACCATGATATATTTGTAATTGGTTTTCATCTCGGGGGGGCCTAGTTGCTGCAAAATTTGGACATTGGGGTAAGGTGTAAAGGAAGGAATGGGTTGTGTTATAGGTGATGGAGCTCATACAAATTAAAAGTCATATAATTCAAAACTAGTTATACAGCAGACCCCTAATGTCTCTTTGGCTTTTCTCTGTTTTCTAAGCAATTACTTCTGCATCTTCAAGCTTTCTCCTTGACCGTGAAGGCTAAACCACCTTAAAATTTTCAAGTTTGTATGTTCCTGCCAGATTTTTCATCTTGTGCTGGCATGTGGCACAACTCACAATCCACTGTAGGCTGATTCCCTTTTGGAGAAGCACAAGTTTGGCCCTAATGTTGCACACGAGCATAACTGGAAAACCTCCAAGATGTGACTTAATACCTTAGCAATACTGCATAGAAGTTTATTTACTTGGGACGTGGAGCTCTGGAACATAAGCAAAAAAGATACAGGGCTCTGTCCCAAGGAGCTTGCAGTCTGATGTTTTGATAGGAGTGGAGATGATAAAAGGAGGACCGGAGAGGGATGTGCAAGCACTTCATGGAATAAATAGTTTTTGAGGGAGACATTTGAAGAAAGAGTGAAGTAGTGCCCAGAAGTTTACAACATTGGGCCTTGTTCTTTGCAATCTGTGTGCCCATATTGCAGCAGAATCTGTGGTTAATCTTGTTCCCAAGTAATGGTAATTGAGTTTACACTGAAGTGAAAGTTAGAAAGATAAAAGGAAAACAAAATATTAATGTTCAGTGACCTAGACAGCATTTCTGTTCCATGTCCGAAATTTCCTCTGAGGCATTTTTTTGAATCCCCTAGGAGTAAGGTCTCTGGGAAACTTCATTGTGTTTTTAAAGAACGGAAGCTGAATGAAAGATGCAAGAAGGAAAGGAGTGGTTGGGTCGACAATTTTTTTTAAAAAGGGTGATATTCAGCTAAATTTTACACTGAGTGAACCCACTGAAATTAAAGTTTATGACTAAGTATGAGTCCTGATTCGCGGTTGGTGCTGTAGGTTAAACCACAGAGCCTAGGGCTTGCCGATCAGAAGGTTGGCGGTTCGAATTCCCGGAATGGGGTGAGTTCCCGTTGCTCGGTCCCTGCTCCTGTCAACCTAGCAGTTTGAAAGCATGCAGTGCAAGCAGATAAATAGGTACCGCTCCAGCGGGAAGGTAAACGGTGTTTCTGTGAGCTGCTCTGGTTTGCCAGAAGCGGCTTCGTCATGTTGGCCACATGACCTAGAAGCTGTACGCTGGCTCCCTCAGCCAGTAAAGCAAGATGAGCGCTGCAACCCCAGAGTTGTCCGCAACTGGACCTAACGGTCAGGGGTCCCTTTACCTTTACGAGTCCTGATTAGCTTATGAGGAAATTCCTCAGAACACTACCTGAAGATGACTAAAGTAGAGAATAAGCGAAACTAGCACTGGGGGATAAGAACACAAAATAAAACATGCCAAAATAGAATTTAGAGTTAAGCTGAAATGCGTCTTTGCCTTTCAAAACTGTTTGTAATTTGCAAATGGCCTTTCTCTCTTTTAGCTTTTCCATAGAATCACAGAATTGTATAGACCATGAGGGTCATCTAGTCCAACCCTCTGCAATGCAGGAGCCTTTTTGAACCCATGACCCCATGATTAAGAGTCTCGTGCTGTACAGACCAAGCTATCCATCGAGACCTTCCCCTTTACCTGCTACGACTTTTGCCATCTTTTCTGCTGCTTTGCTTACAAGTTTTCCTTGTGGGATTCGTGTGGCATCACCACAGAATTGCATGGTGGAATTTTGCTGTCCCGATTCATGTGACCTTTTGAGTAGGCTGGTGGTTAGGTTTGGTGGTGTCATGTATCATGTTGTGGCACAGCATTTGGTACATAATATTACAGAAGCCATTGTTGGCATGACAGCAAACACGGTGGCAGAGGGGAAATTTAGAAGCCATGGGAAAAAATAGTTGGCTCCCCTACCTCAGTTGTGTGTTGTTTTTTACACTAGATTGTATATAGATTGACCTACTACACCTTCAACATAAGAGGCCCAGCACTGAGCCTCCAAGTGTTTGAGACTGTTCTACTACCCACCTTCTGTTTAGGATTAAAAGGCACACACATCTATTCTGCAAGCAGGAACTGTGCTATTGCTTAGCATATGAATAGGAGAACAAATGCAAATGCTAAACATGCAATTGTTAGCTACTTACATACCTCACAGTTAAATATTAATAATAAATGTAGCTGTTTCTTAAGCTGTGTAACATAATATGCACAAATTGAATTTTATACAGACTAGCTTTCTTTTTCTCCCCCGCCCCTTTGTCAACAGATCAGCTGTCTGAAAGGGAAGTGAGAAGGTTGTACAGGGCTAGTAAAGGGTGCAACAGACACACCGACAAAGACATGTGAGCAGCTCACTAGACTCAAGGATCTGAACTTGTGCTACTGGGCTGTTTTCTTTGCATATTGTTTACATTCAGGAAAGCTATTTTTGGTTTCCCCAAAACAATGCTGTTTGACCTTCCCATTTTTAAAGAGCAGAATAATTAACTTCATTAACCTCAAAATCAAAACTTTTCTACATTTTAAAGCAGGTTTTTAAAAAGCAAAACAAACCCATTATTTATTTGTGTTTGCAAACGAGTCTTCCTGGAATTCCTTTTAAGGTCATTTCTGTGGGTGTCCTTTATTAAACCTCTTAAAATATTTATTTCCCTCTCGATGTTATAAAATGATAACGTTGCTTGTATGATGACTGAGAAGGATGTTTTCCTTCCAATCGTTTGTTTACAAAGTAAAACAGATTTCACACATTTTAAGAAGGCCATAAATTCAAGGATACTTTATATTTGTATTAAGTTCGGATTTCGTTTTACAGTTCCTTTAAAACAACAACAGAAACATTGTCCATGCTTTCAATTGTGCCCAGATACACACTGGAAGGTATTAAAACAAATTTAAGACTGATTCGGTCATCTGGGGGCTGTAATCCAAAACATCTGGAGGGCACCAGGTTGGTGAACGGCTACTCTAGAGTAACACGGTGCCTAGATTTTAAAAGGAAAAGACCAGATTTTAAACAGGAGAGCTTGATACAGCTGTCTGCAAGGAAGCCTGCTCACTGGTGGGTTCTTTGCTTGCTTTTATTGTCTAACATTTAGATAGTTGATGGTTAGACTCCAGCATTAAGAGTAAAATAAAATGGGATGTTCTCCCAAGACGCCCCCATTCTAAGCAAGTTATGAACCTGCCTGCCCATTGAGATAGTTGTCTGAGGCCCTCCTATGTGTCCCATTATCCTGAGAATTGTACCCAGCTGGGACCACAGAGAGAGCTTTCCCCCTGGTTGTTTCCAGTCCTGAATTTTCTTCCTGAGGGATGCTCATCCTCTTTCCTCTCTAATGGCTTCTCATAGGATGGTCAAAGCCTTCCTTTTCCAGAAAGGGACATAAACAATTGCTCTCTTTTTGAAGTGGTTTTAATTGCTGCAGTTAAATCAACATTTTTTAAACAGGAGGGCGCTTTCTATTTTTAAATTTTAGTGCTTTTATGGCTGCTTTATTATATTGAATTGTGAAATTGTAACTGCGATTACGTTATTGTTTTAACTTAGCTGCTTTGGACTTGTTGAGGAAAGACTGGGTATAAAATGTTGCAGAAATAAATTACGTATTTGCATAGAATTGTAGATTTGGAAGGGATCCTGAGGACCATTTAGTCAAAAATCTCCTGCAAAGCAGAAATGTGCAGCTGTCCCATACGGGAATCGAACCTGCAACCTTGGCATTATCAGCACAGCACTCTAACCAACTGAGCTATTCATCGAGTCTTATTATTTTAAAAAAGATGTGAAACTACCTGGGGTTTGGCCTAGGGACATTTTCAACAACTGGTAGATAGGTAATGCATCTTTAGCATGTGGCCTGACAGAAGCAAGACAGTTGATGCAGTTTTACACTTTTTGATTTGCTGTATCTTGAGATGTGCACAAATATATTTGTATGGGTACCTTAAAGACAGACAACCGGCACTGAAGAATGTATTTCTGTTCTGTAGGATGCAGACTACTGGATGTTGGCTTGTCGCAAGTTGTATTAGAAGACTCCAAGATTCAAGAAAACAGCCCTAACAGTATGTTGGTAAGTTTAGAGGGTGACTTGGAGGTTTGGAGGGTCACTTCACGTGGGGTGGGGTAACAAAAAAGTTTGTCTCTAAAATTAATAGGGGTACAGTAGGAGGAAGGCGAACAGAGAACCTTCGAAATCAACTTGACAGAGTTGGAACCACTCCACTGAAAAAGTTATATAACAGTTAGTGCCAGAAATGGCCACCTCTGTTCTCGAAAGGCTGAACAATATTAAGAACATTTAAATGTATGAGCATATGACATTTCTGCATGTTGTCAAATGGTGGGTCCATATGTGTGCCAAATGGCAGTAGAATCTCTCCAGCATCTCTCTCTTTTCCAGCCTTGCTATCTGGACTTTTAATGAAGATGTCAGGATTTTAACCCAGGGCCTTTTATTCACAAAGGTTGTGTTTTACAACTGGGTGGTGGTTGTTCCTTTTGATAAATAAATTGCGCTGAGAGCCCAGCTTCAGCTTTCTGTAAGAAGCAATTAAGGGTTAGAGTGCTTGGCTTGGACTAAGAAGACCCATGTTCAAATCCTCACCCAGTCATGCAATACACTGGGTGACTTTGTACTGTTTCTTAGCCTTGCCTCTCTTACAAGGTGGTATTACAGACAGAGCATCACTGTGAGTCTATTAATAACAGACTTTTAGGAGAAAAGGTATTCCTGCAAATACTCATCATAACAAGCTACTAGCATTTTTTTTTAACTCTTTGGCAAAATATAATCAATTGGGGCTAACAGAATAACAGTATATTAAAATAACTTACAATTGCCACTTCGAGTTAAAATTTGTAAGCTAGGGTTTTAGTTGCGTGGTTGCTAAAAGCAATTGTGGTCCTTTAAAAGATACAGGAAAAGCCCTGCTCACCCTTTTGAGGCCTTTGAATTTCTGTCTGCTAACTGGCAGAATAGAACCTTGATTGAGATTTTGCATGAGTGGGATGAATGCCGGCTGTTGAAAGCCAGAAACAGATGATCATGATTTGTATCCCTACTTGGAAGTTGCTTCTTAATTGGCATGCTTGGGCATAATGATGTTCCTAACATCTTTATCATGTAAATGGCCTCTCATGGTTGAATATGTATTGATCTCTTTGGAACGCTCACAGAAGCAGTCTTTCATGTTGAATTACCGGAACTTTGCACTTCAGCCTGAGTTATATTGATGCCTAAAGGACTGCCTCCTGGCTTGCCAGAATGTACAGTTTAAAAGGCAATAGTTCAGCTGCAGACCTGATCAATATCCGGTAACTGCAGCATAGTTGACTCACCTTCTAGGACAGTTTGAATATGAGCGTGTTTTGGCGTCATCAGAACGATTGCTGTCATCTGTCCTAGCATTCTGTTCTTCCTTCCAGCAAGCCACTGAGATGGTGCAGGGAAAGATGAGTAAGGCTCCAAAAGGCTGCTTTTTGCCATACTTGGATTAGGGTAGTACAGTGCTCCCCAATTTCTGCACAGCAACTTGGATGTCAAGGTGCCCTGCAGGATATATATATGCTCTACAGGTAACAGATTATTCCTGGCTTTATCTTGCAGACCTCTTGATTGCCAGCCACTGTGCATCTTGGTTTTTATTGCTATAATCTGCCCTAGTAGGGACTAATCTAGAGTGATAAATCTTGATAAGGGATGTCCAGCTTCTGTAAAATCTAGGCCTATTATGTTCTTCTGCAATGTTTTGTGAGCTAGGGGGTTTAGTTTTGTTCTGCAAACATGTCTCTTTGCATGTAGTCAGGTGTCATAGTTGGCCATCACAGTTATAGAGCTCATATCATAGAAATGCAGAATTGGAAGGGACCCTGAGGATCATCTAATCCAGTGGTTCTCAACCTGTGGGTCCCCAGATATTGTTGGACTACAACTCCCATCATCCCTGAGCTCTGGCCTTGCTAGCTAGGGGTGATGGGAGTTGTAGTTCAACAGCATCTGGGGACCCACAGGTTGAGAAAGGCTGACTAATCCAACCCCCTGCAATGCGGGAATATGCAGCTGTCTCATAAAGGGATCGAACCTACAACCTTGATGTTATCAAATGTGCAAGTTTATAAAAGTTTAGAAATTGCACTGCAAAGGGGACTTGTAATAAACAGATATTTGTTCCTTTAGTTATAACTTGACATTGTTTTTCTTCTCTTTGTGATTGAAATTGTGTAAATTGGCGCAGCTAGATGACCGTTGGATCCTTTCCAACTCTACAATTCTATCATTTTAAATTGATTAAAATTTGGTAAGACTTCCAGTGGCTATGTTGAAATTGCCTTTGGGTCCAGATTTGGCAGGTGGGTTGCCTGTTGGCGATTTCTCAGATAGAGAGTGGCATTCTTGTTATGCAGTTGATAAACTTTTTTATTATAGGAATCCTAATAACGTTGGGCATCTATTGCTTATTCACATTGACTTATCTCCCAAGAAAATCTGTAAATCTCAAACAGAGATACAATTACTCAGACCACTCTGTGGTCCAAAACCTTGTGTCTCAAATGTCATCCTGTGTTGTGGCCAGTTCCCATAGCATTTTTTTCCCCAAAGAACAGAGTGCTCTTTTATTCATTTTATTGTAGCTGACACCAGGTCTCACTTTTATTTCCACAATTGCTTTTCTTCTCTTAGCGGTATATGCTACTTAGTTGATTTTCTTTTACTTTCTGTGGCCTTCCTGGTCTTTTCTTCCTTCAGCACTGCTTCAACCATCCTCAACCATCCCCAACCAACTCACCCTCCTTTTGTTTATCGTCACACATCTCAAAAGGTGGGTTTCTCTGCCTTCAGGCTGCCTTTGTCGCTGCCTTGTTGGACCTTGATATTCTTCTACAAACTCTGTACATCACTTTATTTTTTTTTATTTTTTAAAATGATATTTATTAAGGTTTCAATAAAAGATTAAACAGAAAACATAAAAAAGAAGTACACAATTCAAAGATACACAATACATAATCCTAAAAAAGAAGAAAAAGAAAAAAAAGAACAAAAAAAAAGACAAAAAAGAAAAGGAACAGTTAAAAACAATATCACCTTTTCATTTCCATTTTTAAATTTACTTATTTTCTGGACCTCCTCATACCTCCCTCTTTTGTATTCCAGTTCAAATTGTTTGTCCAGCAATTTCTTTCCCCCCTTTTTTTTAATCCCAATCTTTAATCTTAATATTATATAACATTAAAATTTTACCTCTTAAAAACCAAATTTCCATTTCCTTAAACTTCTTTAATCCTAATCCTTAATCTTAGTCTATCTATAATTTTAAATCCTGTACAGCTGGAAACCACTTATTTTCAATCCAACATCACTCTAACATTCTTTAATTTTGCAGTGTTTCTGCAGATAGTCTTTGAATTTCTTCCAATCTTCCTCCACCGACTTTTCTCCCTGGTCACGGATTCTGCCAGTCATTTCCGCCAATTCCATATAGTCCATCAGCTTCATCTGCCATTCCTCCAGTGTGGGAAGTTCTTGTGTCTTCCAATACTTTGCAATGAGTATTCTTGCTGCTGTTGTTGCATACATAAAGAAAGTTCTATCCTTTTTTATCACCATTTGGCCGACTATGCCCAGGAGAAAGGCCTCTGGTTTCTTGGGGAAGGTATATTTAAATACCTTTTTTTAATTCATTATATATCATTTCCCAGAAAGCCTTAATCTTTGGGCACGACCACCAAAGGTGAAAGAATGTACCTTCAGTTTCTTTACATTTCCAACATTTATTATCGGGCAAATGATAGATTTTTGCAAGCTTGACTGGGGTTATGTACCACCTGTATATCATTTTCATAATATTCTCTCTTAAGGCATTACATGCCGTAAATTTCATACCTGTGGTCCATAACTGTTCCCAGTCAGCGAACATTATGTTATGCCCAACATCTTGTGCCCATTTAATCATAGCCGATTTTACCGTTTCATCCTGAGTGTTCCATTTCAGCAGCAAGTTATACATTCTTGACAAATTCTTAGTTTTGGGTTCTAACAGTTCGGTTTCTAATTTTGATTTTTCCACCTGGAAGCCAATTTTCTTGTCCAATTTAAATGCCTCCATTATCTGAAAATAATGAAGCCAGTCTCGCACTTTGTTTTTTAGCAAACTCTGTACATCACTTTATGATGCCATGGAAGGGGACACTCGTCTGAAACGAGTAGTTGCAACTGGAAACCAATAGGGGAAAATGCTACTAAAATTTCGTATTGTTTATATAAACATCAAACTGGCTGCTCCTATGAATAAAACAGCTTTTCACTCTGAGTGTTCAGTAGCACTGTTTCATGTTAAGGAAACTTGCATCCTTTGAGAGCCAAGTCCTTAATAAGAGAGGTCCTAAAACTTGCTTTGGTCATTGATGAGAGGAAATTCAGTCTTCAAATCACCAAATAACTTTGTTTTTGTACTTCTGTTAAAGATTGTCTGCATACTTGAAATACGAAACGTGCCTGTATAAATGAAAGTTCTACGTAGCAGTTGGGCCAAGAAATGTCTAAAGAAGGGGGTTGTTTCCCCTCTCTCAAATGTTACCATCAAATACAAAAGAGCAGAAGTGCTTTCTGAATCACTCTTAGCAGCTGTTGATTCAGATTTAAATGCTTCAGATAATAACCCACACGCCTGAAGTTGTTATCGGGAAATCAGAAATGCTGGAACATAGGATAAGAGTTTTGGCTTCTGGCTTTGTGAGCACTCGTCAACAATGTTTATAAAGTCCCAAGCTATATGTGATATTAAAAACACTTCTCAATGACAGGTGTATCTTTAAAAAACTGCAAATAACAGCCCATGGCCCCGGAAAGAACTGTAGCAGATGATGAAGCAAAGTTTATTCTGTGTCCTGTCCCAACAAATATGGTTGATAGGCAAGTGCTATTTGCATTAGGAAGGAATGTTGCTTTCTGATTAAAATAGCAGTTCTGGAAGAGCAATTTTTGCTGGAACCGTGCTGGGTGGAATGGATCAAACTTCACGTCATCACCTACTGAAGTCTCAGGTCGGGGAGGCAGTAACTATTATTTGCAGTTTTCAAAAGATACACACTAGGTTAAACCATTTCATACATTCAAGGGAGTAATCCTATACAAAAGAAGCTGGCGTAAAGCAAGCTGGCGTAAATTAAGCTGTCATAAACGTATAGCAGATCCAAACCCCATTCAGGAGCAAGACTACTTGCAAGGAGCCAGCATAAAATTGCTCCCAAGTGTATCTTAACTTTTTCTTTTCTAAATTAGGCGTTCATCACAATGGCAGGCTTGCACCTGGTCTGAGGTTCCAAGTGTCCCTGCTGTTGTAAGATATATATAAGAACCACAGCAGTGGAGTGTTAGTTTACTGTTGGGAGATCTTCCAGTATCTTGGACTTATTTCCTCTTTGAAAAGGAATGTGTGGGCAGTCCTGGCCAAAAAATGGCAGTGTGGTGTGCCTCTTTCAAACAGACCAGCCTCCATAACCCCTTGCCTTGATTGAACCTGGTGTATCTGCCACTAGTCTCAGACTGGAAAGAAGAAACAGTAGTCAGAGAATTATAGAACTGTAGAGTTGTAAGGGACTCTGAGTGTCACCCAGTCCAACCACTGAAGTTAATGTGAGAAGGAGTCTTTGCTTTTTGAATAGGTAGCTGTAACTTCTATTTCATATTACTCTTGCATTCTGCATTTAGATTTTGTTGCCCCAAACTGTTCTCAAAATAGTCTCATATTTTTCTTGCAGAAATCTAATTTCTGGAACGCCACATTATCGCCTACTATGTAATTAAAAATAATTAAGTCTTTGAAATTACATATTTTCACTCTCAAAAATAAGGGCCCCCATCACACCTTTGTGATTGTCTTCTGCATCTGCTTTTGGTGGCAAAATGTCAGTTTCAAAAAGTTATTTTAAAAAGCTATTTAATGAATGGGTGTAATATTTTTATCCAGATTTTCAGTTTGTAATCTGTTAGTGCAGGAACTTTCCCTACTTTTTTTATGTACACTTTGGACTGCTTCTTGAGTTACCTGTTAGGAAAAATAAAAAGAAAACCAAAGAAAAAATGCTTTTGAGTAACAACAACAACAACAACAACAATTTATTATTTATACCCCGCCCATCTGGCTGGGCTTCCCCAGCCACTCTGGGCGGCTTCCCAAAAAATTATTAAAATACTGTAATACATCAAACATTAAAAGCTTCCCTAAACAGGGCTGCCTTCAAATGTCTTCTACAAGTCTAGTAGTTGTTTTTCTCTTTGACATCTGGTGGGAGGGCGTTCCACAGGGAGGGCGCCACTACCAAGAAGGCCCTCTGCCTGGTTCCCTGTAACTTCGCTTCTTGCAGTGAGGGAACCGCCAGAAGGCCCTTGGAGCTGGACCTCAGTGTCCGGGCAGAACGATGGGGGTGGAGATGCTCCTTCAGATACACTGGAGCAAGGCCGTTTAGGGCTTTAAAGGTCAGCACCAACACTTTGAATTGTGCTCGGAAACGTACTGGGAGCCAATGTAGGTCTTTCAAGACCGGTGTTATGTGGTCTCGGCAGCTGCTCCCAGTCACCAGTCTAGCTGCCGCGTTCTGGATTAGTTGTAGTTTCCGGGTCACCTTCAAAGGTAGCCCCACGTAGAGCGCATTGCAGTAGTCCAAGCGGGAGATAACCAGAGCATGCACCACTCTGGCGAGGCAGTCCACAGGAAGATAGGGTCTCAGCCTGCGTACCAGATGGAGCTAGTAAACAGCTGCCCTGGACCCAGATTTGACCTGTGCCTCCATGGAGACGTGCGAGTCCAAAATGACTCCCAGGCTGCACACCTGGTCCTTCAGGGGCACAGTTACCCCCTTCAGGACCAGGGAATCCTCCACACCTGCCCGCCTCCTGTTCCCCAAAAACAGTACTTCTGTCTTGTCAGGATTCAACCTCAATCTGTTAGCTGCCATCCAACCTCCAACCGCCTCCAGGCACTTGAATTGTTGACGCTGGGGGTGCTTGGGAGACCCTTAATGAAATTTACACACCTGACTCCCAATTTTACACACACACACACACACACACACACACACACGCTTGCTTTTCCACATATTGTTGAGTGCAGCTGAGACAAGATGACTGTGTTAACAATAAAAATATCTCAGAAGTAAGTCCTCTTAGGTATAGTGGGATTTGATTCTTGTGTAAGAGTGCAAGGATGGCAGGCCTAATGATGAAAAAACATTGCAAGAAGTGATGGCAACTGCTTCTTGCATGCATTTACTGTCTGCTGCAAATTCTTCCTTTGTGTGAAAGGAGAAAGTTCTAATAGTGGCTTCTCATAGAAAGTTTTAAGAGCAGCCAAATTAGTCAAATACCATGTGCTTACCTCTCCGTGAAATACCACATTTCTTTCCAGATTTCTAGTTGTGGAATTACTGGTAGAGTGTGCTCTTGGAAATAATTACTGGGGTTTTTTTTACACTTGGTCCTTAAAATATATAAAATAAAAGGTCAGTTTATTAGACTGCATGTAGTCTCCTCAGTCTAACCTTGACCAAGAACTACTTGTGTACGACCAGCGATCTATAAATATGAAGACATGGCAAATGATATACTTCTGGTCTCCTCATTCTATTTTTTTTTCAAAAAAGGTACACATCTGTGTTTCTTTGTGAGCCTGCTGTTCATGCAGATGTGTTCACTCACCTAGAAAATGTTTAACTGCCAGGTTTCTTTGTGTAGGTGTCTCCTTGTGGATAACTTGTACTATCTCAGTTTTTTGCACTGTTGAAGAAATGGCCCAGTGATTTTGGGGATTAGTTTGCCTTGTTTGATTTAAATAGCAGTCCTATAACTTGTATCCAAGGGTTGTTGAGTAAAGTCTAAAGAGTTGGCCTGGATTTTCCCTGAGCATCTTCCCTTTTCTCTTCCCCCCTACCCCCAACTCTTTGGCCGTTACTCAATAATCCTTGGATGGTTCCTCTGTAAACTTGAGTATTTTTTTAATGAACTGCTGTTGTCATTTCCTATTATTTAACAGGAAGCTTCTACCTGACAGGTTTAGCAATGATAATTTTTAAAAGGATACAAGTTATAGGACTGTCATTTAAATCAAACATGCCAAACTAACCTAATAACAAATGACGGAATGCTTATTGAAATAGGGCATGCAGCCTTAACAGCTGGTTCCCACCTGGTCTTTTACAAGGTTCATTTGCTTGCCTGACACCTGTTCAGATGGATGCCTCTTGCTAACGCCTTTGATCGTACTACTGCCAGTGACTGTGAGCCAAGATGCTGCTGATCCCCTTCTGATCCTTCCCTCTGAAGTGTCACCTCGAATTTGGTGGGGGAGCATTGATGAATGGATTGTGTCACTTTTTGTGATCAGAATAAATTTTCCATTTCCAGCATCCAGACTTTTTGTTTTTTTATTGAAAAATTCAGGACCTTTTTTTGATTTAAGGAATGTTGAGTGTTTGTATCTGAGAGCACATGGGTTGGGTTGTTTAGCCTGGAGGTGAGAAGCCTGTGGCATTCAGATGTTGCTGGACTGCTACCTACCATCAGCATTTCCAGTGGTCAGGGATGATGGAAGGAATTGTTGGACGACATCTAGAGGCCCATGGGTTTCTCATCTCTGGTTTAGCCTTGCATCAGCTGATTACGTAGTTAAAGAGGAGACCCAGAGGAGATATGATACCCATTGAATATCTCAAGGACTGTCACATGGAAGATGGAGCAAGCTCCTGCTCTGGAGACTAGTACCTGAACCAATGGATTCAAGTTACAAGAAAGGAGATTCCGACTAAACACCAGAAAGAAGTTTCTGACAGAAAGAGCTGTTCAGTAGTAGAACCGTCTCCCTTGGGAGGTGATAGACTCTCCTTCATTGAAGGTTTTTAAAACAGAGTTTAGGTGGCCATCTCTCACCCATGATCTAGTTGAGAATCCTGCATTACAAGGGATAGGACTGTTGGGATTTCATTCCTGCCATTGCAGGATGTGTGATTGTTTTCATCTCATGTCTGTGTTGACATTCCATACTGCTGGAGTCACGAGAAGGGAAGTTCAGTTACACTTTTCCGTTATGTTGCACTTTTGCTTTTCTGCTCTCTCAGAGATGAAGGAGAGGGGAGCTATGATTTCTTTTGTTCTGTTTTGTACATAATAACGTAGCTTAGAAATCCACACCTCCAATGCCTAGCTTCTGCTTGGACTCTGCTTATGTATTGCATGCATATATCTTCGGATATATGTCGCAGAAGCGCATTGGGAAAGAAGAGTGATGAATCATCCCGAGGGTCACTTGTGGAGGAGAACGCAGCTGCCTGGCATTTTCCAAGTTGGTAAAGAAGCCCAGCGAGGTCCAGCTCTGTGTACCCAGGCACCAACAAGGACTAGATAACTCTCAGGGTCCCTTCCAACACTTGTGCTTTATGAAATAATAGAGTTTTTTCCCAATGGTGCATGGAATTTAACTGAAAGATTTGACTGGGGGGGTGGAATACAATTTTTTTTTTTTGCACACTTAATGATGGTCTTATTTTAGGGATGGGGAACCTTTTTGGGTTTGTGGGCCAAGTCCTAATCAGGATCAGCCTCATGGGCCAAATTTGACAGGTGAAGCTGCTGGCAACCACACGGTTGTTAGGTGAGCGGAGCTTCACACCTGTTAAAATCCCTCCCACAGCTTTGCAAGTGGTCCTTGCTTCCTTCTTGTTTCTCGGTTCCTACTTGTTCATTCACTCCCAGACTTCCCTTTACAGAGGTGAATCTTAGGATAATCAGTGAGAGCTGGAATTCAAGATTCTGCCAGGGGTTTTGGCCCCATCTTGCTTCCTACTGGAGAAAGCTTTAAAACCTGTTTCCTAACGTTTCAACATAAGCTTGTCAGCTGTATTGGAGGTGCCGAATCCTCTTTTAAAAAACAAAATCCCACTTTTGTTTACATAAATATTTTGAGTGAGATCCTTTCTGCATAACTTAAACGTTAGTCTTTGAGCGCTTAACTGCTGTGCTTTCTCAACATATGGCAGCTGTGTTATCAAGGGTGATGGATTGCAGTGCTGTCATAATTGGTACCATGAAATGGTTCAAAGGAGATACGGAAATGTGGTGGTGTTTTGTTACGTTTTTTAAAATTAACTTTTCTTTTTCTTTTCAAAGGTGGCTTCCTTGCTCCAGATGCACAGTAAGTAGTCTGTAGCTGTAAACATCCCCGACTGGAAGCTGTAAGCTTTAGCTTTCAGTCAGATGTTTGCTGCCACCGGCTATTCATAAACAACGGTGGAAGAAAAAGATCCATTATAACGATACATTATTTTAAGCTGACAGGCATGGAGGGGTTGTCTTAACACTTTTTAAATAGATGCCAGGGATTTGAACATGGGGTCTTCTGTATTCAAAGCATGCGTTCTTGCCCATTTCCCCCCTCCCTCATTTTTCCTAAACCTTCTTTGCATTCTCTGCCTTAGAACCTGCCCTTTTGCACAAACACACGTATACAAAGGGGTGCAGTATACATATTATTTAGTAATATTTTATCTATCCATTTTAATGGGACGCGGGTGGCGCTGTGGTCTAAACCACAGAGCCTAGGGCTTGCCGATCAGAAGGTTGGCGGTTCGAATCCCCGCGAAGGGGTGAGCTCCCATTGTTCGGTCCCTGCTCCTGCCAACCTAGCAGTTTGAAAGCACGTCAAAGTGCAAGTAGATAAATACCGTATTTTTCGCCCTATAGGACATACTATTTCCTCTCCAAAAATGAAGGGGAAATGTGTGTGCGTCCTATGGGGCAAATGCAGGCTTTCGCTGAAGCCTGGAGAGCGAGAGGGGTTGGTGCGCACCGACCCCTCTCGCTCTCCAGGCTTCAGGAGAGCCCCACCGCCAGACCCACAAGCTGGGGGACAGCGGGGAGGTGGAACGCCGCCATCCCGCTGTCCCCCGACTTGGTTAGAAGGCTGGCGGGGGGGAGAAGCCTGCTCCTCCCCATCGCCAGCCCCACAAGCTGGGGGACAGCGGGCAGGCGGAACGCCGCCATCCCACTGTCCCCCAACTTGGTTAGAAGGCTGGCGGGGGGGAGAAGCCTGCTCCTCCCCGTCGCCAGCCCCGCAAACTCGGGGGACAGCGGGGAGGCGCAGCACGCCATCCCGCTGTCTCCCGACCTGGTTTGGAGGCTGGCGGAGAGCTTCCCTTTCCCCCAGCCCTGCAAGCTCCCAGAGCGATGCTGAAGCTGCACGCAGCTTCGGCATGGCTCTGGGTCCTGTTCTGGGGGCTGGGGTCAGGGGTCCTTTACCTTTACCTTATTATCCATTTTAATCATTTACCGGTATATACTGCCCTGCATCCTATCAGAAGCCTCTTAGAATATTTGTTATCCTTCTGTTTGCATAATGTTTGTGAAGCCTCTGGAAGTTAAGCTTGGAACTGAGTAATAAAATCTGACGTTAACCATCTAAAAAGGCAGGAATACAAGGGACAAGAAATGCAGGATGCTCAGGAAGCACCCTGTTTTGCACGACATCCTTGTGATGTCATATGTGACATCCATGTATATGTGCTTGAGCAGGCTATCCCCCACCTAAATGCCAAAAATGCACTGAAAGGACAGACTGTGGCTTTCTGCCATTACGGGCTCCTTTTTAGATTACATCATTTATATTTATTCCTCCACTATGTATAGCAGGCCAGCAACTAGGATTTATAATAACCAACAAAAATGCTTTGCTCTTGTTTGTCAGAAGTAAAGCCTCTCGAGTGTCAATCAGCAGTTTTTAAAATAGTTGATTGTTTCTTACTGGTATTCACAATAAACCTTTAGACATGATTGTAAGTTGTGATGATAGGGAGAGGGTATACTTTATTGCTACAAACAAGAATTCTTCAGTGTTCTCGCTTTCAGATGTCTAAATATCAATATGATGCTTACCTTTCAGATACTCTTCTTAGAACAGTTCTAAAAATATGTTTCATTCTTTGCATTTCATTCTTGAAGTGGATTTATTTACTCTCACATATGCTCTTACCAGCTGAAGTGGCCATATTGTTATCCTGTTTTGTTTTTTCTTTATTTTCACCTCCTTCGTGGCAGCACTAGAGTGTTAATCTTGCCATTCCATTTGCTCTCCGGCTCAGATCATTTCGAAACCTCCTTTGTGAATTGGAGTGTCACCTGAGCCAATTGAGTACTGGTGTTAATAATGGCTGCAATTCTAAAACTGGAGCTGTTGTGAGTCTGCAAAATCAGACACTGCGCTTGTGCTACGTACAACCACGAGCTGTTGACACACCTGTTGTCTCAACGGAGTGAGGACTGCAGGAACATGATGCACTAAGCTTGCTGAAACACACAAGCTCCTTCACTGCTCCACTGCATAGATGGGATGTCTCTCTACTTGAGGTTGCTGGAGGAAGGCACGGTAGTATATGTAGAAAAGATTATCTGCCCAGTCAAGTGGCATTTACACACCTTATTTGTATAATAACCAGTTGATGGGCTAGGTCAGGTTTTCACAAACTCAAGTCTCCAGCTGTTTTTGGAATATAACTCCCAGCATCCCTAGCTAGCAGGACCAATAGTCAAGGATGATGGGAACTGGAGACCCAACTGGAGACCCAAGTTTGGGGAACCCTGGGCTAGATAATACTTTTTTTAATATATATGAAGAAACAGGTTTCTAATACAGTTAGCTTTCCTGGAAGGTTGCTGAAGGTCACTTTCCCCAGCCTCCTACATGCATGCAGGCTCCACAAATCCCAGACAAAAACATGGTTCATTCAGATAGTTTCTCAGTAAGGCTCTAAGGGCCATTGTTCCCAGGGCAGGCCTAAAAGGAAAATCCAGATGACTGAAGCAAGTGAAATGAGCCATGTGTTACTGGAGAAGGCTTTAAAAAAAGAAGATAAAACAATTGCTGATCATTCTTTAGATGGGGTATTCCTTATCAGCTTGAAATATGAACATTAGCTAGGCAGTTGAAATAATAATAATAATAATAATAATAATAATAATAATATGATCCAGTAGCACCTTAAAGGGTAAAGGGACCCCAGACCATTAGGTCCAGTCGTGGCCGACTCTGGGGTTGCGGCGCTCATCTCGCTTTATTGGCCGAGGGAGCCGACGTACAGCTTCTGGGTCATGTGGCCAGCATGACTAAGCCGCTTCTGGCAAACCAGAGCAGTGCATGGAAACTGTTTACCTTCCCGCCGGAGCGGTTCCTATTTATATACTTGCACTTCGATGAGCTTTCGAACTGCTAGGTTGGCAGGAGCAGGGACTGAGCAACGGGAGCTCACCCCGTCACGGGGATTCGAACCGCCGACCTTCTGATCAGCAAGTCCTAGGCTCTGTGGTTTAACCCACAGCGCCACCCGCGTCCCTATAGTAGCACCTTAGAGACCAACTAAATTTGTTCTGGGTATAAGCTTTTGTGTGCATGCACACTTCTACCCAGAACAAACTTACCGTAGTTGGCCTCTAATGTGCTACTTGACAGTTTTTAATTTTTTTTATTTATTTCGACTGCGTCAGACCAACACGGCTACCTACCTGAATCTATTAACTATGCAGAAATTGATGGCAAGACCAATATACCAAGCTCCTCACCCACCAATGAGTTTTCTTAGCTTACTTCAAGGTGCTTGTGTGCACACATGAAAGCAAACACAATGCCTTTGTAGATTCAGGTAGGTAGCTGTGTTGGTCTGACACAGTCTAAATAAAAAAATAAAATAAAAATTGTCCAGTAGCACCTTAGAGACCAACTAAGTTAGTTCTGGGTATAAGCTTTCGTGTGCATGCACACTTCTTCAGATGTATACCCAGAACTAACTTAGTTGGTCTCTGAGGTGCTACTGGACAATTTTTTTATTTACAATGCCTTTGTGATAACCCTTGTGTCATAAGCTGGTTGGGATCCTATGAAGTATGCAAACGGTTCTGTGTCTAAGGGGCTTTGAAACTTGCTCTTATGAACACAGGATCACTGACTCAAATGGCAAACAAAATTGAGGGGACTTTTAAAAAGCAATTTGTAGTATGGCAGAGGAATGCACTGTTTAGAGATATGAAAGTACAGTGGTGCCTCGCAAGACGAAAAGAATCCGTTCTGTGAGTCTCTTCGTCTAGTGGTTTTTTCGTCTTGCAAAGCAAGCCCATTGACAGATTAGCGGATTAGCGCTATTAGCGCTATTAGCGGCTTTTAGCGGCTTATCAGCTTATCGGATAAGCAGATAAGCGGCTTAGCGGCTTAGAAAAAGGGGGGGGGGGGAGGAAAAAAAACCCACAGGAACTCGCAAGACATTTTCGTCTTGCGAAGCAAGCCCATAGGAGATTCGTTTTGCGAAGCACCTCCAAAACGGAAAACTCTTTCGTCTAGCGAGTTTTCCGTCTTGCGAGGCATTCGTCTTGCGGGGCACCACTGTAAAGTGCTACTGAGATTACTCAAACTCTTGGATGAATCTCAAGTCACTATTTGGATCCCTGCTGCAATGTGCAAGCAATTAATCTTTTAATTTTCACCTCAGCTATGCTTTAAATTCAAATTTCTGGGAGATCGTAGGGGAATGTCAATAAGATATATTACTTGCATCATGATGGAATAGTGTGACCACTGTCTGCTTGCTTTTATTGCCTCTTGTGGTTTTTATTCCCTTATTTTTAAATCTTTGCTTGTTCTTTGAACAATAAACTTAACATGCTGTCAACAGAAAAAGGAAAGGTAATATATATATATATATATATATATATATACACACACACACACACACACACACACACACACACACAGTACAGACATGTTCAAAAGCAATGTGTCCTAGTTGAGATTTTAACTCCCTTAAAACGAAAGTTCTGGCTTCAGCAAGGGGGATTTAAGGCTGGAAAATAATGTTGATTCTCTCCATTGCATTCTGTGTACCTGGTATCTTGAAATATTGAAGTATGGACTCCTTTGAAGTGCATCAGTGTTGTGTTCACATTGTTATCCCTGATTCTTAGTTCATGTAAACATCCTACACTCAGCTCTAACAGACGGAACGGCTGAGAGGTGGGTGTTTACTTCAACTGATTTGGAAAATCTGCCTTCCTGAATAATCAAGCCATGAAACTGGATGGACTGCAGGAGAGGGCAACCGTCAACTGTGCTGATTCCCACCTCATTTGAATAAATGCAACCTCCAATTATCTCTGAAAGTGGTAATCCATAAAATAGTTTGTCTTCGGTTTTGTGTAATACTGTGTGTGTATTTGCCCTTTTGTGGCAGTGGTTTGCTTCAAGATCTACGCTGAAGGCCTATTTTCAAAATTTCCCTTTCATCTGCTGTAAACCAATTCCAAATAGTTTACTATAAGGAGTGATGCATGCAGTCTGACACAAGGCAGAGTGGAGGTTGGTCTTAAACACAATAGTCAATGTATGTGGAATGCCATATCTGTGCAAAATATCTTGCATTTTCAATGTGACCTTGATATAGTTCCGGTTCATGTCCTTGGTGTGCCTGTCTATTCTCTCCAAAGATGGAAAAAATAGTCCATATTGTAGGGAATGCTCAAGCAGGAACTAAAACAAGTCCAAACGGACACTTTGGTTAGCTAATATAATTGAAGTGTTGCTTGCCACTATGATGCTGTATTGCAAGTGACAAGTAGCTCATTTTAAAAGCATCTTAAGTAGCGTGGAATCTCTTTATTAAAATGTAAGTTTCTACCTGAAATCTACAAACCATTTGTGCTGAAATAGACAGCAGTGAGCACTGGTTAGCTGAAAGCTGAGGTCATAGATGTCAACCTTCCCTTTTTTTGTGGGAAATTCCCTTATTCCAGTGCCATTTCCCGCTGCTATCCCGGATTGTTAGATATCCTGTAGACTGTCCCCGGGACAGGTGAGGCTGCTGATGCCTTATTTTTGAGGCTGTTGATCCCTTACTTTCAAATCTGAAAGTTGACAGCTATGGCTGAGGTTGAGTTGTAGATGGTTGCTGGTGATTTCCATCTCAAAAATTGTGGAGCATGCGCATTGTTTTGCTTTCTCGTTAACCTTGTTTGTGCATTTGTGGTCTTCACAGGGCTGCTGCACTGCATCGAACTTAATTTCTCATGCTAGAGAAAGGCTGTTTCCAGGCAGGTCTTGACTTTGACCTGCCCTGGTGGTATAAATTTGTAGTAACTACAGTACTGTCTTCCTTTCCAGTTTGTAATGCCAGTTAAGCATTCTGATAGTACCAAAAAAGAAGAAGTTAATGAAGGTAAAAGACAACACGGCCATTCATACTGGGGGTTTGGTGATCCTGCTGCTAGCTCTGCATTATCTCGCCTGTGTTCCTTCTGCTTATCCCATTAACCCCAGGGACGACTCAAAATATCAGCCCAGTCTCTTTGTGAATATATGCATGCTGAATGCAAACCACCACCCCCCCCGTGACAAAGTGCCCTTATTGACTTCAAAGAAGTGAAAGATTTTGGGCGAAGCCCAGCAAACTAGGGAGATGGCCTGTGTGTACATGTCTTTGCCAGTAACCTCAGCAGAACACAATGTGAGGCTTGTGGTTGAAGTTCCATGGGCATTACAAGTCTAGGGGAGAGGACAAAATTGGCTTCTGAAGAGGATGGAGTTGAGAGGTTTAATTATCAGATCTATACTCATCCAGGGGGAAATGAGTTTTGAAACAGTGCAGTGTTAAGATCATTATGCATTTCCATGTGGATTTTTTTAAATAAAAAAATGCGTATTTTAGAAGTTAGTTCCTCCCAAGAAAGGTATACTATTTCCCCTCTTATATGCAACTAGCTTTCCATGGTAGCCACAACAGGAAAACCTCCCTCTGACAATTGATTATAGCTGGCATAAGATCACAGTTGATTTCTGGTTTGTACTCTTACCTTGTGTTTCAAAATGAGGCCTAAACCCTGAAACCTGAGCTTGTCTGTTGACATAACCTGAAGCTGATTTTTCTGTTCACCTACAGGCAGGCTGGATAGTTGAGTGCCTTTCATTTATCCAGGGTATGGCCTTACTGGAAATGTCACTCCCCATTGCCTCTCGTTGGGGTCATGTTAACACTGCACCTCGAATACCACAGTAATTGTCCCAGTAATTGTCCAATAGCTCCTGTTGTAATAAAAATCAAGGCCACCTTATGTAACTTTTAAACTAACCAGATGCAGGTGCATTAAACTGGCTCATTTGCTTGGGAGATATCAGAAGCACCTTAGGAAAGCTGTGTTGGATGAGGCCAAAAGGCCCACCTAGTCCAAAATCCCATTCTCACAGTGGCCAACTAGATGCCGTTGGGAAGCCCATGAGCGGAACCTGAGAGCAACAATGCTCTTCCTCTTTGAATATCAGTTGCTGCAAATCACAAGGCTCACTGGAGGTGGAGTATAGCCATAATGGCTAGCATAACTCCATCCTCCATTAATTCATCTAATTTGCCAAAGCCATCCAAGTTGGTGGTCATCATTAGCTCTCGTGGGAGCAAATTCCGCATTTGTGTACTGTGAGAAGAAGCTATTTCTTGTGCTAAACAGAGGCTTGGCTTCATTAGATGAGTTCTGGAATTATAGATACTCTGCCTGCATGGTTGTCACAACACGCTAACAATATATTATTTGGCCTGCCATGGTAGTGATAGCAGTATTGAAGACTCACTTAACACAGTGAGTCTTCATTCAGTGGCCAGGTTGAAAAGATTTGTCCTGCTCTTCATGCATTTTTGTCTGAACTCAGGTTTTCTACCGTTAAGTTTTACAAAGCCAGCAGCATTTGCAGAGGGTGTACTGAATATATTTATGACCTTAAGTCGCTTTTCGTTGAAGCTGGCAAGCCTTTTAGTCTGAAGGAGTCAGTGGCGTGAAGGTCCCTTTTATATTCTGAGCTTCCTGTAAAATACAGGAGCAAGCAATGTGATTTAAACTGCCTTGCAGCTGTAAACTGTGATTTCCCCAGAAGGTTCGTCATCCGGCAGAACAAGTTTTGCCACCTTTGACACATAGCTTCAGACAGCATAGGAGGAGGGGCAGAAAGTGTCAACAGGTTGCAGTAAGCAAGGAGAAGTTGTTCTCCCTTAAGCAGCGGTGCATTGATGCACAGCCTTATTAAGTCTTGTCAGCTGTATTAAAGAGAAACCTCATTTCTCAGAAGAGTATGCCAGACAGTCAACGCTGCTGTCTGTTCTGGCTGTCAAGGGCTAGAGAGTGCCATTGGGTGACCTTGCCAGCTTGACTGAGGCAGCTGGTGCAGCAGCAAGTGCAAAAGTAGTGACACCTAATTAGCTCTGATAGTAGATGCAAAATAAGATGATAAGCCCGTAGAAATGTTTTTGCTTTTAACTATGTGAATGTGTGTATATGACGCGGGTGGCGCTGTGGGTTAAACCACAGAGCCTAGAGCTTGCCGATCAGAAGGTTGGCGGTTCGAATCCCCGTCATGGGGTGAGCTCCCGTTGCTCGGTCCCTGCTCCTGCCAACCTAGCAGTTCGAAAGCACGTCAAAGTGCAAGTAGATAAATAGGTACCGCTCCGGCGGGAAGGTAAACGGCGTTTCTGTGTGCTGCTCTGATTTGCCAGAAGCGGCTCAGTCATGCTGGCCACATGACCCGGAAGCTGTATGCTGGCTCCCTCGGCCAATAAAGCGAGATGACCGCCGCAACCCCAGAGTCGTCCATGACTGGACCTAATGGACAGGGGTCCCTTTACCTTTATGTGTGTGTATATGGGGGGTGGGAGGATGAAAACTGCTGACTATGGGCTGCCAAGCAGGGTGCTTTTTTAAAAAAGTGGGATTCCCACGTTTATTAAAACGTTGCCACCCTAAGCTTCTTGAGGAAGAAGAGCGGGACAGAAATCAAATACGTAATTAATTTCTGCTCCTTAAGGCGTATTCCTGGTGACGTACAGGCTGGTAGAGAGCACAGTCTATAGGCATTTTGTGGCTGAGACCCAAGGTGGTTAGCAGTACTGTATGGGAACAGGATTGTATCGCTCAATCATGAGAAGGAGATGGCTTTGAAGAGGCATAATCCCATTTTGTAAAATATTATTAATAAAGCTGGGCCCCTCTGGATGCAATTTTATTTGTGAACCCCAATATTTATCCTGTCTGACACCAAAGGCCCAAGATCTTTAGCGTCTAGTGCTGCATGAGTTGTGCTAGGTGGGTTGCTGGTCACACCCACCTTCCAGCACCCAACCTTCCAGCTTTCGTCTTGCCTGTAATGGGGAGTGGGTGGGTGCCCCTGGTCCACCCTATAAAAACTTCTTGGGGATTCTTTATGCAAGGAGCTGTCCAGCCCCACAGAGATGCTGAACGCCTGTGTGGCTGAATTCAGCCCACTTCTCTTGACTGCTGTATATGATCCTGGACTGATCCAAGATAACTAAATAAGAGCGCTATATACCTCCTTAAGGTTTTAAGCACTGCCTGTTTATTACAGAACGTGAGAATATTGGAGGTTTGTTTCTCTGCTGGACAATGCCTAGCTATCACTTTTATAAATAAATATCCTGGATGTAAAATTTTAGACTGGCTGGTCACTTATTTACATTCAAGTTATAAGCTGGTTTTGTTGCACTGAGAATTTGGCATGGTTTAGCAGGGTCTGAAGCTGAAAAAGGGCATGCATGAATACACATGTGGCATCCTGCCCTGAAAAAAGCAAGCTTTGTTTATTTTTGAGCCTTCTCTTGTACTTAAATATATGAAAACAACTGATGGTGGTGTTAATCTCCCTAGAATAACTTTCTTGGGTCACTAGCCTAGCCTAACTTACATCACAAGATAGTGAGCCCAGGTGTCAATGTTTATATTAAGCATTTGGGTGGGGTACATAAAATTAAACCTGAGTTACATTGTCTACAACAAAAAATGTCTCAAACTGGCTGTAATTGATTTGTTTGTAGGATTGTACGATTTAAAAACAGCAACACTGAATGTTTTTTTGTTACTTCTGGAATTTTTTTCAATAAAAACATATTTTATTTTTTTTTAAAAAAAAAACAGTAGCAGTATTTGTTGCTACTATTTCCTTCTGGGTAGGCGCATTACTGCCCAGTCACAGTTAGACTAAAATCCCGAGTTTCTTAATTCTCCTAGTTTTCTCCCAATGGTAGCTTGTTGTGACTTGTTTGCATTTTAAGGATAAAATTGCCTGCATCTGCCAGGACCTTGACTCCAGTTACAGCAGACGAATCTTGAGAGGTGCCCAGAACACTGTCTAGTTCTGTTGTGTTGGATGAGTTTCAGTTAGTAAGGCTCAAGGACGTGAATCAGGTGCTTGGATGGGTCAAGGTGACCACTTGCACTCTGAATCCTTGCACATCTTGGCTGATAAAAACTAGCGAGGAAGGAGCAGCTGGCTGGGCCAGGTAGGAGATTAATGCCTCCCTGTGAGAAGGGATGGTCCCTGTCTGCTTGAAGAAGGCAGCTGTAAAATAAGTATCAGTAAATAAAATTTAAAACAAAACAAAAAGAGAAACCCTCACTGGATTTGGAATATCTAAGTAATTACCAGCCAGCTACCAATATCCCCTTGGGCAAGTTTCTTGAGCGGGTGGTCGTGGACCAGATCCAGGTGCTCTTGGAGGAAAATGATTTTCTGGGTCCATTTCAATTGGGGTTTCGGCCTGGTTTTGGCATAGAAACTACTTTGGTCACCTGGTATGATGATCTCTGTCTGGAGAGAGACAGGGGAAATGTCTTAGTTGATTTTCCCCAACCTCTCTGTGGCTTTTGAGTTACACTTAATCCGTGTATTGCAACCTAAGCCCATTGGAATGGTTCTTCACTCTGGGAAATGTGGAATGTATAGTACACGTTTCGCTTTCGTGTGCAATGTTCATACAGTCACAACTGTCTTTTAAGTTGTGCATACTATATATATTTTGGCACATTGTACTTTTCTCCGGCTGATTCTTCAGGCCCAGATTTATTAGGGCCCATGCTTTTGAGGAAGCGTCACACTTCCTCTCCTGAAATGTGGTACAGTACTTCCTCAAAATCGCTCATTTCTTTTTAAAACAAAACAGAATGTTAGTTGTAAGTAACCCCATTCAAACCAATGGAAGAAAACACAGCTATTAATGGGACCTATAATGCAAGATTGAGCATGTTTACCTAGAAGTAAGTTTCACTACCCAGTGTCAGTATGCTGGAGTAAAGCCTAGCACACTGATTTCAGCTACTGCTCGTTTAAGGTTACATGAGAAAATAAAGGCTACTGTCTGCCAAGAAGATAGGAAATTGACCAAATTCCTAGAAAAGATCCCAAAATCCCTTAAAACAAACAGAAATAGGAGTGGGACTCTTGCTCAGGAAGCATGGAAGGCAGATGGGGATGGCATTCCTGACATATTTAATTCCAGTGCATATTTCTTCTACACAACACCATGTCTGCCTTTTTATTAGGACCTTATTCTGCTTACGGCAGGAGACGCAGCTATTCATTTCTCTTGACATCCATCTGTTTTTACACTCAAGTACCTCATTAAGATAAATCTGTTCACTCTTTCTCATCCCAGCTGATCTTTCCTTTTCGTTTTCCTCTCATCTTACTCTTAAGATCATTTGCTTGTATGTGGGGGCGGCAGTTTTAGTGCATTATATATAAATTGAGTCCTGTTCTGCTATTATTGCTAAACTTCTAATAGCAGGAGATTTTTGTTCCTTTTGGGACATGATTAACAAAATGCTGCTCTAATCGAAGAAGGGAGTTTCTGCTTTGCCTCCAACCAGATTATCTGCCATTTCTCTCCAGATTTTTTGCATGTCCAACCTGAGCATGAGTGCATTCTAACTTGAAAACGTTCCTCCTGCATTTTGCAGAGGAGCAGTTCTTAATAGAATATAAAGGGTCAGTAGTACTGCAGTGTAGTGAAGAAGATGCTTAAAATGACGAACTTTGAGTACTGCTTAACAGGGAAGAATGTCTTAAACACTAGGCGATGCCATGTGGATTTTGCCTTCAGTCTTCAAAACGTCTTGACCTCTTCTGAAGATGTTTGATACTGTTATTTTTACTTTGTCGAGGCAACACGGATTTTGCTTGTAAGCTGGTTTGCAGAGAATTGACTGGCTGGAAGCCGAGGTGTTGCAGCATGATTCTAAGCATGCTTCCCACTGCTTTCAAAAGTGTGTCCTCTAATACACGTAGTCCCTGATGGCTGCTTTAATGCAAGACATTAAAATGAGCAAAGGCTATTGTATTTGGAAGTGTTATTTGCTAAGCTGTACACAGGGCTATTTCCCCTGCAAGCTACAGGGAAATCCCTACCATAATATGAGGAAAAAATTTCACTATACCCCGTTGCTCAGAAATCAAGCCTATTTCCCCTCTTATGGGGCATAAATAAGATTCCAGCCAAGCAGAACTGTCACTTGATGAATCCAATATACAAGTACCGGTAATTTTTTTGCTCTCCTGGGAGCATAATCTCCTGACCTATGCTGGGAGAGCCACAAAGACTCTGATGTCATACTAATTTAGAAACGCTGGAGAATGGATTCCCCATCCCCTGTATAACATTGGAAAACCCCGTTCTTTACCCCTTGAGGGGGTGGGTAGAATCATAGTGAAATAAAAAATGGCTGGCTATTAATGATGTGTTTGCCCCTTGAGCAAGTATATTCTGTTTTTAGATATTGCAGGTATGTCACAGCAGCCATTCTTACAGCCTGCTCTTCTGCTAAAAGTGCCCAGAGGGTGGTGCACAACATACTCATAAAACCATGTTATGTAACCTCTGAAAGTCTAGCAAACCGTTTCTAAAAGCAATAACAAAGAACATGCCATATAGTTAACACTTAGGGAAAAAACCTAACAGTAAAAAGATTCAGGTAGGTAGCCGTGTTGGTCTGACGCAGTCGAAATATATAAAAAAATTAAAAAATTATCCAGTAGCACCTTAGAGACCAACAAAGTTTGTTCTTGGTATAAGCTTTTGTGTGCATGCACACTTCTTCAGTAAAAAGATGTTAACACAGAAATGAAACTAGGTGTTGTCTATTAAAAGCCTGACAAAATAAGGAATGCCTTCAATTTCTGTTAAAAGACACATAAAAAGCAAGCTGTTGTTGACAGAAGAGCGTTCTAGAGATGTGACAACATCTTAGAAAAGGCCACATCCTTGGTGCTTTATGAATGACCTGAGGTGGCTCTGAGAACAGGTAACCTGGCCCAGAGTTAAGGGCTTTTAAGCGTATGTAACCAGTACTTTGAATTGAGCCAGAAAGGGATGCCAGTGATGGCTTTAGGGACATGTTACTCGCTTTCACGCTCCCTCTTAAGAGAAATCAGCTGCCCTTATTCTATATGATAAATCTGCAAGCTGTGCATATTCTGTCATAAATTGCCATTCTTCTTTAGTTGCAGACTAAACATACAGAATAAGAGAACAAGAAGAACATATGTTTAGAGAAGATTGGAAAACGTTTATTGAATATAGGGGGAAATTGTGTACACCTGAAAACGTCAGCATTAAGATAAATTCCACAGTGTAAATTTTTTATCTATTTTATTTTATTAAAGATTTTCTTGTTTTACAGAATTATGTGTAATGTCTCTCGTATTTCTTCCATGTAACATTTTTACAAATCCGTTTCATTTGCTGAGACATTGGGGGGGGGGGGGAATAAGTTTTGATGGATGCAATAATGGAATACAGAATGGTTTAGTTTTTGTAAAATACGCAGGGATGTATGATATGCAAAATGAACCATGGAAAGAGAAGAAGAGAAGCCACTGATATTTTAAGGTTGTTTCAAGGAGTATTTTAAATTGTAAAACAGAAAATTTAATAAAAATTAGAGAGGAAACAGCTGGCTGTGGCAGCATGCAGACTAACGAACGGCAACAAGAGATTTAGATCTGGTACAGCAAGACGGACAGATGTAATATATACGGTATTTCTATGGTAGCAATTCCCCTGTTCAGCTTAGATCAGGCCACATATATCGAACCAGCAATAATAATTGAAAATAAAACGAAACTGCCTGGTTAAAGGGGGGAGAAGAGCAACATTCTAGATTAACCAATCAGCGACACAACCCTGAATTTGAACCTGCATAACGTAATATAAATTAAAAAATACATATTTTCCTAGGGTGATGTCTACTACTGCAGCCAGGACTCTAATAAAAAGCTCGCAGACCAGGAGCGACGCATGCGCCCTAAGCAGGGTGGGAGAGCTGGGGCCGGCCAATCAGAGGAGCGGGAGCTCTCGCGCGCCGTCCAACGGCCGCTCAGGCCCGCCCGGGCGCGTGCCCGGACCTGCCCAACGGGGGAGCGTTTCACCCCCCCCCGCCCACCTCCCTCTCGCTACGTCACTCGAGGAAGACGAAGGAAGCCGCCATGTCGGACGCGGCAGATTCGCCATAACCTTTTCCCCGCCGCGGCCTGCACGCCGCCGTTTTAATAATAACAGCAGCTTAATAATGCGCTTCCGTGTATAGATACGTATTTATTTATTTTTAACAAAACGTTAGCGCCCCTCGAATTTGAGAGCAGGGATATGGCGGTGGCGGCGGCGCTTCTCCTGAGGGGACGAAAGTGCTAGTTCTTCCTCTCTTTTTTAATTCTACGGTTTTTATTACCACCCCTCACCCTCCTCATATTCGGCCATGGAAGCTCCGTCGGCAGGTGAGTGCGGGCGCCGAGGGGGGCCTTTTATAATATATGGAAATCGCGTCGGCGGAGGGATTCCGCCCCCGCGCGGGGCCTGACGGGACGTGGCGCGAGACTCCCGAGCGGGCGTCGTCGTCACCGGCACTTCCGGTTCAGTGGTGGGCGGGCATGGCGTCGGAACCGGAAGTGCGTGTGCGCTTGCGCGCGCGTCTGTCTTGTCATCTCGGTGCGCACAACCTGGTTGGCTGTGGTCCTCAGGGCGGAGAAAGCGACTTTTTCTTAAGGATGCGAGGAGAGCGAAGCTGCCCGATGTCCTCTCCTCATAATGGAAGCGCCACGCCCTTGCAGCTGCGCCCACCTATTTTTCGCCCAAACGCGGGTCTCGAACCCACAACCCTTGGGGTTTGAGAGTCTCGTGCTCTACCTATTGAGCTATCCAGCCGCCGAGGCTTTGGAATGGGAAACCTCGTTAATGGAACAGAGAAGCCTAACTGTGGCACCGAGTGAAGGAAGCGCTGCTTTTTATCTGTCCCATCGATAACCTCAGCCAAAGCTGCCCATCCTGCTTTTAATTGAATTGAAATATTTAATGTCACTTGTACAGCTTGTATATGGGACACGGGTGGCGCTGTGGGTTAAACCACAGAGCCTAGGACTTGCCAATCAGAAGATCGGCAGTTTGAATCCCCGTGATGGGGTGAGCTCCCGTTGCTCGGTTCCTGCTCCTGCCAACCTAGCAGTTCGAAAGCACGTCAAAGTGCAAGTAGATAAATAGGCACTGCTCCGGCAGGAAGGTAAACGGCGTTTCCGTGTGCTGCTCTGGTTCACCAGAAGCGGCTTAGTCATGCTGGCCACATGACCTGGAAGCTGTACGCCGGCACCCTCGGCCAATAATGCAAGATGAGCGTCGCAACCCCAGAGTCCGTCACGACTGGACCTTATGGTCAGGGGTCCCTTTACCTTTACCTTACAACCTGTATACAGTGAGATTAAGAGAGCTGAGTGGGGGGTGCTCGTGTAGTCTTAATTTCCCTCGTTTACTGATGCACACCCACCAAACCCAAAAGTCAGTTGCCCCGTTGTTATTTTTTAATTCAGCAGCCTAACAGCCCACGGATAGAAGCTGTTCTTTACCCTGTTGGTGCGACTAATCATGCTTGTATATCTTCTGACTGAGGGCAGGAGATCAAGAAATTGCCGGCCAGGGTGTGAATCATACCTGAGAATTTTCCTCACTCTCCTGAGGCAACGTTCTTCCGCTATTTCATCCAGCGGATTCACAGGACAGTCCATAATATCACCACCCTCTGTAGGCACTTCCTATAAGATGATGTCAAACCAGCGTACCACACCGTGATGCAGTATGAAAGGACACTTTCTGTTGTGGACACCTATAGAAGGAGATGATCAAATGTTGATTGACATAGTTCTTCCGCAATGTCCCACAAATTCAAAGGGGGGAGAAGGAAAAGAAGCTCATTTCCACTTTTCCTAGACCAGTGGTCCTATGCCCTATGGGCCACATTTTCAGAATAAAAATTTGCTCGCACCGCACCTAATTTTTTTATTGTTAAGAAATACATTGGAAAGGAAAAGCAAAAACCAGCAGTGCTGGATTTATAGCGTAGAATGCAGCCTCTTTATAATATGATCATGGGGCATCCAGAATGTATAAAACAATGCATCTGCTTACTCAGGAGTTCCATGCTTCATGTCCTTGCATTTTGAAAAAGCTTTAGCTAGCCTTTGCCGTTGAAGTTGGTTTGTTGTGGGTCGTCATATATAACTAGGATCTAAACCTTTTGTTCTGACCCAGTGCCTAACTTCTGAGTTGTCACACTGGGGGTTATTCTCAAAATTATGTGGACTCCTAGATAGTACATCACTACTAAAACGAGTTCTTGCACAGGCAAATAGTCAGATTCCATTTAAGATGCAGTCCTACACACGCTTACCTGGGAGTAAGTCCAGGGTAAGTAAGTGGGGCACTCTTCTGAGTAACTATGTGGGGTAGATAAACAAACTGGAATGTGTCCAGAGGAGGGCAACCAAAAAGGTCAAAGGCCTGGAAATGATGCCTTATGAGGAACGGCTAAGGGAGCTGGGCATGTTTAGCCTGGAGAAGAGGAGGTTAAGGGGTGATATGATAGCCATGTTCAAATATATAAAAGGATGTCATATAGAGGAGGGAGAAAGGTTGTTTTCTACTGCTCCAGAGAAACGGACACGGAGCAATGGATCCAAACTACAAGAAAGAAGATTCCACCTAAACATTAGGAAGAACTTCCTGACAGTAAGAGCTGTTTGACAGTGGAATTTGCTGCCAAGGAGTGTGGTGGAGTCTCCTTCTTTGGAGGTCTTTAAGCAGAGGCTTGACAACCATATGTCAGGAGTGCTCTGATGGTGTTTCCTGCTTGGCAGGGGGTTGGACTCGATGGCCCTTGTGGTCTCTTCCAACTCTATGATTCTGTGATTCTATGATTCTAGATCTGTCAGTAGAGCAAGAAACTCTTAATCAGAGTTGTGGGTTTGAGTCCCATGTTGAGCAAAATATTCCTCCATTGCAGGGGGTTGGACTAGATGGCCCTTGTGGTCCCTTCCAACTTTACAGTTCTATGATTCTGTCTGTCCATGGCTTTCTTTCCATAAGCCTTCTGTGCATTTAGTAAAGACATGCAAGGCTTCAAAAGCAGGAAGACCTACTAGGCACCCTTTTGAGTACCTGGCACCTCAAGCTTTAGAAGTTTAGAAATTGCAAATTGCCATTCGTATGTATGTAGAACTTCCGTTTATGAAGCCTCTGTCCTTCTTGTGCTTCTGCTATAGCCTTTTCCTGTTTGATCTCCTGGATTTGCTGCCATTTCCTCCACCCGATCCTAGCCTGTTGCCTTTTGTGCTTTGCGGATGACTTTTGTAACTACCAATACACCGCTGCTGCAAGTTCTTACTTTGAATTGTCCTCTTTTTGTTACACCTCCTCATAAAGAAAAATAACGGAAGACTTCTGAAGGAGATGTTTTGTCAGTGCTGCTGAAAATATTTTTGCCCCCCTTCCTTCCCACCCCCCTATTTGAATCAGCCCTCCTTGGAATAACATTTGCCAGTGTGCCTCTGGTCTTGAGCTCTGTGTTGCAGCTGCTGCAAGTGGCTGCTAGAGGTTGCTGTTTGCACGCAGAAGGAGATTCTTTCAAAGCAAGCAGCTGGATGCCACGCTTAACTTGCTAGCTGTTGACTTAATAATCAGGGTTGCTAGTCAGTTAAATAATTTTGGCTGATTGATTGGATAAAAGGCAGGTGATTAATTAACTACAGTTAAGTAAAATCTGCATTATGTCCAAAACGGAAGGTGGGTGCCTTTTGAGATTTTTCAGGTTGTTTTCTTCAGCAGTGTTTGCATGGCCAGTAAAGTTCAAGGCTCTTCATCACAGGGGAGGCATCCTTGAGTAGAAAAGACTCCCTGTTTCAGATGTTGCAGATGCAGGGAACCTTTATCAGCCAGAGCACAGAGAAATGAAAAGAGCAGAGCAGCCTTAGAGAGGGGTAGGAAGGCAGGGGCCTTCAGTCCTTGCAACTGCCTCATTGGGGCAAGACTTACTGGGAAGAGTTTTTAGGATCACTAGGCCTGCGCTGCTTTGGTTTCTTTGAATAAAGAGTTAACTGCACCGGCACCTTGTTTTTTTATTGCTCTTGACACTCCCCCCCCCTCCAAATAACATCACAGCGGGCACCCAGTATTTAAAACAGCAGAAATAAATAAAAGCAATTAAAAGCTATCAATAAAAGAGTTAAGAAATAACAAAGCAACTGTAAAACAGTAAATAACAAAGCGGCTATAAAATAACCATAAAATCTTAGCTGCAGCAGCGTAAATCAATTTCTCGTTCAACGCCTGTGCAAATAGCCGCTCTGTAAAATAGGTGCCAGGTGAGTAGCTTCAATGAAAGGCCCTTTGCTTTGTCCTCAGCTGCCTTACCAATGGGGGATGGGCGTGGGGCTGGAGTTAGCTCTGCCATTGTCTGGAGAGTCCGATCGACGGAAGGCTGAAAGTGTCGCTCCATCTATTATTAGTGATGCTTCTAATTATCCTTAGGTCTGAGGGTGTGTCACAACAATGCAACCGAGACCAAACAGGAATCATACATCCAGGCAGAAGGAGGGCACCCCATTTTGGTCCAAGAAGAAGGAGAGGATGAGGTGCTGTCTTTATGCCAACCACTCTTAAGCATTCATCTGACCCCTGATGGCAGAGTGTTGCTTGGTGTAGCAGAGGGAGTCTCTGAGATTTTGCCCCACAGTTTGAGAACCGAGGTACAGCTTTGTGTGTAGCAAGGAGCCCAGTCTATTTCCTCCTGCTGTGGAATGCAGCACTTGCAAGAACAGGGCATTGTAAGGAAATTAACAGTGAGATCCTACATGTTTACTCAGAAGTAAGTCTCACTGCATCCAGTGGCGCTTACTCCTTACTAAGAATGTTTAGAATTGCAGCACTAGGAGGGTGCGTTTTGACTGGTACAATGACAACAGTTGATTATTTTTTATTTTCACAATGCTTTTGTGTCAAATAAACTGGTCCTGAAATAAATTAGATTTTAGGTTGGTAGGAGAAGTTTGTGTGCAGCAGGCTGAAGAATTCCACTGTCGTTCCGCTCATGGTGTACCTGCATACTTAGCCGATTAACAGCTTCTTTGATTCTCTGCATATTTTATTCATTGTCTAATTAATTGCTCTGTTGACTTCCCCTCCTAGTTAATTACCCACAGCCTCCTCATCAATTCCATTCATGCTTAATTTGGAATATTGTTTATTTGATTCTTTGCCCTTAAGTGGCTGTTTCTGTTATTGTCCTGTTGATTCCCAGCCTAATTATCAACTGATTTATCAATTACCCGTTGCATATTTGTTCAGCTGCTACGGGGATCGGTGGCAGCCTTCTTATTATTAGTAATTATTTATACAGTGTGCTGTGTGATTTCCCTCTCCAGTTCCATTCATCCTTGCAACCAATATGAGAAGCTGTTCATTATCATTCTGACTTTACGGGCAGGGAATCGGTTTGCAAGCGTGAAGTTCGCTCAACTAAACCACAGTACATTATAGCACCAAACTTCTTGGCACATGTAAGATAAGTGTTGCTAAATCCGAGCTAGGTAGATCAGATCTGCAAGCTTTCTTCTTCATCTTCTGCAAAAAAATGACTATATTGAGAATAAACAGAATAGAATAAAAGCCTTTAAAGCATGCATGAGGATCACATGTCCTGACAGATAAACCCCAGCATGGCCCAAGGATCAGGATGGAGCTTAATGGCTTCGGTCCTGTATACCTGAAGGAGGATCTCCTCTCCAATTATTCAACCTGGACACTGAGGTCCAACTCTGAGTGCCTTCTGGTGCTTCCCTTATTGCAAGAAGTAAAGTTACAGGGAACTAGGCAGAGGGTCTCCTTGGTAGTGGTGCCTCACCTGTGGAATGCCCTCCCGTTAGATTTCAGAGAGATAAACAATTACAGTGGTGCCTCGCAAGACGAAATTAATCCGTTCCGCAAGAGTCTTCGTCTAGCGGTTTTTTCGTCTTGCGAAGCAAGCCCATTGACGGATTAGCGCTATTAGCGCTATCAGCTGTTTAGCGGCTATTAAAGGCTTAAAGGCTTAGGGGATTAGCTGCTAAAAGGCTATTAAAGGCTATTAAAGGCTTAGCAGATTAGATAAAGGGGGGGGAAAGCGAAAAAAAAATCTCAAGACTCACAAGGTATTTTCGTCTTGCGAAGCAGGCCCATAGGGGAATTCGTCCTGCGAAGCAACTTCAAAACGGAAAACCCTTTCGTCTAGCGGTTTTTCCGTCTTGCGAGGCATTCGTCTTGCGGGGCACCACTGTATATGTCTTCCCGACAATTGAAGTTTTTTTATTTTAGTTTTTTATTTTTATTGGATTATGATTTGATATGCTAATTGGATGTTTTTATTGGAAAACTAATAAACACTCTAATAAAACAACAACAATTATATGACTTCCCAAAGACATCTTAAGGCAGCCCTGTACAGGGAAGGTTTTAATGTTTGGTGTTTTACTGTGGTTTTATAACTTGTTGGAAGCCTGCCAGATTGGCTTGGGCAACCCAGTCAGACGGGGCCTTAATAATAATAATATAAACATCTGGAAGGCCACATATTCTCTTGTCTATGCTTGAGAGAGCGGGCAGCTCTTCCTGACTACCGTCAGCTTTGGATGTTGCAAAGGAGCATGCGCTGGGTCCAGTGGGCGCGGGGACAGCCAGAAGGGTTGTTGTTTTTCATTTCATTTTCTGCAGTTTTTGGTGCTCTGCAGAAAGGCAGGAACCGTTAAAGGGCTGGGACTCTTGCCAAGCGATCTAGGCAAGACAGGTAGAGGAGCCCCGAGAGAACAAAACATTGGCAAAAGGGAGTCGGCCTATATTCAACTTCTGCATATCCAGCTGGCCCTGCCTACCTACCCCAACTTCCCCCGAACCTTCTACTGGGGTTTCTCACTTCTTCCAGCCACCTCCCACTAGTAACTGCCTCGCCACCCTGTCCAATTGTGACATCACAGGAAGTTTGTAGCCCGTGGCAACTGCTTAGGGATGCATCTGCACAGCCTCGCATCCTGGTACTGTAAAGGGGAATGTCATGAACGTTACTTAGATGTATTTAGAAATACCTTGATTTAGAAGGTAGAAGATGGCTTGCTTATGCTCTGCTGTCCCCTTCATTGCTGCTTTCGGGGAAAGCCTCGTTGGCTTGTGACATCCATGAAAGGCAAACACAGATACGGTGAGGGGATTGGCCCTCATTCAACAGTTATCATCCAGCCACCTCCACTGGCCAGTCTGTCAACCTCCGCTGGCTTCCATCCATGAATATCCAGTGGTTCATTTGCCCAGAACCTGGAGGGCAGCCTACACCGCTATCTGAACATGCAATTCCCAGGCATACTGTGTCTGGTGGGTGACCTATGTCCACACTCTCCATTCATACTTACCTCAGCATCAACCCACAAATATCCACACAGCTTTTGTCAGTGGTCTTCTGAAGGTGAATTTCAACCAGCTTACGTTGACAAACTTCAGCCTCCTTCATCCCTGCGGCATCCTGGGCTTCCACATGCTAATCACAGCTTCTTTTTTTTAATGAGATATTTATTAAGATTTTCAAAATATTACAAAATAAAAATAAAAAAAGAGAAAAATACAAAATAAAAATGGTTAAAAACAACTCAATCTTTCCATTACTTATTTTTCATTAGCTTGTTTCCCGGACCTCCTCACGCCTCCCTTTTCTGTATTCCAGTTCGATTTGTTGGATCAGCAAATCCTTCCCCTCTTTGTTTATCCTAGTCTTTAATCTTAAAATATTGTAACGTTAAATTTTTACCTATTAGTAATCCATTTGTCATATTCCCTTATAGTATTACAGCTGAAAACCACTTAATTTCTATCCAGCATCATTCTAACATTCCTTAATTTTACAATATTTCTGTAAATAGTCTTTAAATTTCTTCCAATCTTCTTCCACCGACTCTTCTCCCTGGTCTCGGATTCTGCCAGTCATTTCCGCCAATTCCATGTAGTCCATCACCTTCATCTGCCATTCTTCTAGAGTGGGTAAATCTTGTGTCTTCCAATACTTTGCAATGAATATTCTTGCTGCTGTTGTGGCATACATAAAAAAAGTTCTGTCCTTCTTTGGCACCAATTGGCCGACTATGCCCAGGAGAAAGGCCTCTGGTTTCTTCAAGAAGGTATATTTAAATACCTTTTTCAATTCATTATAGCTCATCTCCCAGAAAGCCTTAATCCTTGGGCACGTCCACCAAAGGTGAAAGAATGTACCTTCAGTTTCTTTACATTTCCAACATTTATTATCGGGCAAATGATAGATTTTTGCAAGCTTGACTGGGGTCATGTACCACCTGTATACCATTTTCATAATATTCTCTCTTAAGGCATTGCATGCCGTAAACTTCATACCTGTGGTCCATAACTGTTCCCAGTCAGCCATCATTATGTTATGTCCGACATCTTGTGCCCATTTAATCATAGCAGATTTCACTGTTTCATCCTGAGTATTCCATTTCAACAGCAAGTTATACATCTTTGACAAAATCTTAGTTTTGGGTTCTAACAGTTCTGTTTCTAATTTTGATTTTTCCACCTGGAAACCAATTTTCTTGTCCGAATTATATGCCTCCATTATCTGATAATAATGAAGCCAATCTCGCACTTTGTTTTTTAGTTTCTCAAAACTCTGCAATTTCAGTCTATCTCCGTCTTGTTCCAGAATTTCCCAATATTTCGGCCACTTGGCCTCCATATTGAGCCTTTTCAGAGCTTTCGCTTCCATCGGTGACAGCCACCTTGGCACATGCTAGTCATAGCTTCTGCCAGGTCCATCGGCAGCTTCCAACCATGGATATCTGCCGCTTTTAAGCCGCGGTCCTGCTCAGCAGGTACACTTACGTACTCGTTGCTCCACAGCATCTCATTGATGGATGATGGCCTCCTTCCATTTGCCACTTCGCCTCCATGCGGAAGGAGACCACCAAGTACTGAATAACACAGCTGTTGTCCACTGTGTCCTCTTCAAGCTTTTGCCTTGGGCTTTCTCCTTGGGTTGCTTTTGTATATCAACTGAGCTTCCATGTGCTTTTGTGACATCACAGGATATCTACAGCCAATAGCAGCAGCTGGAGAGGCATCATCATCATGACCTCCTCAGGCCTCACAATGGTGTGTGGAGCTCAGCAGCCATTTCCCCGTTGCTTGTTTGCTGTGTACAGCTCACTCCTTATCTGTAATGACACCAGAGAAAGGCATGCCATGAATCCACCTTCCCATTTTGATTCTCTGGTGCCCTATCTGCATAACCTGGCAACCCCAAAATATAGATGCCCTTTTACTCTTGCAAGGTTGAATGTATTGCCCTCGGCTGTACTTGAGGGACGATTCTACCAGATTCCACACAAAAAACGCTTATGTCCCTGTGGAGATAACAGCACCGAATCGGTGGTGCATGCCCTTCTGGCTTGCACTCTTTATAAAGACTTGAGGAATGAGATTATCACCCCTCTTTTATTGCCCATTCCGGGTCGCCCAACCACTGCCACAGATGAGCAGGTGACAGCAAAGGTTGCAGGGCTTTTAGCTGGGGCAATCAGAATAAGATCCACTATTTGACTGTGTTTTATATAATCTGTGTTTTATATAATCAACTTTTTATTTCTGTTTTGTGTATATTGCAATGTTCTTTTGTTGCTATGGCCTATGGCTGATGCAAATAAAGTATCATGCTTTAATTTTAAGGATGCCTGATTGCATGCGAGTGCAGCATGTCAAGTATGGAAAGTAAAACCGATATATTTTGTTGTTTGAGGTAGAACAGAAAGTGGTTGAGTCCACCACTGCAGTATCCCAAGGCCAGCAGAGCTATTTTGCTACCCAAGCAGATGATCCTACGATCATATCACCCTGGGAGTAAAAATACAATAATAATGAAGGGTGACATCCAATATTGTGTGATCTGGTTTGTTCTTGTGCAGCAGCCCCTCCCTCTTTCCTGGCTGTAGTCATGCTCCTAAAATCTATTTTAGGGTGTTGGGAGGAGTCCTTCTGGAGCAGATTTTGGGTACGTATGTAGCTACAGGGAGAAGGAAAGCAGACATCTGTAGTGCAAGCGGGCAGTCATAATCAGGTAGCAACCTAATCAATTAACTAACAATCTGCTTGTTTTTCTTGTTGCCCAAATTCAGCCACTTGAGAAACGTGCCATACACTGCCAAACAGTAAGGCCGGTCCGGAAAGCATGTTTTCCCCCTTGCCATCATAGAGAGATAAGAGCCAAAAGAGCGTAGATTACGCTCATGATCCAATAGCATGAGCTGACCAACTTTTATGTGTTCCGTGGGCATAGCATTATATGAATCGTGCGTGGTGTAGTGAAATACAGTACTGGGATGTTCATCCCCATTTCAACTGCTCTGAGAGGTGCTGCTTACCTACAGGAAGAGTACAAAGCACACTCCTGCAAGGCACACCATGTGCACCATGTGCCATTAATCTAGATACCTTTTTTATTCCTTTCTATTGGCAGTAGGCGGCTATCCAGGGCACCCTGCATGCCTCCAGTTCCCACTGTTATGGAACTATCAGTGCAAGCAGAGTGACAGTGAAAAACTCTGGGCTTGTTGTACTTTTTTTTGGGGGGGGGGGATAGCAACCACTATGTATTGCTTCTCAGCAATCAAACCAAATTAACAACAAAAAAAATCTTGACTTGAATAATTTCATGGGTTTCCTTTTTTCAGATTAACTGTTAAAATGGGAAAAGAAGTTAATAACCCACCTTAATTTATGTTATATTTTCCAGGAAACAGATCCATCTTTATGTGCAAGCTCTGTAACTTATTTTCCCCGAACCAGTCACAACTGCTGTCTCATGTCTCGGAGAAGCATTCCGAAGAAGGGATTAAGGTGGATGACATCGTTATTCCTCTCAGACCTCTTACGACGCCAGCAAATCTAAATAAAAACGGAGAAGGTACGGCCAGAAGTCGGCAAGGATGCAAATAATTATTACCGCTGTTCTTTGAGTTATGTTAAATTTATAAAATTGCTTCAGCCTCAGAAACGACCAGATCCTCTGCTTAATTCATGACAGCAGGAAAGTCTTTTGCTTAATTCATGAACGCTTCCAACTGCAGTGATTAAATGTCTCTGCATAAGGCATGGAAAGCTTTGATGGTTTCATGAGTCTGCCAGAGGATTTGTTTGTTTCATGAATTATAATATTTGCTTAATGTCTGCAACTTCATATGTTGAGCTATCCCCCTTCCTTTTCGTAAAAGAAAAGAAGCCTTAATGAAGCAACTTCACAGACTCAGCTTTGTGTGCCTATGTGCATGAAACCTCACACAGCTGCACTAACTGTTCCGCACCCCTGTTCACGAACAAGTACCCCCCCAATCCATTACGTTTCATTCACATTCATCCCACAATCCCCCAACACCCAGTTATCCTGCTTTCTCTCCCTACCCCAGGACTTTCCTTTTCCTGCCACCTCTTCCTTTCCCTTCTCTGGTGGCCCAGCCACAGAAAATGTCCTTCGTGATGCTGTTGCAGGTGCCACACTCCTTGCTGGAGACTACAAGCTCTCTGCCACATAATCACCTCTCCTTGTTCCCTTCACAGTTGCGGCTGAAGTTGTGGCATCACAACCACAAAGAGATCAGGTGGTTGGGAGGCCAGATGCTGTGGTTTGGCATCTTTCCAGAGGATGCTCTAGCTCAGCGATGGCCAGACTTGGCCCTCCAGCTTTTTTTTGGAACTACAATTCCCATCATCCCTGACCACTGGTCCTGTTAGCTAGGGATGATGGGAGTTGCAGTCCAAAAACAGCTGGAGGGCCAGGTTTGGCCATTGGTGCGTTTGCACCCCATGGCTGAGTGTCACATATGAACCTGCCTGCCTGGTGGCCAGTTATAGTAGCAGCTGGGTTGCTGAATGCCAAGCAAAGCAAGAGAAGGAATGGGAGGCTACCTTCTGCAGGTCTAGAATTGTTTTTGTGTGTCCAGATGAGAAGTCGGTGTCTCCAGACAAGACTTCAGCCCCCATAATGTGGGTGCCATTATATCTGCTGCAAGCCTGCCATTACAGGGAGAAAAACCAAACTTCCATCTGGCAAGGAGACAGCACTGCAGCTGTAACGCGTAGCATGGCTCACAATGTGGCATGATGTCCTCCTGTGAACGTCACCACTAGAAATAAACGGCAGCGACGTGGAGGCTTTCTTTGTGACGGTAGCTATCGCATTCAAGTGGCAGGAGTTGTGGCCATGGCTCATTTACTTGATAACCGACACATCTTTTTGAAAGCTGAATGTGCCCAACTTTGTGCCTAACTACCAATGAGAGGGAAAATTCAGGCTTTTCTTTGGAAAGCCACCAATGCAACAAAAAATAAATAAAACTGCAGTCATTTGACGAGCTGATTGCCTGAATGTTATGTTGGTATTTGCAAAAATTTTTTAAAAACCTCTCCCCGTGATTCATTTCAGATAATAGCTCTCTTTTTATGCAAAGACAGAACAAGGACTATTCATAATTTATAATGGAAAATTAACACTGGGGCTATTAAGCAATTTTTTTAAAAAAAGTAAAAATAAAACCATGCAGCAAAGGTTGAACAACTTTGCTGATGACAACGCCAACTCCACCACCGAAATAGGGTGACAATTTCAACTTCTCATTTTTAAGAACAACATTGCCCCTGATGATAAAGGATTCCAGGCTCGACGTCATTATGAAGGCTTCCTAAGCCCAGTTTGGCAACTGGATTTTACAAAAGTTACCAGCTAAGCCATCTGTGGCCTAGAAAAAGAGGGAAGGACCCACATTTGCAAAGCTGTTCTGCTCAGTCGTCCAGAGGCAGTTCTTTCTTGGCACAGACAATCTGGGGTTTTTTGTTTTTTACACACCTGCATTATTGTATAAATGATCGCAAGGCTCAGGGGTCAGTGTACTGGAAGAAGCATCTGTTATTGCTTATTGTTGATTTTGGGTGATATCCAATGTTACTCAGACTCGGCGCCAACCCATTTAGCTTAATTTCTGTTATTTCAGTGGTTGGACTCTGGGTGTGACTAACAATGGATATCACCCTTTAATTATTTTATATTGCATTTTTTAAATATTGTATTGTTTATAAGTCAGCCAGGATGGCTATAATAAATCAAATTAATAAATTAGAAATACCTCCCAGCACATATCTAGGACTTGATGTATAGATTAAATTCAGTTCTGTTGCTCACTGAATTAGCTGGCTATTTGTTTGCATTTGTGGTAATTGCAGATATGGTAATGATAGTATGGACAATAATATTTCTAATTTTGTTACCCTTTTCGGGCATTCTTTTTTAAAGGGAGTGGTGTCACTCTTCTGACCCCCACACATTCATTTGGGGTTTACAAGACATGTAGGCTCTGTTCTGATCTCCAGTGAACATCCAACAGATAGAGATTGAGCGACTCCTCCATGTCTTGGATTATTTCACTTGAGTTGTGATCTCCCTGTATGCCAAAAGCCATTGTGTGATGAGCCAATCGTTTACTGCTTGAAAATCTTACCTTCAAGAAGAAGAAGAAGAGTTTGGACTTGATATCCCGCCTTTCACTCCCCTTCAGGAGTCTCAAAGCGGCTAACATTCTCCTTTCCCTTCCTCCCCCACAACAAACACTCTGTGAGGTGAGTGGGGCTGAGAGACTTCAGAGAAGTGTGACTGGCCCAAGGTCACCCAGCAGCTGCATGTGGAGGAGCGGAGACGCGAACCCGGTTCACCAGATTACGAGTCTACCGCTCTTAACCACTACACCACACTGGCTCTCAAGTGGTGATGCAAACTTGCTTCCACAGTGTATAATTTGTTATATGATGGAAGGTAAAGAGCATGTGTAGTTTTTGCTATGGAATTTTAATGTCTCGTCTTGAGCTACCTCCCCAACCATGGCGGGGAAATAATCTCCAGATCTTTCTGTGCGTTTTGTGAAGTCCTGCTCCTTGGGGTATCAAGACTTTGTGCGACTGTCATTCATTAGAGTTATTGTTTTTGAAGCGCTCAAAACTATCAAGGGTTCTACGAAGATAAAATCAGCAGGCTTGCAATCTATTCCTAGATGCAAATCAGCTAGCTAAACGTTACACCTACAACCACCGTCTGATAAGAGTGATTTTGTGTTGTTGGGTGTTTTTTTTAAACTTTTTTAAATGGCAGCTTTGCTTTTCCTTTTGTGTATGTGTGAATAGCAGTATAGCTTGTTATGACTGTACCCAGTAGGTCCATTCCCTGCCCCCCTCCGACACTTTCCCCTATGTATTCTGAATCTATACCAAATAATTAATGAAGCTCAGTGCTCTAAAAATCCAAGCACATGTTAGTCACATCCCAAGGGAATAATGAAAATGTAGGGTGTGTTTTTTCCAGCACGGTAGCCACGGTTTTGCTCTTCTGCAGCAACAGCATTTAATCCTCCCCCCCCCCTTTTCCCAATGCATGCCTGTTAAAGAATTTACAAAATTACATAATTATTAGATGGCACTTGGATGAAAAATTTGCATTGGAGAAAGAACAGTATAAAGATTTTTCTCTTGACATGGTTTATTTCTCAATTTCTTTTTGAAATGTCATCTCTCTGGATATTAGTCTAGGCAGAATGTGTTTTCTCCACTTATGCATGGCTTTGAGTGGCATTTGCTGGCCTCCCGAAGTCTAGATGACAAAAGAGCCGGTTCTCCTCAGCCGACAGGCAGGCAGGTTTCATAATAGATTAGATGAGGGCAGTGCTCGCTCTTTTCCTATACTAGGAATGGGGAGGCTGAGGCCCTGGGGTCCAATGTGGCCCTCCAGACCTTTCTGCTTGGACCTTGGAACTGTCCCCAGGCTGCACACCCCCAATGGTCTTGCTTTGAACCTGTCCCCCCCCCCCAATCTGGCTGGAATGTGCCTGTGAACTGCTAATGCCCCTTGACTGAATGGAGAAGAGAGAGAAGGGGGCGTGGGATATGTGTAGAAACAAATACACAGGGAGATTTTTGGCTTTGGCCTTGCTGACCCCTGGCATGTGACCTTCAAAAGGTGCCCAGAAAGGATTTCAGCTGTCGGACTGTCAAGGTTTCTGCACCCCTGCCCTAAAAACCTACATCTTCACATCTCAAATGGAAAATGAGGGGACAGAGTTAAATGGACTGAACAAAAGCAGTAAACTTTGGGGGGAAATATAACCCTGCCATGGTCAGTCAAGGCAAGGTCTCCCTTTGGAGACTTGCTGCCCACTATGAGACCCTAGAAATAACTGCTTAGAGAAATCCAGACCCAAAAACAAATGTTTAGATTTTAATGTGCACAGCTTTAGAATCGGAAGTTCCAGAGAGCTCCTTGTCTTAATATTTTTCTCTCAAGGGCTGTCACGAGGAAGAGGGAACAAGCTTGTTTTCTCCTGTTCTGGACAGTAGGACTCTGTTGGGTTGAAATAAACGACAGACGAGTGACAAGTGTCATATGGGAGGCATCTACCGAGCATGTCTCGGAGAGTCCCTTTTATTGAATATTACAGCATTGCCACATATGTGCTTGTTGCTGATTGGTTAACACAAATACAATGCAAGGACATTAATCATCAATAGATTAAAGGTTGGGAAAGGGAACACATGGTTAGACAGGTATGAAAACCTCCTTATTAAACTATTACTAGTGATTGATATTGCATGACTTAAAAGAACATAACCATCGCGTTCCGTAGACGTGGTCAACCATGCATTAAGAACAGGTCAGGGTATGATGTTTCATGAACTCAATGTGAACTGAACATTCTAGGGTGGATGAGGACTCATGTGCAGAAGCAGAACTTCCCATCATCTCCCCCTTCCTTTTTTTTTTTGCGAAATGTTGCTTTGTGATTTCAGGGTGGATGGGACAAAAATACTTCGGGATACGTGGTTTGCCAGCGCATGCCCGAAGTAAGTCTGCCCACATCTCCCCTATTATTTACTGTTGGTGCTGCCACTTCGCAAAGTAGGCAGCAATGATTTTATTAGGTGGCTGAGGAGGCTGTTGGCTTCCAGTTATAAGAAATGAGGTTCTGACTAAGCGTCAGGATGAACTTTCTGACATTAAGAGATGTTCAACAGTGGAACAGACTCCCTCGGAAGGTGGAGGACTCTCCTTCCTTGGAGATTTTTAAGCAGAGGTTGAATGGCCATCTGACATGGATGCTTCAGCTGAAATTCCTGATGATCCTTGGACTAGATAACCCTTGGGTCCCTTCCAGATTATATGATTCTGTGACTCCAGGGCTCATTGGTGCTCCAGTCTTAGCTACCCTATCCCCTTGTAAAGCTGCACCTCCTGCACATAAATGCAATATCACAAGGAAGAAACATGGTATCTTGGCTGCTGCTAGAAGCAGCAAGTGCTTGGGACACAGGGCAGCCCTTTGGGGTATAATCTTGGGACTTGGGCTGGCCGACCCCATAATCCAAACACCAAACCTGTAGTACAGGCTTCCTCAAACATGGCCCTTCAGATGTTTTGAGACTACAATTCCCATCATCCCTGACCACTGGTCCTGCTAGCTAGGGATCATGGGAGTTGTAGGCCAAAAAAACATCTGGAGGGCTGCGTTTGAGGAAGCCTGATATATTAAATCTTAGGATACTCAAATACAGGAACAGCCTTGAGGTTAGGCACTCATTCTGAGCACAATTCAAAGTGTTGGTGCTGACCTTTAAAGCCCTAAACGGCCTGGGTCCAGTATAACTGAAGGATCGTCTCCACCTCCATCGTTCTGCCCGGACACTGAGGTCCAGCGCCGAGGGCCTTCTGGCGGTTCCCTCTCTGTGAGAAGCCAAGTTACAGGGAGCCAGGCAGAGGGCCTTCTCGGTAGTAGCGCCCGCCCTGTGGAACACCCTCCCACCAGATGTCAAAGAGAAAAATAACTACCAAACTTTTAGAAGACATCTAAAGGCAGCCCTGTTTAGGGAAGCTTTTAATGTTTAAAAGGTTATTGTATTTTAGTGTTATGTTGGAAGCCGCCCACAGTGGCTACGGGACCCAGCCAGATGGGCGGGGTATAAATAATAAATTATTATTATTATTATTATTACTCTTGGGACGAACTCGCCCATTACCTGTTGAAAGAACAGCGTAGGTGCTCATTAAGAGCCACGCACAGCTGTTTGACGACTTCTTAACATTCCTCCCAACAGAGCTCCTCGTAGTGAAGAGGAAAAGAGGCAGGCCGAAAGGATCGACCAAGAAATTTTACGCTGATGAAGAACTGACAGAAAGCAGCAACTGCGCTCCAAGCGAGGCTGCTCCAGTGGGACCCGAGGAAGGAGGGGAGTTGGCGGAAGTTCCGCCAGGCAACCTGGAATGCCGGAAGTGCAACCGGAAATTCTCTAATTCCCGGCAGCTACGGAAGCATATCTGCATTATCGTCAAACCCGAAGATTTGGAGGAGGAAGGTGATGCAGGTAGATGAGCTTTCTCTTGTCTTTTTCTGAAGGCATGTGCTGTGATCCACAGAAGAACAATACGTCTGCATGTGGGGAAAGCCGACATACACAAAGTTGGTGTTTTCGTTTGCTAAGTCTACCGTTGTGGCTCCTGTTGCCAGCCAGGCAAGGTGCTGTTGAACGTTAAGGATCATTTAGGATTGATTGGGCCTCTGGGCAAATTCAGGAGAACCATGGTCTTACACAGTTTGGCTTGACAACTGTAGAGAGGTATTGGAAGGTTACAGAAAGGAGCCGTAACACTCAAACTGTATTTGATGGATGACTTTGAAGCACTTAGGCAGGGCATACGCCTTGGTTCAAAGCAGAGTTAGAAGCTCAGATATAGAAGCTAGGCACCAAATTGCTCCGTAAACCAGGGCTACAGTCACCATTGGGGGGCCAGACAGCTCGGAAGTTGTATTCTTCAAATTTTTGGTTCCTGAAATTCATTCGGATTGTGCAGATAAAAGTATAACTGATAGATTTCTACAGGATGGGGTATTAGTATGTGAAAACTGTGAAGATCCTCGGATCCTCAGGCATGCGCCTCCAGGCCTGGCGCCATCCTGGCACCCAGGCATCTTCAGTTTGTTTCAAGAGGCCGATAGCCACGTGCAAAATGCACCTGGTGAATTTTGGTTCAAAGTAGGTACGTCACACCATTTATATAGGTACCTTCTTGCATTTGTGGGCTGTTTTCATTTTTAGTTAAGCACCCACGTTGACTTTGTACTTGCAAGGTAATTTTGAGTATATATGGAAATTTTCCACTAAAGCTGGTTGCCTATGTTGCTTTCCCCAGAGATTAATTTATAGGTAGCGTTGGGTAGTATCTGGTGCTATGAGATCTAAATAAAGCTGGCAGGACTTAAAAGGAGCTTTGGGGGGTAATGTTCTTTGTTTTCTGCTTTATTTTATTGCTTAAGGAAGCCGTCTGGTTGCCTCATTTGTGACATGTGTCCCTTGTCTCCTCCACATGTTATTTTCAGCAGTACTATTATACTATTCTAGCATAATGGGATTAGTAAATGCTTTTAAATGTGATCTTTATGTACATCACTGAAACTCACTGTCCTTGTCCCACAAGCTCATTAAAACCATAAAATGTGAGCTTGATAACAGTTTCTTACATAGACTACTCATGGTTTTTCCAGCTGAAATTGGTTTCTGCTTTTATAGAAGAAAACAACTTTTCTGTCTGCAGGTGATGAGAAAAATAAACCAGTCCATGTCATGCAGGAAATTAATTCTTGCCACTGCCCAATGCCTTCTTTTTGATACTGACATAAAATACGGCCTAGCTTGGGATAGCCAATGGGTTGGCCTCCAGATGTTGGACTACAACTCCCATCATCTCTGACTGCTGGCCATGCTGGTTGATGGGAGTTGTAGTCCATCAGCATCTGGAGGCCAACCCATTGGCTATCCATGCACTGGATCTTTTGGACAATGCCCAAGGGGCATTTTCCAAGCTGTGAGATGTTGGTTTGATTGTATTACGTTGTTAACATTCTGCCTACCAACCTTTTTAAGGCTTCAGATGCGTCTAAGCCTTTGGTGAGACAGTATCTTCCCAAACTCAGCTAGAAAGGCCCACTGGGAACTGTCAAGAGCTTTGGCTTTCCATGCCTCACTCCACCCCAATCTGACCCAGAAGAGGCTCTGGTTTTCATTGCCTTTTTCCCTGAGAGGGCTTCAGATTCCAACAGAACAGGGTACTCTCCAGCTCAGGAGGAGAAAGAGAACTCCCTTGTAGATGCCTATCTAAGGCAACCCATATTATCTGGTTCCAGGACCTGAAAAATGGTTGGTTGACTGATCAGGGTGAAGCTTAAAACCAACAGTGGTGTCCTAGGTGCCCTGTTTATTATGTCCACTTGGCCAGGAATTAGATCAAATGGCCCACGTAACACCAAGCCACCGGTCATCATTGCACACCTGGTTCAAACGTTACAAAAATAATTGTTCCCTCTCCATTTATATATATATATATTGCGAAAATGGCAACTGTCCTGCAGGGGAGTGGTAGTAAAGATTTTAAACAAAACGAAACCCCAAACGCTCCAATGAAGAGCAAGTTCAAAGTGTGCCAATTAAAGCACCAAAACATGCACTGCAGATTCACCAGGGAGCCTCCTCCAATTACGAATGCACGACACACAGCGAAGGAACCAATTAGGGACGCTGAACAGAAAATATTGATGGCTTCAACAGTCTAGCTCGAAATGCTGTTGAACATACTGATTCATATGTCATTGACAGCTGCCTTCCTCAACAGTAGAGACGTGAACATCCCATAAATGGGAGTCTAAATTCAGATGCAGCATAGCATTAAATTACTTGTGCATGCCACACTGGGATTTAAATCGCATAGATCTGGATACAGGAGGTCAGTTTATTAGTTTGCCAAATCAAAGTGCCAGCTGTTCAAACTGATTGCTTAATGTTCCTTAGGAATGCAGAACCAGGGTAAAGACTATTCATCTCAATCAGGCTGTTGCGAGGGGGGAAAAATTCTCAAAAAAACCCCCACATTTGTTTTAGTCATTCTAAGTCGAATGGGCTTGCCGTTCATCCACAAACAGCTTGTAAATATAGATGGAAGGCAGAGGAGGAGAAAGCAAAAAGTCCAGATTGTGAGGAACTGGGCAATGCACCCACTAACAGGGCTTTTGTGGGGCTCCTTCCCCTGCAGCTGTCATCTGGTAGGGTTGCTCAAGAACTTTGGCCAAAAGCGTCTTTTTTTATTGTTGTTGTTGTTTAGTTGTTTAGTTGTATCTGACTCTTCGTGACCCCATGGACCAGAGCACGCCAGGCACTCCTGTCTTCCACTGCCTCCCACAGTTTGGTCAAACTCATGCTGGTAGCTTCGAGAACACTATCCAACCATCTCGTCCTCTGTCATCCCCTTCTCCTTGTGCCCTCCATCTTTCCCAACATCAGGGTCTTTTCCAGGGAGTCTTCACTTCTCCTGAGGTGGCCAAAGTCTTGGAGCCTCAGCTTCAGGATCTGTCCTTCCAGTGAGCACTCAGGGCTGATTTCCTTCAGAATGGAGAGGTTTGATCTTCATGCAGTCCATGGGACTCTCAAGAGTCTCCTGCAGCACCATACTGTATTTTTCGCACCATAGGACGCACCGGACAATAGGACGCACTTTGTTTTAGAGGGGGGAGAACAAGAAAAAAAAATTCTCCCCCTCTCTGCCCAGCGCCCCTTCAGCGAAGTGGCAGGAGGCGCTGTGCAGAGAGGGGAGAACTTTCCCTCTTGTTTTCCCGCTCTAAAACAAGGTGCCGTTAAGGTGCGTTCAGGCGGCTACCTTGGAAGCCTGGAGAGCGAGAGGGGTCGGTGTGCACTGACCCTCTCGCTCTCCAGGCTTCAGGTTCCTTCGACCTGCTCTTTGGGACTGGCGGGGGGAAGCCCACCACCAGCCCCAAAGAGCAGTTCAGGGAGCAGCGGAGAGGCTCCTGCCATAGCCGTGCGTCACCTCTCCAGCCGGGAGAGCGCGCGCGGGGCTAAAGAAGCCATAGCCCCGCGACCCTCTCCTGGCTGGAGAGGTGACGCGCGGCTATTGAGGCTCTTGCCATAGCCACCCGTCACCTCTCCAGTCGGGAGAGCGCGCGCGGGGCTAAAGCAGCCCCCCGCGACCCTCTCCCGGCTGGAGAGGTGACGTGCGGCTATGGCAGGAGCCTCTATAGCCGCCCGTCACCTCTCCAGCCGGGAGAGCGCGTGCGGGGCTAAAGCAGCCCCCCGCGTCTTCGCTCCATAGGACGCACACACATTTTCCCTTCATTTTTGAAGGGGAAAAAGTGCGTCCTATGGAGCGAAAAATACGGTAATTCAAAAGCATCAATTCTTCGTCATTTTCATTATGGCAACCCTATCATCTGGCCATCATATACTGTACCCAGTACCCTCGTCTCTGCTCACGGTATCGTTCACACTCTCCAACGGTAGTGAAGTTCTACTTCCTCCCCATAGTGTTACCTATGTTAACCCCATTTCAAATGCCATTTCCCACCTTTGCAAGCAACCTCACTGTGCCCGTTCAGTTCTTGCACTGAAGCCCCCCCCCCCTCCTGGATCGCAGGCTTCGATTGCAAAGCTTTCTGAGGTCGCAAAATTGTTCCCCGTCTGCTTCCTGATTTTGGTATTTTAGAGCTCCCTTTACCCCCATGTCAAAGTGCACGAGGGACAGTAGCAAACATTTTGCAGGCTGGTTCCTTTTACAAGAACAGAGTGGAGCACCCAGGGAAGCCGCTGAGGGTGAAACTTTGCCGCGCAAGATGAGAATCCACATGTTCCTCCTTTTACCTTCTTTCCGATGTTTGCTCTTTAGGTAATGATTCTGACGTTGACCTTGACAGGAGGGAAGATGAGCGAGAAAGAACGCCAAAGAGGCAACGGCTTCAGAGAACCGAGAAGAGCCTTTCAGCGAAGGACGCAGACCAGCTCTCGGGAGCTAAGAATCCTATTATAAGTGTAGTTCTGACAGCCCACGAAGCAATTCCAGGTAACTGTTAACTGTTCCCTCCTAGAAACTTTTACTTCAGGAAGCCATTAAAATAAAATGAACAGCTCCAAACATTTGCAATCTGAAGCAGACCTCATAATTCCCTTTATCTCATCATAAAGATTCACCCCCCCCCATGTAGCTCTTAAATTGTAGGCATCTGCATTGCTGCAATTGCAGTTCAGAATCTTGAGAATCTCTAATTTCATTTCATTTTATTTTTCTTTCGGTTATCAAGATTGCAGAGGGGGACAAATATTGAAGACATGGCAGAATAGGTGATTCACATCATGATTTCAATCAGCAAGGGGAAAAAACCTGGTTTAAAATTATTGATTTCAATCAAGTTTCCTGTTGATACTTTATATGTTTCCTAAACAGTGGTGCAAATTTGACCATTTCCTTTGGCCCCTTGTCTTAAGGTATTAGCTCACATAAATATTTACAGTTTCTTTCTTTTTTTGTTTAAAGATATGTACTATTATTGCATGCTGCCATTTCTCTAAGGAGCTCCAAAGCTGTGTGTGAGTTTTTCACAATGTTCTACTTGCAAAAGTGCACACACATTTTTTGTTAACCATGCATAGCCCCAGAACTCAGCAGTCTGCAAAGATTTTACAAGCTGACATCTCATTTCAATCCTGAATCAAGTACAGTCTTAAACTTTGACCAAAAGTCTTTTGGGAAGTAGAAGGGGGCAGGGAGAAAGGCCAGACATCACCTGCTCTTTTCTCCAGCAACACAAGACACCATTAGGCTTTTGAGATGTAGATAAACAAGTTCTTCCCTCCCCTTGTTTTGTACAGCGGTGGATTTCAAGCTGTTGTTCTGATGTTAGATGTTCCAGAACAGTGGAAGCTGGAGATTTTTGCAGGTTTTGTCATGCACAGATTATTGCCTCTCTCTTTCTCTCTCACCCACATTGATTTCGCCGATGCATCTATAGCAGTGGTTTTCAACCAGTGTGCTGTGGCACCCTGGGGTGCCTTGAATGATGGTCAGGGGTGCCATGGGCAACAATGACCTCTGTCCCTCTTTCCTTCCCTCCCTCCCTTCCTCTGATGCCCTCTTGCACCTCTGCCTCCCAAAGAGATCTGTCCTGAGAGATCTGCATTGGCTCCCAGTACGTTTCCGAGCACAATTCAAAGTGTTGGTGCTGACCTTTAAAGCTCTAAACGGCCACAGTCCTGTATACCTGAAGGAGCGTCTCCACCCCCATCGTTCAGCCCGGACACTGAGATCCAGCGCCAAGGGCCTTCTGGCGGTTCCCTCATTGCAAGAAGTGAGGTTGCAGGGAACCAGACAGAGGGCCTTCTTGGTAGTGGCACCCACCCTGTGGAACGCCCTCCCTTCAGATGTGAAGGAAATAAGCAGCTATCTTATCTTTAAAAGACATCTGAAGGCAGCCCTGTTTAGGGAAGTTTTTAGTATTTAATGCTGTATTGTTTTAACACTTGACTGGGAGCTGCCCAGAGTGCCTGGGGACACTCAGCCAGATGGGCGGGGTATAAATAAATTATTATTATTATTGCACAGCTATTGTTCCAGTAGCCCTGGCTACAAGCTCCCCAGGCAGATGGTGTCTCCAGGGCTGTCCAGAGGGTGCTTCCCAGGCCCCTGTGGGGCAGTGTGAGGAGGCACCTCTCTTTGAGGCAGGGGGACGGAAAGCTCAGAGAACAGGGGCGGCAGCAGCGGCTGCCCAGAAAACTCCCAAGCAGAGGGGAGAAGAGAGGAACCCTCCACAAGGGAGGGTGTTTAAATGGGGTGAGGGGCTGCTGACTCTGCAGGCAAGGGGTGACATAACTGGGCTCCTGAGCCCCACAGGGGGGTCGCTGAAAGGAAGTAGTTGGTCAAGGGAGCTGGGGACCCAAAAAAGGTTGAAAACGTCTGATCTATGGAGATGTTTAGGGCACTGTAACTTTTTTCTTTCCACAAACCCATAAAGACATTACTTAAATAATGCAAAATTTCCCCAGAGAGTTTCACCAGACAGAAAAAGAGAGATTTATTTCATAAGGTTTGCAGCTGGCATATATAAGATAAACTCATGCATGTCCCCTGCCCGCTTTGACTACAGTAGATCATCTGAAATGCAGGTTCACATTATTTAAGCTGCAGGGATTTTGTTATGCCTTAACACTCGGTGTCAACCTTTCATCTGAGCTGAATACACTTCACAATTGCCCCTTTCTTCTTCAGATGTTCTGTAATAAAATCCTGATAGAAGATGCCATGTAAGCTTTCGATCCTCCTGGAAGAACAGTGAGAGGAAAGACAGAGCATTAGTAGTCTCTCTTTTCTGGGGTATTGAGAAGGGTGTCCTGAAATGCTTGCATAACTTTTATATTAGCTGCTCAATCCGCTCGTTTTTCAGTGACACTCAGTATCAGGTTGAGAGGCATTCTTCACCTTTTTGGCATGAGACTTGGGCCAAATTCTTTTCATCAGATCTGACTGATTGCAATTTTCTAGTCGGAAGAGGTCAGACGCACAAACAGAGCAATCCAGTATTCCTATTATGCTGGACCAGGGATAGTTTGCTGCTACTCCAGCAGAGTGGCTGCAACATCCAACGTGTGCTCAGTCATGGAGCGAAGCAGAAAAAACTCACAAGTAGAAAGCATGAGAAACAGTGTAAAAATTACTGATGGATCCACAGCACCCCTGGAAATACTGTACAACTATTATGCGCCAAGCTGGGACCGTACTGGTCACGATGCCCAAATCCTGCATTTATACAGAGGGAGCCATAAAACCCATGCTGCAGACATCACAAGAGTAGGGAAATGCAGAGTTAGGGACTCTGCTCTTATCTGAGGCTAAACCTTGGCAGGAGGAAGAAAGGAATAAAGAAGCATTTTGCTTTTCCCAGCTGCTGCAGCAGTTTTAAGGACAAATATGAGCGCAATAATTCCTTGCTAATATTTTCCTGCTTTTGAACATAGACCAGGTGATTATACATAATATTCAACAGGCAGTATTTCTGTTTGGTGTATGTATTTATCCTAGTCTTCCCTAACCCAGTGCCCTCTGGGTGTTGCTGGACTACAACTCCCATCAACCCTGACCATCAGTCATACTGACTGGGGCGGTTAGGAGTTGAGGCCCAAATATCTGGAGTTGTGACCCAGAACATCTGGAGGGCACTAAACTGGGGAAGCCTGCCTTATTCTATTGTGAGTGCGCACACGCGAGCGGACGCACACACACTTAAAATCTCAGTGTGCAGGTGATCTTTTTTAAAAACTGAATTGTGTGTGTTTATTTTGCTTGTAGGAGCTACAATAATAGTTCCAGTCGAGGCTGCTGCTACTCCTGAAACAGAACAGCCAGCAAACCCAGAGACAGCACCGCCAGACTCCTCTCAGCGAAGGGGCTACCAGGAATATGCCATTCAGCAAACCCCTTACGAGCAACCGATGAAATCAAGCAGGTAACTTCCATTTTCAAAACAAGTTCTGTTTCACTCCTTGCAGAAACACTGCATAACCTTAAAGCGACCGAAGGGAACCAACCAGCTGAAGCCAGGCTTCCAGAAAGATGATCCTGGAGGGTATAGAAATTTAATTAACACATAAATATTGTCGATTTCATTACACAGTGTAAGTATGCTTTTTTAATAAATGCATCCAGTGGAATTTGCTGCTTGCCTCGTATTGGTCACGGGGTCCACAAGGCATAGTTTTTCAGGTGATTAGCATGACTTAAGATTGTATGAGGACAGTATCTGGTGATGTAGCCCAACAGGTAGGGAACAAGGAAGAAATGGGAGGGAGGGAGGGAGCATGAGGCCAGAGGGGGACTACAGGGCGCAAGTCAGTTGCAGGGTGCTTGGGCCAGATCCACCTGACCCAGGAAGGTTCATACGGGACTTCTGGCCAATCAGAATGGGGAGCCAATCAAGGGGGCAAAAACATCCCCAAGTGCAGCCCCTTCCTCAGGTTTCTGTGTTGTCTATGTCAATTATGAGAACCTAGATCCATCTGGTAGACCAGATCCCTATCTTCCCTACACCCACAGACCCAAGTCTGCCAGTTGGGCTGGGCCACCAACCTGTCAATCACCTGATGTCATTATGACATCACACGAACCATTTTTGCCCACACACTTTGAAATCGACCTGTGCAGGCAAAGGGACAGCGCTGTGCAGGTCCTGACAGCCAGCTGTTGGTTCTGTGCATGAGACTTTGCAGGTGCCACTGATCGGCAAACCTCTTGTCATTCCAGCTGTGTCTTTACCTGCCTCACACTTGACAAGACAGGTGGGCATGGCTTGGTCAGAACAGCCTCATTGGCCAAATGGGGAGACCTGGCAAGTCAAATTAGAGCTGGATGTTCCCCACTTTTGGTCTATGAGTATCTCTTCCATGTCAGGACCTTCTAAATCCCCATACTCTAAGATATAATTATGATAGAGTGCTTGATATTTATTGTATTTTTGCTCTTTCCCCCCTTTTCTCTCCTCTTTCTGGTATTTTTTCTTATCTCTCTTCCTTAGATTAGTTTGGTTTTTCTTGCATTTCATGCTGAAAACATTGAATAAAAATTGATTAATAAAATACAATAAATTCCCACAATCTAATCTGGCAGAGAGATTTGTTGAGAAATGTGCCCCCTCCTCTCCACTGGTGACATGGGGCTGTCCAGAACTGAGGATGCACTTTTATGAAACAGATTCTAGGGTTGTCAAGAGTTTGTTTAATACCTCCAAGTTAGAAAAGAAATAAATGTTGAGCTCAACCTGAAAGTGACTGGCAGCCCTATTGTTGGCTAGCTAGTTACTGAACAGCAGCAAAAGGCATTTCTACCAACTTATTTCTTGGAATTGGCAAAGTACCAGGGTGGGGGATCAAGTAAAACTGGGAGAAAAGTTGTCTCCTTCCCTTTCTGACCAACAGGAAGCATAGAAGGGCAGAGATAGGAGAAACAGTCATCCACTCAGCCCCAACCAACCTGGTCTTGAAAGTTGGCCGACTTTGAAATGCCTGCCTTAGCGGCGTAAGCGATTTGTGTCTCAACCCCGTTTCTCTTTAGGTTGGGCGCAACCCAGCTGAAGATCTTCACCTGCGAATACTGCAACAAGGTGTTCAAGTTCAAGCACTCCCTCCAGGCCCACCTGAGGATCCACACCAACGAGAAGCCTTACAAGTGCTCGTTCTGCAGCTACGCCAGCGCCATCAAGGCCAACCTGAACGTCCACCTGCGGAAGCACACGGGGGAGAAGTTCGGCTGCGACTACTGCCCCTTCACCTGCCTGAGCAAAGGCCACCTCAAGGTGCACGTGGAGAGAGTCCACAAGAAGATCAAGCAGCACTGCCGCTTCTGCAAGAAGAAGTACTCGGACGTCAAGAACCTGATCAAGCATATCAAGGAAGCGCACGACTTGCAAGACAAGAAAGTGAAGGACGTCTTTGACGAGCTCCGGCTGATGACCCGCGAAGGGAAGAGGCAGCTGCTGTACGACTGCCACATCTGCGAGCGCAAGTTCAAGAACGAGCTGGACCGCGACAGGCACATGGTGGTCCACGGGGACGAGAGGCCCTTCGCCTGCGAGCTGTGCGGCCACGGAGCCACCAAGTACCAAGCGCTCGAGCTTCACGTCCGAAAGCACCCGTTCGTCTACGTCTGCAGCGAGTGTTCGAAGAAGTTCGTCAGCTCCATTAGGCTCCGCTCGCACATCAAGGAAGCGCATCGGGACTTGCAGGAGGCTTCCATTTTTAACAGCTCCATCAACCGGAGCTTTTGCCTCCTGGAACCAGGAGGGGACATTCAGCAAGAAGCCCTTGGGGAGGAGTTGTCGCAGACCGCGGCTGAGCTCTCGCTTTTAAACTCGAAGGAGCTGTGTATACCGAAGAAGTTGGGCAAATCGAGTGCGGCGGAAGGAAGCCAGGATGAGGACCCCGGTGGCAATTTGGAAACTTTCCCTGCTCCTCCTGTAGAACCTGATAGCTCTCCAGTTGCAAGCGGAACAGATTCACAGTGCCAGCCTGCGGCAGAATTAGCCTCGCCAGATGCGTGCCCAATTAGCGCTTCGGATGACCTTCTGCAGAAAAGTGCTCCTTCGGCTTTGGATGAAGCGGAGACCCTCCCTGGAAAGGACTTGTCTCCTGACCGTTCATTAAATTCGAAAGGCGAAGTAATGCAGATTTCTGGAGATGGGAGCCCCAGTATAAACCAGAACGAGCAAGTTCTGCAGTGTGCTCCTGTCCCTGAAGAAGAGGGCCAAACCCTCTGTCTAGGTGCTCAGGAAGCTGACAAGTCAGCTGCTGAAAAGGCAGACTCCCCCACGCCAATGTCCCATCCGGAATCCAACACCGCCATCAGCGAGAATTCAGATTCTTGCACATTGCCTTCAGAGAATCGGACCGGAGCTGCGGCCTTTATGCAGATTTTGGATAGTTTGCAAAAACGGCAGATGAATACCGCCTTGTGTGAGAAGATCAGGAAAGTCTACGGAGACTGGGAGTGTGAATACTGTGGTGAGGAGTATGCAGAGTCTGGGGGGTGGGGGAATAAAATATACAAGGGAATCCAGGCTTATGTACTTCCTGGCTTACGTAGTTTTGTGGAAAGCTTTGGTGGGGTTGTTGTTTTTTTTACTTCCTGCTGAGAAAAACAAAACAAAAACCAAGTTCGCTTCTGTGTTAATAGATCAATAGTTGTGAGCACTCTGGAGGTGCAATGGGGCAGACTGTTCTCTTCCAGCAAGAGGGGCTATGTGCCAGGTGTAATAGCGGGGAAAGAGGCAGGCAGCAGAACTAGTGAGAGCAGTGAAGCTAAAAAGAGGTTTGACAAGCTAGAAAAGGAGCTGGAACAGGTCAGAGAAGGAAGGATAAGGCAGGGCTATAAACTGCACACCTGAAAGGAGATTGCAGCACGGACAATCATTTTACAGAAAGAGATGTATGCAGTGGAATGGGCAAGAACCAGTCATGGTGGAAAGGGGCAGAGCAAGATTAAGAGCCAGTAAAACTATCTGAGTTTGGGGGGATTCACTGAGCACAACAGAGGAGCAGTGGATCTCAGGACCTCTCTTGTATTTATTTGCCCTATGCCAGTTTAGTGGCCTTTCCAACTTATGTCTTGACTAGCAGTAACTTATCAGGCAAAGAACTTCCCTCGCCCTGATACCTGTGCATTTTGATTTGACACCTTGGGTGTCTTCTTGTGGCGAACAGTTTAGGAAGCTGCTTAGGAAGTTGAGCCCTCAGCGAGTCTTATTGTGTACAGTGGTACCTCAGGTTACAGACGCTTCAGGTTACAGGCGCTTCAGGTTACAGACTCTGCTAACCCAGAAATAGTACCTCGGGTTAAGAATCATAGAATCATAGAATCATAGAGCTGGAAGAGACCACAAGGGCCATCGAGTCCAACCCCCTGCCAAGCAGGAAACACCATCAGAGCACTCACATATGGTTGTCAAGCCTCTGCTTAAAGACCTCCAAAGAAGGAGACTCCACCACACTCCTTGGCAGCAAATTCCACTGTCGAACAGCTCTTACTGTCAGGAAGTACTTCCTAATGTTTAGGTGGAATCTTCTTTCTTGTAGTTTGGATCCATTGCTCCGTGTCCGCTTCTCTGGAGCAGCAGAAAGCAACCTTTCTCCCTCCTCTATGTGACATCCTTTTATATATTTGAACATGGCTATCATATCACCCCTTAACCTCCTCTTCTCCAGGCTAAACATGCCCAGCTCCCTTAGCCGTTCCTCATAAGGCATCGTTTCCAGGCCTTTGACCATTTTGGTTGCCCTCCTCTGGACACTCCTCTGGACACTCCTCTGAATTTTGCTTCAGGATGAGAACAGAAATCTTGCAGCGGTGGCACGGCGGCAGCAGGAGGCCCCATTAGCTAAAGTGGTGCTTCAGGTTAAGAACAGTTTCAGGTTAAGAACGGACCTCCAGAACGAATTAAGTTCTTAACCCGAGGTACCACTGTATTAAATTTATATACAGCTCTTCATCTGAAGATCTCAGGACAGTCCACAGCAGGAAAACAACCAAATAGAACCACAAAGTACACAATGAAAATAAGAACATAAGCAAGGCAAGCCAAATAATCCCCTTCCCGCAATCTTGTGGGGTCAGGTTCACGTTCCTGGACCATAGTAAGCCTCAAGAGTGTGTTATGCTCAGATCCTCCGTGTAGGATTCCCATGGACATCTGGTAAGGTTCTGTGAGAACAAAGTGCTGGACTAGATGAGTTTTTGACCTGACCTTACTATGTTGAGACTTCACACATTCTCAGCACGTGTTCTTCCACTAAGCTGGATCAGCTTTATTATCCCTCCCACCCTGTCCTTCCTGTCATTGTTTGCCTGTTCGTACATATCTACATAAAGGTAGATTAGGTCCAGTTGTGGCCGACTCTGGGGTTGCAGCGCTCATCTTGCTTTATTGGCCGAGGAAGCTGGTGTACAGCTTCCGGATCATGTGGCCAGCATGACTAAGCTGCTTCTGGCAAACCAGAGCAGCGCATGGAAACACTGTTTACCCTCCCGCCAGAGCAGTACCTGTTTATCTACTTGCACTTTGACGTGCTTTCGAACTGCTAGCTTGGCAGGAGCAGGGACCGAGCAACGGGAGCTCACCCCATCGTGGGGATTCGAACTGCCGACCTTCTGATCAGCAAATCCTAGGCTCTGTGGTTTAACCCATAGCGCCACCCACGTCCCACATATCTACATACTCCATCTTATCCAGCAGAGGGCCTCTTCCACCCCCTTTCCCAGTTTGCCCTCAACTCTTAACACATCTTGTGACGAGCCCACTGTACAGCTTTTGCACACTCGCTCTTGCCTTCGTTCCTGAGGCAGCCAGACCCTGTTTCAACGTCCCCTCCCACAGCCACTGCAGCAAATTTCAGTCTCCTCTTGTGCGCTTCCCTAGGCAGTACTCTAGGGTCGCCAGTTCTGCTAATAAAGTCTCCTGATTCAAATGCTTTCTGAAAATTGCGTTTCATAGGGGCCGCATCCATTAAGAGCAATTCAATTAGTGAAATACCTTTCGGAAGGATTTTTCATCAGGGATGCAATTGGCAAAGGATCGCACGTTAACTGTGCCCCGTTGAGGTTGATCTCTTTTAGGAAATAACAATTAAATGTGTGTCACGGGCAGCGTTCTGCCTACATTAACTGGATCAAAGGGAATTTTAGCATTTTTATTAAAAGGTGAAATCGTGGGCATGAAAGAATATTGTTTACGCAGGTCCAGTGCAGGAAGTCCAGCTGTATCAATCACTTTCCCCCCGCTTGTGTTAGATTCAGGCCCCTACCAAGTCAAGGAGATGGAGGCTAGATCCTGGAAGCAAGGGGAAGAAAGAGGGAATGCATTGAAAAAGCTTCCCTGCTCCTTTATTATCTTTATTATAGGATTCAGGTCTTATCACATGCCCTGCTTTGGCCTGTTGCTATTCAAATGACTTATTTGGTTGTACAAGACATGTGTCTGATGTTACCGGGTTTTTTATTTGGCTAGAGCAGGGGTCGGCAAGGTTTATCTTGCCTGTGCCGGATCGGTCTCACGGAGATCCCTCCGTGGGCTAGTTGGTGCATGCGCGTGAGCGTGCGCGCCTGTAATTCTTGGCGTCTGCACGTGCGCAGGCGTGATTTCCAGTGCCGCGGAAGTGAGTCCCTGCGCTGCACCGGTTTAGCACAGCACACGAGTGGGCAGCGCAGTTCGGCAGCGGCTTGTGGGCCAGTCAAACGACCTCTGCAGGCTGCTTCCAGCCCATGGACCTTAGGTTGCTGACCCCTGGGCTAGAGCTTGATGGCCATGCATAGGCTACATCCCAGCTTGATGTTTCACTCACAATCCCTGGACAAGTGACATTGGCAAGTAGGAAGGGGCTATGCCAATATGTATGAAAAGAGAAATTCTCTACCTGTGGAGTAAACTATAAGAGACACAGCTTAACACAGTGTCTTTATGTAATTTAATACAGATTCTCAAACCTTTATTGGCATATGTACAAGATTCCAGTAGCATTCAATACAAAAAACAACAACACTCATTAAAAAAAACACCAAGCCCTGCATCTAACACTTAATTTAGTGTTGTACAGCATTCACAAATTCTTATTACATGTTGCAAAAACCTGGCTACTATCTTTAGCCCATCCCCATCCTGGGTAAACATAAGGAAGGCTACCTTGTTTTCGTCTGAATTCCAGTCCCTACAAGCAACCAACTGATTAATAAACTTAGGTCGAATTGCCGAATACCAGGGGCAGTACAAAAGGACATGCCTGGCTGATAATCGAATACAGAGCCCTTCCGGATCAGGCCAAAGGCCCATCTGGTCCAGCATCCTGTTCTCACAGTGGCCAACGAGATGCCTCTGTAAATCCTTCAAACAGGACCTGAGCACAAGAACTTGCAGTTGCCAGCAGCTGGTACTCAGAAGCATATTGCCTCTAACAGTGGAGCTAGAACATAGCCATCTTGGCTAGCTGCCATCAAAAGACTTATCACCCATGAATTTTGTCCAATGCTCTTTTAAAGCCATCACAAGTTGACGGCCATCAACAGAAAGTTGCACTACGTCTGGGTTCTGGTTTCATCGTGGGCTCAAGTTCCTAACTAGCTTCTAAGTCGTTTATCATAAGCATAAACTACTATTTTACTTGATCTGAGCTAAGTAGAGGCAAAAATGATGGTGCATACTTTTTCCCGTGACATGGGCACACTTCCTCAGCCATTAGATTCACGAATTAACTTCATGGCGCACCCTGTTTCAAAGCCTCAGGATTTTGCAGCCATTCGCATTTGAACCATCGGCCTCATCACAAAACACAGAAGCCTGTCCCAATTATGATTCCCGCCCCTCTCTGTTCTAAAAACCATCACTGCTACTCGAGATGGAGTCGGGATTTGAGCCTCTGCTTCTCCTAACTTCATCTAGCGTTTTGTTCATTACGCAAGGCTTGAATGGAACACTCTTGAATGCATCTAATTGACTCTCTTTCATGCTTTGAATTGTTCTTCCCAGGCAAGTTGTTTTGGTACCAGGTGCATTACGACATGCACGTCCGCACTCACACGCGAGAGCACCTCTACTACTGCTCTCAGTGCAGCTACTCATCCATCACCAAAAACTGCCTTAAACGACACGTCATCCAGAAGCACAGTAACATTTTGCTGAAATGTCCCACAGAAGACTGCGATTATTCCACCCCAGATAAATACAAACTCCAGGCCCATCTGAAAGTGCACACGGAGTTGGTAAGTCTGAATCCTGGGCAGTTTTTGTTTTCTTTTTTTAAAGGGAGAGAGTTTATGTACAGGGAGAGAGTTTCAATCCATGAAAATGACCCCATTGTTTCCCACTGTACATTTTTCCTTTTTCCAGAACGCAGGTACATTGCTGATGTTTCTCGGCTGCCTAGCTCTTTCCTGCTTATTATTGTACTGCCTTGTGTGTGAAACAAAACATGTGTTTCTCTGTGGTTTGCACTGTCCATGCAAAGCCCCATTTTAGGCACGAGAAAGTCTGAATTTTGAAAGGGTTGTTGCATGCTAAAGAGGTAAAGAATGTCCTTAGAACGTGGCATTGTATGGGCAGTGTTATGTATGTGCAACCCTTACAACGCCAATTCCCCACCAAGGTATTTATGTACTCTGAGCAATTATGTAAGGGAAACATGTTTGCATTGGCTTGCTTTGCCAAGAAGTACAGTGGTACCTCAGGGACGCGGGTGGCGCTGTTGGTTAAACCACACAGCCTAGGACTTGCCAATCAGAAGGTCGGCGGTTCGAATCCCCGCGACGGGGTGAGCTCCCGTTGCTCGGTCCCTGTTCCTGCCAACCTAGCAGTTTGAAAGCTCATCAGAGTGCAAGTAGATAAATAGGTACCGCTCCAGCGGGAAGGTAAACAGCATTTCCGTGTGCTGCTCTGGTTCGCCAGAAGTGGCTTAGTCATGCTGGCCACATGACCCGGAAGCTGTACACCGGCTCCCTCGGCCAATAAAGCGAGATGAGGGCTGCAACCCCAGATTTGTCTGCGACTGAATCTAATGGTCAGGGGTCCCTTTACCCTTTACCTTTATGCAGAGCCTTAGAGACCTTAATATCAGCTAGCACTGTCATGACTGTACGCCATGGCACACTGCCTTTAGGCTTTCAGATCCCTCCCTTTTGAGAGTCAAACTTATATTTTGGAGCTGGGGTGAACCCAGTTTGGGACTTTTTTATTCTGCTTTAACTGCAGGCTTTATGTTTTATGAGCTGAAACTCAAGGCCTTGGAATACAGGAGATTAGAAAGTCAACAGTTAAGCCTCATCAACTAGGGCCCTCATGATTCCACCTTCTGAGCAGCTTTGGGAATTACAATTTCAGAAGAGCAAGGGGAAATTTTCTCAGTATTCTTTTTTCTTTGCTTCCAGGCTGTGTTTGTGCATTTTTCTTAAAAGCACGAGTTAAACGTGATACACCTTATGTTTTCAGATCTCTTTTATGCTGACAGAAGGTGGGCTGTGGGCCAATATCTCCAACAGTTAGAATTTCTTATTAGGGGGAAAAAATAGGTGAAGAACAGAATAGTTCACCTCCTACTCTGACTAACTGCTGTGGTTTCAGAAGCCGCAGGATGGGTTTTCAGAAGGCAGCGAGGGACTCAAAGCCAAAGGAAGGGATCCGTCTATAAATACACACCGTCTCATTAGTATCATTTCACTTGAGCAAGAGGAAAATTTTCCCTTTAAATTTGTTTTTCAGAGAAAACCTGTGGTTGTTTTTAAGGTCATTTTTCTTGACCTCTATTTGCAACATTTGATTTCGCACAAGGTGCTAGGCCCCCCATGAGTGTCCGTGTGCATCAGAAAGTTACCCACAGCTTGTACGCGATTTAATAATCTAGCACTTTGACTGAAAATAGCAGGGAAGATTTCTGCAACTGCCCCGAGGGAGAGGAGGGAGAGAAGACAGCCGCCAAACATCTGTTACTAGGAATGATGGTTGCTGCCTTTTTCGCACCAGGTTTTCTCTTCTGCCTACCCTTAGGCCCTGCTGAAAAAGCAACAGTTGCGTTTATGGCAGGGTCCGTCACACATCATTTTGGCCCTGCCAAATCTAGTATCTCGTGACAGCAAGGAGATATGGTAACAGGCTTTGTCTTTAAGGCCACAGGTTCCCCCACCCTTGTCTTAAATGAGGACACATTTTTATGGTGTGAGTTTTTTTGTGACAAGTGCATTAGATGTAGCTGTTAAAGTTGTAGACCTTTGACTACAAATGCTTATGCTTCCATCAGATTGTTAAAGGAATCCTTTGTCATTGTCACCACATTAGGCTAAGCACAGCTACTCTTCTAGGCAAGTTGTTCCTAGCCATTGTGTCAGCGGGTGCCCACCCCCCCACCCCGTAAGGAGGAAGGAAGCGTTGCATGTCTCCCTCTCCTCCTCCTCCTCCTCCTCCTCCTCTTCCTCTTCCTCTTCCTCTTCTTCAATCACTCGTAGCCTAGTAAGATTGTCTTCCATAAACACGGCTTTAACAATGAGTCTGTAAGTGACCGTGGAGGCCAATTCTGGATCCACACGTCCTTCCACAGTGGGGACATTGGTTTCCAGGTGGGAGTTGATCATGGTGTGGATTTGCCAAGCGTGCCTTCCTCTTAGCACGTTTCTCCCTTTCGTCCTGAGTTCGAGCGTCTTCAAAGCCCATGACACCTTTGATAAAGGCTGTGGTGAGAGCCAGTGTGGTGTAGTGGTTAAGAGCGGTAGTCTTGTAATCTGGTGAACCGGGTTCGCTTCCCCACTCCTCCACATGCAGCTGCTGGGTGACCTTGGGCCAGTCACACTTCTTTGAAGTCTCTCAGCCCCACTCACCTCACAGAGTGTTTGTTGTGGGGGAGGAAGGGAAAGGAGAATGTTAGCCGCTTTGAGGCTCCTGAAGGGGAGTGAAAGGCGGGATATCAAATCCAAACTCTTCTTCTTCTTCTTCTTCTGTTCTCCAAGTGGAGCACTCGCAGGCCAGTGTTTTCCCAGTTGTTGGTGTTTATACTACATTTTTTAAAGATTTGCCTTGAGAGAGTCTTTAAACCTCTTTTGTTGACCACCAGATTATGCTTTCCATTTTTAAGTTGGAATAGAGTAGTTGCTTTGGAAGACAATAACCAGGCATCCACACAACAAGACCAGTCCAATGAAGTTGATAAGGAGGAAGGAAGCATTGCATGTGATTTCCTGCCAACCCACCTGCTTTTGGCTGGCATGAACCATCAAGCTGTGGATCCACTTTCATAAGAAGTGTGTTGCTTTCCCTTGAAACGTATATATTTATAGGCCCTGGTCCAGAGATGCTTTTTAAAGGCACCCTAGGGTTTTTTTCCCTTTTGAAGGCAAATCGTTTGTACTCTATCTCTCTGGGTGGGAAATCATAGTCCAGCTGCACACCAAGACCCCAGGTGTCAGGTAACAGAAATTCTCCATGGGGTCACTATCTAACACAGTATAAGTCTCAGAATTGGAATGGGGGAAATGATACAAGCTTTGATGGACTTGCATATTGTGCCGGGGTTACATTCCAGGGATGGCGAGTGTATGCAAAAATGCGTATAGTCAATCCATCCCCTTGAAACCGCCCCCACTTGAACGATCTTACCTTTCGGAGCCAATGTACTGAACAAGTCTTAACTCCACCCGCTTTACGGGGCTCTGGGAGGCTCTCACAAGATTTTGAAGGACTGCCTAAGTTCCTGCAAGATCTTGCCAGAGCCTGGTAAGCAAGGCAGAGAGATTTCTCAAACTTGGGCCCCCAGCTCTTGTTGGACTACAACTCCCATCATCCCTGACCACTGGTTCTGCTAGCTAGGGATGATGAGAGCTTGATTCCAATTTGAGAAACAATGCCTTAAAAACTCTTTCCGCTTCAGGGAAAACCTGGTGCCAAAAGAGCTTTCAAGCTCTCCACCTTCTGCATGTTTAATATCAACCGCCTGAAGCTGAAATAGCAAGTTGGACAGGTGTGAATTGCAAGTCCACAGTAATGCGTTTTTTTGATTGACAGAGGGATGAAAAAGACAGCCAAGAGAATCATGTCACAGTGATTCTTGGAGTGTACCATTCAGTCTGCAGGTCGAGGCAAGGAATTAGTGTTTGGCTTATCCACCCTACTGAAAAACTCTGTGCCCAAAGATGACTGGCATGCCAGGGAAAATGTTCTCCCTGACATGCCAGCTTGGTGGTGGCTTTGTTTGTTTTAAATGTGAAAGGGCATTCAAGCATGATGTTACTCTGCTTGCGGTCTGGAGTAGTACAGCTCAGCAATACATGCTCTCTGCCATTCTCCTGATAGCGTGTGTTTAGCTCCAAAGTCAGCTTCTGATGGTCCATTCCTTTGCTTTGAAATTGCAATGGGGGGAGGGATGTCGAAAACAGGTGCTTGTGTGGGAAGAGGACCTGAAAGCACTTTTCAGCCTGAAGCTTAAGTGGGCTATGTTTTAAAATCGGTTCTTAATGTGAATGCAAGACCTGCTACAACTGCAGGGCAGATGCGGTTTGTCTTCCAATCCTTTCGTGCATTAACAGAATCTGTGACACACAGAGAAGTTCAAGTGTGCTTGTTTCACAGGGCAGGTGCAAGAGGTTGCACTGTTTGAGTCACTGCCACTCCCGTTCATCATTGTCCTCTTCCCGTTCACCCACCTAACTGCTGCCTCTGTTTGCCTTCCACATCCTCCTTGGCTCACCCTAGGAAAGGACAAGGGGGTCTTTCTTCAGAGTGAGGCATTCTGGCCGAGGTGCCTGAGACTACAAGAATAGATGGCGGCTAACAGATTGAGGTTGAATCCTGACAAGACAAGTTTTGGGGGGACAGGAGGTGGGCAGGTGTGGAGGACTCCCTGGTCCTGAATGGGCTAACTGTGCCCCTGAAGAACCAGGTGCGCAGCCTGAGAGTCATTTTGGACTCGCAGCTGTCCATGGAGGTGCTGGTCAATTCTGTGTCCAGGTCAGCTGTCTACCAGCTCCATCTGGTATGCAGGCTGAGACGCTACCTGCTCACAGACTGTCTTGCCAGAGTGGTGCATGCTCTAGTTATCGCCTGCTTCGACTACTGCAATGCGCTTTACGAGGGGCTATCTTTGAAGGTGACCCAGAAACTACAACTAATCCAGAATGCGGCAGCTAGATTGGTGACTGGGAGCGGCCACCGAGACCACATAACATCGGTCTTGAAAGACCTGCACTGGCTCCCAGTACGTTTCCGAGCACAATTCAAAGTGTTGGTGCTAACCTTTAAAGCCCTAAACGGCCTCGGTCCTGTATACCTGAAGGAGTGTCTCCACTCCCATCATTCTGCCTAGACACTGAGGTCCAGTGCTGAGGGCCTTCTGGTGGTTCCCTCACTGCGAGAAGCTACAGGGAACCAGGCAGAGGGCCTTCTCGGTAGTGGCGCCTGCCCTGTGGAACGCCCTCCCACCAGATGTCAAAGGAAAAAGCAACTACCAGACTTTTAGGAGACATCTGAAGGCAGCCCTGTTTAGGGAAGCTTTTAATAACTGAAGGACTATTGTATTTTAATATTTTGTTGGAAGCTGCCCAGAGTGGCTGGGGAAACCCAGCCAGATGGGTGAGGTATAAATAATAAATGATGATGATTATTATGATGCTGATGATGAGAGAGGACCTCTGTTACCACTATGGCTTTCCTGCAACACCTAAAGAGGCTCTATAAACTTAAAAAAAGTTCTAAGTTGAAAGAGCATTTCCAGAAGGTGTGATGCAAATGTTCTCCAAGCCACCTTGCCCAGAATGCCTCCCTCTGAGGAAGGATTTCTTGGCCCTTTCCTAGAGCAAGGCAGGAGAAGGCAGAAATCCTTACGAAGTAGGGTGAGCAGCTGGGGACAATAAGAGGGGGCTGGGAGGAGGTGGGGGGGTGTTGCCTGACAGTTCACTGTCCCCCAAACCTGCTGCCTGACACAATTGTCTCTGCTTGGCTCATGAAAGGGCCCATCTTGTAATGTTGCACATGGAAGTGTTTTGAGAAGCAGAAAAAGCACAAAAGGCCGTAAGACTATTATTAAAATTTGTATGCCACCCTATACCCATAGATCTCAGGGAGGTTCACAACATAAAATTACTGTGTGTGTGTGTGTGTGTGTGTGTGTGTGTGTGTATATATATCACATAATAAAACTCTTGTTTGCTTCCACATTACAAGAGCTCTTATTGACTTTCTGTCCCTTTCATCGTGCAAGGAGGGAAATGCAGTCAAAAGTGGGCCTAATTAATTGCCACTTTGCGACACATCCCAAGGGTGAGGTAACACATTGTGTGCAGCGCAAGGTGAAATGTGTTGGCAGAAATGTATAGAAAGCCTTGAACAAACATTTCCAGCACTCAGATTAGTTTCCAGCAGCTTGACATTACCAGGCTTCTCCGTTTCACACTTGTAAGTAACAAAGGGGACAATATTGCGAGCCAGTAGGGAAATAATTGTGGCAACGAGCGGGGAGATGGGACTGGGAGTGCAAGAGAAGAAAACGGAGTTTTAATGGAATGTTTGACACCTCTGGGGGCTTTAATAGCAGCTTGGATCCCTGCCAACGTGAATAAATAGCTCTCACTGTTGTTCGTGCCTGGCCATTGTGCTCTGACACTAAACAGAGGTGTATTTTTGTGTGTTCAAAGGTTTCATCTCCCATTCTAAGTAGACAAGTACGTTCTCAAATGTACTAATAAGTGGTACATTTGGGACACCAAAGTCGAGGTCAGCGCAAGGCAGGGAACCACCTGAGGCAGGAGGTTCTGCATACGCATCCTCCCCACACTTGCTTTTGCGCTAGCAATCTTTCCTCATCCACCTATGTCGTTTTGAAGAGTGGGATCCTTCCTCAGAACAAGGTATTCCAGGAAAGGTGGCTCAATGTCATGGCCCTGTCAGGCAAGGAATCCCCAGAGTGAGGAATTAACTATTGTCAAAAGCACGCTTGCAAGTTATGGAAAGGCAGTTCCATCAGTCCTACGTCTCCCAGCTACTCCTAGGTGTGCACCTGATGAGGCAGTTGGCGCAGTAGGGAGGTCCCGCTGTGGACCTCGACTTGTGTATCTCCCTTAACCGAGCTGCACACAAGCAAGCGAGGACTGTGCCTGTGTTTCACCTTCTGCTCCTCCCACTTCACCCCTCTTCTGGTCCTGGGAGACAATGGAGCAGAAGAGGTGGAGGCAGGAGGAGGAGGAGGTGTGGAAGCCCTTGATGCTACACTAGCCAGTCTCTGACATCCAGGGGAGTGCATGCACCACCACATCATTCTTTTTGAGTTTAGTTGAAACTTTAAACTTTTAATGAACTGCTTTTAAAAGGAAGTTCTTGCCAGAAAGGCCAGAAAGCAGGAGGTTCAAGTTTCTTCCACCACCTGAGTTTGCCTAATGGAAGTGCCTGCCCTGACTGAGGCGATCAACCAACTGTTTCAGTTCTGTAAAGCAAGCAGAGGCTCATATTATGGGGCATTCCTTTCTAGAGAAGAGAACACATTTCCCGCAAATAGAAAACTCACGTGTCAAAGAACTAGCCTTTCAAAAAATGTAGGTTCCTGCTTTGTGAACCTGACATCTAACATTCCCTGCAAAGTTGTGATTTTCTGTGCAGGGATAGATCCTGTGTTATACCCCCACCCCACCAAAAAACCAAAATGTGTTGGACAACAATGAAGAGTTTACTTTTTAAAGCTGGTTCCGAATTAATTCAAATTCACCAGGTGAGCATATTTGCTGATGCACAGTTGCGGCTGATGGCGACTCTGCCACTGGAGTACTATAGGGCTGTAAAAGGTAAAGGGACCCCTGACCATTAGGTCCAGTCATGACCGACTCCGGGGTTGCGGCGCTCATCTTGCTTTATTGGCCGAGGGAGCCGGCGTACAGCTTCCGGGTCATGTGGCCAGCATGACTAAGCCGCTTCTGGTGAACCAGAGCAGCGCACGGAAACGCCGTTTACCTTCACGCCAGAGTGGTACCTATTTATCTACTTGCACTTTGACATGCTTTCGAACTGCTAGGTTGGCAGGAGCTGGGACTGAGCAACGGGCGCCCACTCCGTCGCAGGGATTCGAACCGCCAACCTTCTGATCGGCAAGTCCTAGGCTCTGTGGTTTAACCCACAGCGCCATCCGCATCCCTACTATAGGGGTGTATCTCTGTGTAAAGTTGTATAATGCATTGTACCATGACAGACAACTATTCGAAGCCACCTTTCGTGTGATTTGGGCTTGTCGTTGTTTCTCAGTCCCTCTGCCACCTGTGCCCTAAAGGAAGTAATAAAGTTTGCCAAGTTGTTTTCGTTGGCAACACTCTGCTATCAATTGTCAGCAGCTGTGGCAGTCTAAAAGTATGTTGCTTTTGTTCACGCCCTTCAGAAAGTCTTGAAAGACATTTCCGAAAGGCGAAATTCTGTAAAGCAGGCCATATACTGCTCTCTTCCTTGCCGAGGGAAAAGGCAAGTGCCAAGAATGTGACAGGGAGTTATTGGAAAGGGACCCCACCTGAGTCCTCGAGAAGCGGCTCTGTCACCACGTATGACAAGGTCACTCTGAGAAGCCCCTGTTCTGCTTTGCAGGCTTTCTTTGGGATTCCCTGCTTATGACCTGGGCGGGCTCAGGGAGGCAGAATCTCAGACCAATAAATTCATAAGGTCCGGCTGGAAGAGTGACAGGGTTAACTCTGAAGGATTAGCGTAGCAACATGTTCTCTAGGCAGCAGTGGGAATATTCTGCAAAAAACCACCAAATGACTGATACTGCTGCTGCTAAGTTTTGGCTGGGAATTCCCTGTGTGAGGTTGAGACAGGTATAGTCTAAGGATGCTGCCGTTGAGAAAAACAGCACATGGGCACATCTGAGGAAAATAGTCATTTTTTGGGGGGGGGGGGAGAGATTGAACTGTGAAAATGGTAGCATTTAAACTATTCTTTCTTTTTTTAAAAAAAACTGGATGCCTTTTGGTTGAGCATGCAGCCACAGAGGCAAGGAGATGCCCTCCAGTGCAGGAAACAGTCCTGCAGATAGGAAGGAAATCATGCACCCGACTCTCAAACCAGAGAGCTGCTCCAGAAGGACACCATGTTTGTTTGAACAGCTAAAAAATAAATAAATCAAGGCCCGTTCTCGTGTTGCCACCCTCCAGATCTCTTGAGGAGGCCCACGAAGAAGGGCATCAGATGACGACATAGCATTTGAAATATTTTAACATAGAATTATAACCACCACCCATGTGGAGCTGTGCCACAAGCAGCCATTCAAACAGATGTGTGAATTGAGCTTTTGTTCCGCCTTAACCGCTAGAATGCTGCACTAGATGCAACAGCACAGATCACAGCTTATAGAATTCCTGTAGCTCAACAGGACAAGGCTGCCTGGTGTATTGTTCTTGTTTTCCTTCTTCCTTTGGGGAAGCTATTCTTGTGATGGAAGCATGGAACGCCTTGGTTTAGAAGCAAATGAGGGATGAACTATCCCTGTCAATCCGAACCTCACTAGGGACTTATTCCATGATGGGGTGATCTTAACACCGCCTACACCGAACCATTCCCAATCCTCGCTGCTGCAAAAACCCAATAGGGGGCATTACTTGCTGTGTGTGTAATCCTGCTTTACACAGACGAGGGTTTGTGTGCAAAACACCAGCTGTGCGTTGTGGAAAGAACTACAAATACAGAGACACTTTGACAATGATTGGCAGCCAGTCCAGATTCTTTTTCGCTCGCCCATGATAAAGCTCAGCAACGACAGGCAATGCAGTTTAAATGATGGTAGCATCTTCTGCGTTCCCTTTGTGGACACAACTTGCATCCTGTCACCTCTCTGCGAGGCCCGCACGTTTTTGTCTCTGTGCCTCGCTTGGCATTTTGCTTTTCCAGGAAGCAGATTTTGGCATTTGCAGAAGTGCAGCAGCACGACGCTTCCAGCCTGTTAGGGTTCCCAAGGGCAATCGCTGAGCTAACTCCATATGCTCAGAATTGAGTTAGAGTCTCAAGCTCATCAGCTTGGCTTCGGAATTATTAGCTCTGGAATTATAATATACTTCAGCTTCTGTGTATTTTATTTTCCGGTTCCTGAACCATCCGGGCCCTGTTGTGCATATACGGTGTCTCTCTCTCTCTCTCACACACACACACAAATAGAAAGAATAGTCTTGGGACTTGGAAGCCATTGCCATTAGCTTCCTTTTGCTCTCTCAAATGTCATTGGAATGAAATGGCCCAGAACTCAATTCCTTAGTAAAAATTTCCCGAAAAAAGCCATTTCACTGTAATAGGCCCGTTGTGAGGGAGCTGTCAGCCCTCTGTGACTTATCCACTTCCGAGAGACTCACAACATCAGTGCCTTAGACAAGGCAAGAATCCAAGGGTCTGCTAGATTAAGTGGTGTCAACAGCAGCACTGTTGCGCTGAGGAATGCCCAGCACGCAGGCCGAAGGTGACATGCAATCCATCTTTAAGGACTGTCAACAGATCTTCTCTGTTCACACCTGTACATCAGGGGCACAAAAACCTCAGGCCTGGGACAAAAGGTGACCCTCAAGCCCCCATCATAAAGCAATGGCACTTTCCCCAAAAAGGCAAATTAAGACTTTTATCTAATTACCAGTGGGAAGTGCTTGCTGTCAAAATAAGGCTAGGCACTTCCTTTAGAAACGGCAAAGGTTCCTGGAGCTGATTCAACTGTTCTTGCCGCCATTCAGTCCCGTGCATGGCTACAGCTATGCAAGAACATCCTGCTTAAACCAAGGCTGCTTTCTCTTTTGCTTCGCAAAGGCACCGCGTTAACTGCCCAGAGCAGTGCCAGGACAGACACATAGTCCCAGGGCGCATGCAAAGTTCCAGCTGAAGTTTGAGCTTCTAAGTAACAGCAGACAAAGCCAGAGTAAATAGGGCTATTATTATTTTTTACCTGCCTGTTAAAAGCTTCCAAGGACAGGCTTGGGAAGAAAAGCCGTTATCGGGGCCGCCGAGCTCCATGCAATCGTAGACGGAGCTTAGGAGCCAGACGGTCAATAGTCCTGGTTAACTCTGCATTACAGCAGGCCACCGGGGAATCGGCTGAGAGGCCATCAACATGGGCTAATGCATCCCCTACCACTCTCTCGAAGCCATTTGCCTCCATTAAGTGGCGGGGGTGGACCACTCGAATCGGTCCTACCTCCCTGCGGAGGGGAAGGATCGCAGAGAAGTGTAGTTGTACCAGGAAGTGATCTGACTGGCACTTCTTTTGTTCCACTCAAACTTAGTGTCAGATCACTAAGGTAACCCCCAGATCTAAGGCATGTCCGTGGCTGTGTGTAAGGCCAGATTTATTCAGGGACAGCCCCATGGGGGGGCATGCTTTCAAGGAGCCCTGAGCAGCCCCTCATAACGTTGTGTTGGCATGGATGTTAAAATCACCCAGGACCACCAAACTAGGTGTCTCCAGGAGAACCTCTGGCATGGCCTGAAGCAGCTCAGGCAGGGAATGCTTGGTGCGGCTGGTACACCGAAAGGAATCTTGTACTGCCCCTATTGCCCACCTTCCAGAACACGCACTCCAAGAACTTTTTATGAATCACTGCACCCACACAACCTACGTCGCTGATGGACAAGCAGCAGCAAGAACAAGCCCAGCTTCCAGGTCAATTCCTCCACCTACAGTCAAGTCATGGCAGTGGTCTTATGACTCATTGGCCTGCCATTGCATTGCTCTAGTAGTGCACCTGGAAGAAATGTTTTAGCCCTGTCCTCACCCTGTTTCTACAACCTTGTGCAAATTAATTGAAACAAACAATGTAGTTTATTGTACAAAACTCACATATACATGTACAAAACCCACATATACATGTACAAAACTCACATATATGTACATTAGTAATTGATATGACCTCTGCAATTGTCAAGCAGCATTTGAACACTGTTTGGCATAGAGTATACTAGTTTCGAACAGTGACTGTTGATTTTTGGATCCCTGTACCACATTTGAATCAGCGCCTGAATGAGCTTCTCCATAGTCGTACAGTCTACAGCAGGGAGGCGACTTTTGCATATAGCCAACAAATTCTCAATGGGATTTACGTCCGGGGAATTCCCTGGCCAATCAAGTACCTGCATTTGCTGCTCTGTCATGAATTTCTTCACCACTTTTGATGTGTGACAGGGAGCTAGGTCCTTCGCAATATCCCAGTACTGTCAGGATATCTCTTTTCCAGCTCTGGAATAACTCTCTTTTGTAGAACCTCAGTATATTGTGGCGAGCGCATCATTCCTTCTATTGGCTGCAGGCTTCCAACACCATAATGATCAACTGACTTTTCGTGTTTGTTTTGAGTACAGGATTACGAGTAAGATAGAAAACATGCTTTGTTTCAATTAATTTGTACAAGGGTGTATGTGCAGAGAATGGTTTTTACTTTTAAGTAGAGAAGCAATCAAAACCACAGAAAGTCAGCTCAGAAACCTGTGCATGGGCAGGTTATAAACCGAATAAGCAAAATGGGTCCACTCTACCATGCTGATCCCACCTCATTTTTTCTGCCTACGTAGATTGAATCACATATGCAGCTTGTACGTGAGCTGGAGAGGTAGATCATGTTTACAGAGACATACAGGCGTGCACGCTTCAAGTCAAAAGCTGTAAATCATTCTGAGATAAACTATTTTGTAACGAAGCCTAATTTTCTGTATTTCCTTTGGTGTACCTTATCATGATAACTGCTCTTGCTCTTCATAACGCCAGCTGAAATTGGCATCCAAGGATTCCAGTTATCACCTTGTTGGGAGCCATATATTACTCAGCGAGTAATGAGTTTAGCAATCAGCTCAGCGAACTGATAACAGACACTTTCCTCTTTCTCTCTCTCTCCCTTTTTCCCCCTTCAAAGGACAAAAAGAGTTATTCCTGCCCTGTGTGCGAGAAATCTTTTACCGAAGACCGACTTATAAAATCGCACATAAAGACAAACCACCCAGGTAAGACGAGCCACATTAATGGTCTTAAATGTAGCGTAATAGTGGAGCTGTGCTCCAGACTAAGCAATAGGTTTTAGCTGTGTTGTGTATTCTGGTTATCGTATGTGGAAAACAGCGGTCCAGCCCTATAGAGTCCTGATACTACAGGTGGTCCCTTAGTCGGAGCAGCTCATGGCTAGTAGTGCCTCGCCTCACCTTGCTTGCCTTATTTTGAACTCTGCTTGGCTCTGGCTCTACACCCAATGTGCATGCTTTTGCCTTGCCTGCCTGGACCATTCCCTTTGCTTCAGCAGCCGAAAACCAAAAGCAGAGCCCTGCTGAGGCCCAACGCTTGGCCAATCCAGAGGTGATATTACCAACTCCTGTTCCCCTTTTAATTCTGAAGAGAGTCCTGACCACACAATTTGGATTTGGCCCATAAGGTTCTCAGCTCAGGCCCCAAGATCCCTGGCAATGACCCTGCAGGGTCATCTCCATTTGAGGTTTTTAATAATAATAATAAAAAATTATTTATACCCCACCCTCCCCAGCTGAGACCGGGCTCAGGGCGGCTAACACCAAGTATAAAACAATTGATTAAAATACAACTTAAAAACAAGATTGAAATACAACATTAAAATGCAGCCTCATTTCAGTAGAAATTCAAATCAAAAAACTTTTAGGGGATGAAAACGTCAAATCTTCACCAAGGCCAGCTATCCAGACTGGTCCTACGTGGGCCAGAAAAAAGCCAGGGAAGTCCCCAAATAGGAGTTCCATCGCATCAGATCCTGCAGGGTCCTGGTCTCATGAGACAGAGCGTTCCACCAGGCCAGAGCCAGTGTTGAAAAGGCCCTGGCTCTGGTTGAGTCTCATCTAACTTCCTTAGGGCTCGGGACCTCTAGGGTGTTGCTATTTATGGACATTAAGGTCCTCCGCGGGGCATAGTGGGAGAGGTGGTCCCGTAGGTTAAGCAGAGGTTGGATGGCCATCTGTCATGGATGCTTTAGTTGAGATTCCTACATTGCACAGGGTTGGAGTAGATGACCCTCGGGATCCCTTCTAACTCTGCAATATACACTCAGCATATGCATCTTTTTAAAAGGCATGCAATTAGCTTTATTACACACTCTTGGGACTCAGCAACGTGGTCCCATCACTTCATTATTTCTAGTTGATTATAGCCTCACATCTGTATTCTCAGGCCTTTTGGTGTTGTTAACGACCTGCCTGCTTGGGTATTTTGGGCTCCTCCGGAAATCCCAGGTGAAACCTTAAGCAAATGTTATGCGCCTCTCAGAGAGCATCGAAGCTAATAAATGTTTGGTTAGCGAAGCTGCCCGGTTCGGGATTGGCCTCCTGAGAGTGTTCCCTGCCAGAAAGGAGGAAAAAAACCACCCATTTCTGCAGCAATGGTGCAACCAGCCTCTTAATTTGTCACAAAAATAGCAAGTCACCATGGAGGCAACTCAGCACACAAAAGCAATGGCCAGTCCTTGAAAAAGCTGTAAAATAATGAAGCAGTTTCCTTAAGACTGCACAACCCCACTGGAAGGCTGGTGCGGAGAGAGGTAGGAAGAGAAGAGAAAACAAGGAAAAGGAAGCCTATTGAAAGGATGTGGCAAGGAGCAATCTAAATATTATGTTTTCTCATTATTGTCATGAGTTTCCCGAAGGCTAAAGCTCCTCCCCCCCATGTGATTTTTTTCTCCACCTTCTCCAGAGGTTTCCATGAACACCATCTCCGAGATTGTTGGCAGGAGAGTTCAGCTAAAAGGGCTGATAGGAAAGCGAGCCGTGAAATGCCCCTACTGCAATTTTTACTTCATGAAGAATGGATCAGACCTTCAGCGTCACATCTGGGCCCATCAAGGTAACTGCAATGTAGCTGGCACTTAATCTGTTTAAAAATTGCGATCACTTCCTGACACGCCGGTGCTCCGGTTATGGCCCAGCTAGACGCATGGAATGCCATCACACAATTTACTAGCAGCTGTTTCGGGTGAGGGGTCTTTGAGGTTAGGGACCATGTCATGCAGCTGGTGTTTTCCCCAGAAGGGAATGCGGTAGCTGGGGGGAAAGGTGTTAATTCACAGCTGCTGTTCATCATGTTGCTGTTGTTGGCATTCGTCTGTCTTGAGAGACAATGGCGTGCTCCTCCGGAGATGAAGTCAAACAGCTGTGTTAGCAGCACCAAAGCGACCTCCACATGACATAAGCCTGGGCAGCATGTACAGAGTTCCTGGGCTGCCCAGAAGACAACACACACACACACACACACACACACCCTTCAGCCTCGCTGATGTGGTCCAAAGGTAAGCAAAGCAATATGTTTGGCACAAGCTTGGCTGATTGCAGAGATACATAATTTTGGCGCTTGTTACCAAGCTGATACATACGAGAATTTTCTAGGAAACTCAGGCCCTTCCAGACCTTCCAGTTCATAGAGCATCCATCCCGATTTGCTTGCAGACAGATTACCGTACTTTCCCCTGAATAAGACGATATTTCTTCCTTAGAAATTATAGGCAAAATTTGCGGGTAGTCTTATACACGGAAAGCAGAGGGGGGATGGGCAATTGGTGGCAGCAGCCAGCAGGAGATTGGCAGTGGCGATTGGGCGTGTGATTGGTTGCTGTGGCAAGGCCTGCTGACAATTGGCTGCGGCAATTGGGCGGTCAATTTACATCAGGGGCGAGGTGTGTGTGCAGTTGGCTGTGGTTGAATCAAGTGGGCAGGTGGGCTTGTGGCTGCGAGTGTGCAGGCGATTGGTGGCCGTGGCGATGCGTGCAGTTTGCAGTTGTGGGCAGGTGTTGAAACCCACCCACCCCCCAAAAAAGCTGAACAACTCTGGGCAATCCCCTCCCCCAAATTGTTTGTTACGGTCCCAAAAAATAGGGGTCATCTTACACGTGAGGGAGTGTTATACACGGAAAAATATGGTATGTTGGTTATTTAACAAGTGTTCATTCCGATTTGCAGGGCATGTTAGGGAGGTTAGATGATGATGCATCAAAGCAAGTGTCACTCCACGCTTCTCAGTGCATTTTCTCCATCACTTTGCTTATCACAAAAAGTCCAGTCTTTGCTGGTTTGTTGCACATGACTGCCTGAATTTGCTGGTGCTTTTGAATTGCACCTGAAAATGCAATGGTCTGGAAGTTCCCTGTGAGGCTCACAGTCCTGGTTCTTCACCCTGGAAGCCCAGTTCTGTGGGCATTTGCGAAGAATTGCTGCTTTCCCAGTACTTTCGTCAACATCAGCTCGTTAAGCCTTCCACCTTTCGAACTGGTTCACACTTTGGGTTGCAGCCAGTGTTATTCATACTCAGAGAAGATCCATTGAAATTGACGGACATAACTTAGGGCCATTAACTTCAGTAGGTATATTCTGAGCAGAATGCAACCCAGAATTTCTTAATGCAAGGAACGGCAGCTGAAAATGTGAACCGACTCTATTTAAAAGTATTGCACTTTGAGGAGGCAGCAGGTGGTTGCCAATTAACCCGAGATCTGTGATGATTCAGGCATGCAAGTCGTCACTTGATGTTGCAGTCATCAGGTGATGAACTTGCATGCATGATCTGCCCCTCAGTCACCATCCAGGGAAAAGTGCTTACTGTAGGTCAGTGTTTCCCAGACTTGGGACTCCAGTTGTTTTTGGACTACAGTCCCCATCATCCCTGACCACTGCTCCTGCTAGCTAGGGATGATGGGGGTTGTGTTAGTATTTTCATTCTCCATTGCTGGATCATATGTTCCTATGTTTACTTTTCTGTACTGTTGCATATGGGAACAGAAGTCAGTCTGAGATACTTCCGCTCTTTGTTCTCTGTCTCTCTTCTGAGGGAACTGTCTGTGTGAGAAGACGCAGCTCACCGCTCGTCATGATGCTTTTGTTTTCTTTGCTGTAAATAAAGACACTTTATTATTATTATTATTATTTATTTATTTATACCCCACCCATCTTGCTGGGTTTCCCCAGCCACTCTGGGCGGCTTCCAACAAAACACTAAAATACAATAACCTATTAAACATTAAAAGCCTCCCTAAACAGGGCTGCCTTCAGGTGTCTTCTAAAAGTTTGGTAGTTATTTTTCTCTTTGACATCTGGTGGGAGGGCGTTCCACAGGGTGAGTGCCACTACCGAGAAGGCCCTCTGCCTGGTTCCCTGTAATTTGGCTTCTCGCAGCGAGGGAACCGTCAGAAGGCCCTCGGCTCTGGACGTCAGTGTCCAGGCAGAACGATGGGGGTGGAGACACTCCTTCAGGTATACTGAGCTGAGGCCATGTAGGGCTTTAAAGGTCAGCACCAACATTTTGAATTGTGCTCGGATATCCGACACAATCTCACTTTCACTGAACTGCTAATGCGTGCTCAACATCTACGGATGTGGGTCAAAATGTTTTGCAGGACCGGCCCAGAGTAATGCCCCGATAGGTTGTAGACCAGAAACAGCTAGAGAACCAAGTTTGGAAAACACTGCTGAAGGCAGTGCAGAGAGCACCTTTGCAGCATCACAGATATGGCAACAGGAGAGGGGTGCAACTTGTAAGATTTGCAATATAAACACACTTAGCTAGAATTAAGCCCCATTGGCTGATAAAAGATTCTTCCAGGCGGTACATTTAGCTACAGCACTGGCTGAATAGGTTTTTAACATACCATAAACACCTTTGGTGAATGCAGTGTGTTCACCAGGACAGTGGCATCTGCTCTGACCAATTTAGTTAATGCTGTAATTAAACATCACTTGGAAGGATATTCCATCTGATGGTGTGTGTGTGTTTTTTTTTAAAAAAAGGAAAAATAGGCTAGCACAGGCCCTGCTGGCATAGGGCTTCTACATTAATTCCCACTGCTAACTTTATTTATTGCATTTCTCATTTATAGCATCTTTGACATGATAAATGGCAAGCAGTATATTTCCACCTCACCCCCTTTGTTGCTCTAGTACTCCGAAAGCAGAGCTCTGACATAAGTCAGCTTTTTGAAGTCTCCTGCTGCATCTTCTATTGGAGCTACCGCAAAGTCTATGTAAATCAGTTGTTTGTGGCTCATCTAGTTCAAAGCTACCCGTTTTAGCGATTTTCTGCCTCAGCAGATAAGTCAAAAGTTATTCCGTAATTAATATTTCAAATCCCTTTTGTTTTTGAATTAGTGAATCACAAGTTAGTCCACCGAGTATTCCTGCCTGATAATATCCATGCACAAAAGGGTAAATTAAATTATTACCGCCATCCGTGCAAAGGCTGCTGTTTTCAAGCCTGGATATTCTCAAAGCTCCAGAAATTATTTCCGCATAGAAAAGTAAAATGCTATGACCTAGCTGTGTTTGTGTGTGTACACATAGTGCGGTCTCTCTGCCTCATATATTCCACCATAATGCAGAAGAAAAAAACGGAAACTCTCCTGCTTCTTTGCATCCGTCATCCCTCTGTGCATCCCCTCCTTTTTATTGCAGCAGCAGCACCCCCTGCCCTTACTGCCTAGGAATAGGGGAGACTTGCTTATTGCAATCCGCTATAATAATGGGACGCGGGTGGCGCTGTGGGTTAAACCACAGAGCCTAGGACTTGCTGATCAGAAGGTCGGCGGTTCAAATCCTCGTGACGGGGTGAGCTCCCGTCGCTCGGTCCCTGTTTCTGCGCACCAAGCAGTTCGAAAGCATGTCAAAGTGCAAGTAGATAAATAGGTACCGCTCCGGCAGGAAGGTAAACGGCATTTCTGTGCGCTGCTCTGGTTCGCCAGAAGCAGCTTAGTCATGCTGGCCACATGACCCGGAAGCTGTACGCTGGCTCCCTCGGCCAATAAAGTGAGATGAGCGCCGCAACCCCAGTCGGCCACGACTGGACCTAATGGTCAGGGGTCCCTTTACCTTTACTAACATGAACTCAGGATCCTTGTTCTCTACCAGGGATTTTAGACATTGAAGTAGTCCTAGAACATTGCCTTCAAGTGGCCATTCCTCGTATCCCTGCAAAGTTTTTGACCGGTCATCTCCAGGCAGCCCTTTCTTCATTTCTGTTCTCTCTTTTTTTGCACAGGCATCAAGCCATTCAAATGCTCCCTGTGCGAATATGCCACTCGCAGCAAGAGCAACCTGAAAGCTCACATGAACCGCCACAGCACTGAGAAGACCCACCTGTGCGATATGTGCGGGAAGAAGTTCAAATCCAAAGGCACCCTGAAGAGCCACAAGCTCCTCCACACCGCCGATGGCAAGTAGCTCTCTATCAGGGCTGAGACCACCCAAAGCCCTTCCGCAATGGTTTGCATCATATTGCTTGTTTGAAATTGCAAGCTAGCAGCGACTCAGAGCAATGCAGTGGTGCTTCATGGAGTTAGGGTGGCTTGCATAGAAAACCCTATACAAACTTGCGCCGGGGGTGGGGGAGTTCTGCCCCACAGGGCTAATTAGACCTGGCACGGGTTCAGATTTGGCCTGCAAGGTTATTTCCCCCAAGCCATGCCCACCTGCCCCGCAGCTGATGTGATGTATAACATCAGGTGCAGGGCAAACAGAGTTGTGGCTGCCGATGCACAACTGGAAGTCTTAAAGGGCGCTCCTGATTTCCCATTGGAAATGGAGAGCAAGTGTGCTGGGTTCAGCTGCACTGCGGTCATGGCACAGGAAACTCCACTGGGCTTAAGTTACCACTTATTAGCAGATAGGCAGCGACTCCAGGCCTGTCGGATCATGCAACCAATCCTGAAGAAGGCGGTAATTTCAAGGCTGCTTGTCAACTAATAGCTGCTGGCTTCAACCTTCAGCTGATCAGCGGGGCTTCAGAGCGCTTTGCCAAGACCCAGGTGGTGCTCTGAAGTCCTAACCAACATCATTTGATGCCAAGTAATTGACAAGTCGGTGGTAAGGGAGATAAAGACCTGTGCTACGCCATGCCACACAGAAGCCCTGTGCATGGAGTGAATCAATTGGCTCCTTGATATCACAACCTGCCCAATGACGCGTCTAAAAAAAACCCAAAACACCAAGGTGTTAAGATTCCATCTGCTCACACATTGTTACCTCTCACCTTTGTTTCTTTTCCAACACTCTCTAAAGGTGCCTAAATGCAAGCAGTGTGTTTTGCACCAAGTTTTATTATATGCATGAAGAATAGTCAGAGTTGCATTGCTAGATTAGATCAAAGATTCACCTAGCACTTCCTGTCAACTAGCAAGCCACTTCTGTTCTTGGGAGGCTGTTTATGCAAACTCAGCAGTCCCCTGTCCAACATTTTTCTATTCCTTCCTCTTGCCAAGAATGGCACATCAGTACAGAATGAATCTCTGTCCGAGTTTATTGCTGTTCACAGTAACTAATGAAACACAGAGCATGACTTCTAAGTTCAATTAGATAGTGAACGTTCTAAACATCAAGCCTTTTCCCTCCACCGTGTTTTATGGGAACTGTCAGCCTTATGCATAAGCTTCTCTGGAAATCCATCAACAACTTAAAATTTAGAGGAGAAAACTTGACAAGTTAGTATAGATTTGCCTTTTCAACTTGCACTTTGGGGTTCCCTTTTAAGTTTTTGACAGCTGTTGCTGAAAGGATTTCAAACAGAAATTCTCTGTCGTGGTAATGAAGGAGGAGCTGGAGTAAAACAGACCTCTGTGCAGGTTTTAATATGCTCGCATCATACTGAGAGTCTTCCACAGTTTGCAAACAGCTGAGAGTTAAAGAGAGAAGGGCTACCGATTTAGCTTCTAAAAAGAGGCACGACAGATGCTTTAAATGCTGTAAACTGTTCTGCAGTCCAGACTTGTATAGCATAAAGTCAAGCAAATAAATAAATGATGTGAAATGTTAAAAGGGGCATTCGGGAAGAAAATTGCTTGAAGCACTTACGACATGCTCAGGTTTATTTAAAGTTTCTTTTATGCCATCAGGATTCAAAGGCTGTTACTCCCTTGTGTTTGTTTGTTGTCCTACGAATCTAAGGAGTCAATACCAATGTACATAAACCAGGAATTATACAGTTTTTAAAGCCTCCGGCTTTACTTTTGAGTATATTGGGGCAAAGCTAGATGTGGTGTAGGGCATCTATGATCGAGATCTCCTATTGTCAATTTTAAAATGTTGTGAAGCTTAAAGAAGCCACAGGGAAGGGGTTATGAGAAAGAGGGGGATAACCTTTTCCACAGCACCATTTGCCTAGCCTGAATTCTCCACCACATTTGGGGATGGTAGTTTAGATCAGGAAAATGTTGTGGTGGAAGGATTAAAACACCTCCTGACCTATCACTGCTGCCCCAACTTGATTTGCCACCCATGAAAACCTACAGGAGAACTGACTCGTTGATGTTCCCTTGTCACATTTAATTAACCTTTTAGACTGTCCAAAGACCTTTGAAACTGTGGACTTTAAGAGAGGCAAAATCATTCTAGTTTTGCCTTAGGTGGTGATTCTCCTTCAGGACACTTCATTCTCTCAAGTTCATCCCCTCAATAGAACACATTCAAGTGATTTCAGAGATTGCCATCTGAAGGCAACTGACCAAACATGCATCAAGAAGATACGTAAATGGAAACTCAACATAACAGTGAAACCGTATCACAAAGGCGGGTAAATCACAGCTTCAGAAACAAATAAAAGCAGCATTATAGAAACAGAAATTCAGGAATAGCAGGGTTAAATCATGATGGTTGCTACTTCATATCTGTTTTCCTCTGTTTAAATGAGACAATGCATTTGTATCTGAATTGGTTGGTTTTCTGTTTCAGGGAAACAGTTCAAGTGCACAGTGTGCGATTATACTGCCGCACAAAAGCCACAGCTGCTGAGGCACATGGAGCAGCATGCTTCGTTCAAGGTAAGGAGGTTGCTGCTGACTTGGCTGCGTGAACCGCTGTGCTGCCAAGCAGTTGTTGCGGGTGCAGCACATGGCAGCGGTTGAGATACTGCAGCAAACTATGCCCAAGGTTAGAGGGTCCAGATTTAGATGTCCCTGGACCGGCATGGGAAGCTGGAGCCAGAGAGATCCTTATAACTTCTGTCTTCTCCCCCCTCCCATGGGCCAAGTTTGTCAGGTGGGGTTTCCCACCTCCAAATCACCTGGCATCGCGATGACATCTGGTGACCTGTTTTTGCCTGCACAGGTTGCAGTTAAACCATACTGGCACAGGCATGTCTAGAACTGTGTGGGGTGCTTTAAAGCCCTGATATTCAGCTGGTTATCTATTTCTCCTGATTTGATAGGTATCTCTTCTGTACACTTCTCTCCCCTGCCTTTAGTCTTTAAGTTTTGTTTCACTTCCCTGCCCTTAAGCCTCAGATCCTTGGGCTGAACTTTGACTCTCCTGTAGCTTTCGAAGCTGTGGCTCAAAACAACCTGTGCATTGGGGATATTAAAACAAAAGGCCTGCTATTTTACAACAGAAACAAACCCCCAAAGGCTAAGAAGCTACATTCTAGGTGATGATGATGCTTATGCATTTTATCATTGATGTGTTTTAGCCCTCTTCAGGCATTCAAAAGAACACATCTTTTAATGTATCCAGGATTGCATATTTATGCAATTTACTTTCTCCATGCTTGCATTTTTGGGATTCGTCTTTCCTTCCGATATTTACAGAAAGAATTCTAGCTAGCTACAGTTACAATATAATATGATGCCATCTGTATTTTATTGGTTTTGTGGATGTCAGCAAGGCTAAGGTAATTATTTTCTTTTCAGTAATTCTGTCTCGTGCTCTCAAGATATTAGACCAATATTATTTCAGCGAATGAACATGTCCACCTTAAACAGAAACATGCTGGCATTTCTTGTGTGCATCCCAGAATAGATGATGATAAAACACGGTCATTTTGTATAGTTTCTGAGGCAGATATTCCATCTGGTCACCATTCTGGCATATGTTTAAAAAGATGCAAACGAAGAATGCCTGGCCAAAAATTCCATGAACAAGGCGAATTCTGAAGTCATTTGAACCGATTATCAGCACCAAACTATTTAAGTGGCTGGGACATAATGTACTGCAGTGGCTGATGCAAGGCCGAGAGTGGAGGATTGTGTTAGGCTGAGTAAGATAAAACAATAGAAAGTACGTTTCCGAGTACAATTCAAAATGTTGGTGCTAATCTTTAAAGCCCTAAACGGCCTCAGCCCAATATACCTGAAGGAGCGTCTCCACCCCCATCGTTCTGCTCCAACTCCGAGGGCCTTCTGGCGGTTCCCTAACTGCAAGAAGCTACAGGGAACCAGGCAGAGGGCCTTCTTGGTCGTGGCGCCTGCCCTGTGGAATGCCCTCCCACCAGATGTCAAGGAAATAAGCAACTATCTGACTTCTAGAAGACATCTGAAAGCAGCCCTGTTTTTGATGTTTGATCTTTTATCGTGTTTTTAATGTTTGTCTTTTTAATGTTCTGTTGGGAGCCACCCAGAGTGGCTGGGGAAACCCAACCAGATGGGCGGGGTATAAATTAGTAGTAGTAGGCTGAATGGTGCGCACATATAAATGGCACTAGCCTATCAACACCCTCCAGGCCTGTCTCTCAAGCCCTTGAGACTCTCCCCAAGCCACAGCCCTCACTACCCCTGGTGTAGGTCGCCCTCAAGTGCTTTTGTCTGCTAGAATGGGTCCTTGGCCACATACACAGCACCCTTCTAAAAAGCAGCGTTGTACCAACCATGTCTTCCCCAAAAGAATCCTGGGAACTGTAGTTTGTCAGGGTTGCCAAGATTTGCTAAGAAACCCCTATTCCCCTCGCAGAGACGCAACTCTCAGAGTTTCCCAGAAAGAAGAACTGGTTGTCAAGCAGCTCTTGCAGCTGTAGCTCTAGGAGGAAGATGGGGGGGGGGGTCGGGTCTCTTTGCAACCCTCAGCACCCTTAAACTACAGCTCCCAGAATTCCTTGCAGGGAGAGGAGCAATGACTGTTAAAGTGGTATGATAGTGATTTCAATGTATGTTGCTGCTGTGGCTCTGTGGTAGTGCTTTTGCTTGTCTGGATGTGTGTGTGTGTGTTTGTGTGTGTGTGTGTGTGTGTGTACACACACACATGCAGAAAGCTCTTACTTTAGTGTGAATGGAACATAGCCTACAGTTCAGAGAGTCAAATATATTTCTCTGCCTATTTGGCATCTGTCCTCAGCAGTCACTGCATGGTGTAGGAAAGGGTTCCAAAGCCCTCTTTTTAAAATATGGCCTTGAGCTATCACAAGTGATAAATTGAACAACAGCGATTAAAATGTATGCGTGGGCTTTGTGACACCAAGCAGGTACTTAACAATCTCTCACTTCGTTCCGCGTGTGGTCTCTCCATGACCTTCTTTGCATTTCTGTATTTATTTATGTGTTCACTACATCTATGTTCCTTTTCTCTTTTTACCAGCACCCTCAACGTCCTTAAAAATGCAATATTATAAATAATAAACGCATGCTTATATTTTTTTAAAAAAATTGCATGAAACCCTCCCGCTTAATTTTGGTTCGAGAAGCCTACCCTTCAGAATGACAGTTGTTTTACATTTCTCGGCATAAATATCCTTAAATAGAATTTGGTGCCATTTGAAGAATGTTCAGAGGGAAATGAATAACAAATGGTCAAATGGTACAGAAAGATAAAGAGGATCGATGGGCTCCTACTCATTAAACTCAGTTGGGAATTGCTTTCAACTTACCATACATAGTAAAGCAGGCATAGGCAAACTCGGCCCTCTAGATGTTTTGAGACTACAATTCCCATCATCCCTGACCACTTGTCCTGTTAGCTAGTGATGATGGTAGTTGTAGTCCTAAAACTTCTGGAGGGCTGAGTTTGCCTATGCCTATAGTAAAGAAATGGAAGCGAAGCAGATGCAAAACAGTTGATTTTTAAAGATTCGCTGATGGGGGGGTGGGAACAGTTCAAGTTGGCACTCGGCCTACTTAGGCTGTCCAGCTAGATAGTAAACAGAGACACTTCCCATGAGGAAGATGGATGAAGGAAGATGGACTGGGTACCAGTTTTGTTAAATGCTGCACTGATCACCTTGAACAGAGGCACCTTAGCCTGCTTAGAGACTGTTGGGAAGCTACACGTTGATTTTTTGCCTTGGTGCCACCACTTGTGCTATGTCTCCATAATCCATTCTTTGCCTGTACATTTCTGAGCAGAGCTACTTTCACAACCCATACCTTGGAAGACTCTGCTGTTTCTTCTTAAGCATCCTTACCCATCACATGCTGCCCTTACCTTCTCAAGGCTTGAGGCAGGGAGTCTGGACCAAAGCAGTATCTATCGTTCCCCACTAATTGGCTGCATCGCTGGTTACAGTGCCTCTCCACAGGGATGCCCTCAGGTACTAAGGTCCCAGTTACAAAAGATGCCTTTCACCTAAGCACTCAGCAACCAGGGAAGGGTTGCAGATGCAGCAGCTTCCAAGAAGCATCTTCCAAACAGAGGTCAAGTGCAGAGAGTCAGTTGAGTCACCAACCAAATCCAGAGATAAGACCAGGAAACAGTCCAAGGTCAACATCACAGGGAGTTCAACCAAGGCAACTTCTGCCACCAGGGACTAGAAGCCATGGAGCTGTGTTGTTTCTCGCCAGTGGAAGACTTACAAGGGAGGTCTTATATACTCAGGCCTCCTAAACCACATCCAAACCACAGCTGTTGCCAATGAACAGGGACCACTTACTCACGAGTAGACCACCAACACCGGGTCTTGTAAATGCATACTGAGCCATCGCTCTTTGGCCCTAAAAGTGTTTGGTTCCAGTGCTATTGAGGGCTTAGGGGCTGCTTCACTTTCTCCTTGTGGTTCCAGAAGTTCATTATTGGGTATCAACCCAGAGGTCCCCTCAAGGGAATTCTCAGCATTGGATTCAAGGAGCCCTGCCAGCTCCTCAAGGTCCCCAACATTTAGGTCAGGGCTAGGCATGCCATTACCTTGGTATCTCAAGGTTCTCCAAATGCTGGGTTTCCCAGTAACTTTGCAAGGTAATTTGCACTGTAAAAGGTGTCTAAAGTTGGATGGCGGCTAACAGATTGAGGTTGAATCCTGATAAGACAGAAGTACTGTTCTTGGGGGACAGGAGGCGGGCAGGTGTGGAGGACTCCCTGGTCCTGAATGGGGTAACTGTGCCCCTGAAGGACCAGGTGCGCAGGCTGGGAGTCATTTTGGACTCGCAGCTGTCCATGGAGGCACAGGTCAAATCTGTGTCCAGGGCAGCTGTTTACCAGCTCCATCTGGTATGCAGGCTGAGACCCTATCTGCCTGCGGACTGCCTCGCCAGAGTGGTGCATGCTCTGGTTATCTCCCGCTTGGCCTACTGCAATGCGCTCTACGTGGGGCTACCTTTGAAGGTGACCCAGAAACTACAACTAATCCAGAACGCAGCAGCTAGACTGGTGACTGGGAGCGGCCACCGAGACCACATAACATCCGTCTTAAAAGACTTACATTGGCTCCCAATACGTTTCCGAGCACAATTCAAAGTGTTGGTGCTGACCTTTAAAGCCCTAAATGGCCTCGGTCCTGTATACCTGAAGGAGCGTCTCCACCCCCATCGTTCTACCCGGACACTGAGGTCCAGCACCGAGGGCCTTCTGGTGGTTCCCTCGCTGTGAGAAGCCAAGTTACAGGGAACCAGGCAGAGGGCCTTCTCGGTAGTGGCGCCCTCCCTGTGGAACGCCCTCCCACCAGATGTCAAAGAGAACAACTACCACCAGACTTTTAAAGACACCTGAAGGCAGCCCTGTTCAGGGAAGCTTTTAATGTTTGATGTATTAGAGTATTTTAATATTTTTTTTGGAAGCCGCCCAGAGTGGCTGGGGCAACCCAGTTATATGGGCAGGGTATAAGTAATATGTTGTTGTTGTTATCATGCCTGAATGAGGAGTTGGACCAGAACATCCCACATCCAAAACCAAAGCTGTATCACACCATAACATTGCAAGTGGCTCTGTGAATTGTTGTTGCTAAGGCATCTAAGCTGGAATACAAAATCGGTCCAAAGATATTTTTTTTATGACCTTTAGACCATTTAAAGGTCACAGCAGTTTTTATTGTTAAATAGCCAAGCAGGCAACTATGATATTTCAATAATAGGCAGTATTGTGGCTGTAAGAAATAGCCTTCTGAAGATATTGATAGTTCCTTCCCACACACATTTTGCAGGATACGCACTGAAAGACAGATTTTATTGTCGCAGTGTTCTTTTTTCTCAGTCTTTTAACCCTTTTGTGCATGTGAAAACTCCACAGAGCCAACTATATTTTTCTGATAGGACTGCTGAGTCCTGACCACATGCACAAGGAACTGTTTTCTGATGTGGCCTAGTAAAGAGAAGCGAATGAAACGCCTTCCTTACACCAATTACCTTTCAGCCTCAATTCCCCATTGTTAAAATGGGAATATGAACAACTGCTTCTCAGCATTGTTGTGCACCCGAAACATGTTTCAGGAATGTTAATGCCTTGTTATGTTCAATATTCTAGTCAGGAAACCTATTTACATGGATTTATTTGAGGTCTCTAAAGGAAACTTTGTAGGACATCTGTACTGATTGATTTTTGTGAAGTGATTAATTTTTTGTAAAGCACACGATGCAATTCTAACTGGACTAGCTCTGGAGACTGAGTGCCTTTGTTCGGTCAGGGGAAAATAGTATTTCTGAGCTTTCATAGTTCCCAGACAATGATATTTTTTTTGCAGTGGAAACCAGTATACTGATCGGTAAATAGACCATATTGCATTCTTCTCTTCCCATTGTTGCTGACTTCTCCTCAGCATTGCTAGGAAAGTCACTGAAATAGTGCAGACCGAGTCTGGAGAAGAAAGTCTTGAGACCAAGAAACTGTACAAAAATAGTGTATAATTGGAGGAGACAGGAACAGAGAGGTCTTCCTTACTTCAGGCCTTCAACCAAACATACAGAGGAAACAGTCCACCAGCTAATTAGAGGACATGCTACCTCAGTGAAGATCGCGCCACTGCTCTAGGGAGGGCCAGAGAAGATGCAACCGGGGCGGCCATGTTTGTTTACTCATTTGCCTGTCCCAGTCACATGCAAAACAGGGATGGAGGGTGTTTGTCTTACATTTTTTCATCACGAGGGACGTGGATATAGGGAGCAGAATGCCTGGATGCTGAGCAGATGCACTGTCCTTGCACCACACTCTTCTTGTGCACGAGGCTGAGGAATTCCACTGAACGTCCAGTTGGGATAATTGCAATTTATATGTGCAGAGTTGTGCACAACCTTTGCATGTTCTTCCCCCACATCAATTTCTTTTGCTAGTCATTTCTGAATGAGGCATCAGCTCTGTGTTCCTCGTGTCTGCCTGGAGAAGCATGTCACTAAATTAGTACAGGGCATTAATTTTAATGCAGTGTAATTTATTGAGTAGCTGGAAATTCTGCAGTTGTGGGTGGTTTTTTTGCAACTTCAGAGTGAGTGATGCTACCTTGCTTTGCCAATCCATCTTTTTATGGAGGAGACCAGGACTCAGCAGCCACGACACATAAATACTTCGCGGAGCTGTTCGGTGCCAATGAATTTCTGCCTTATTGTGAAACTTTGCAAGGCATAAAAATGTAATACAGTTGGAGATAAGGCATTTCTAAGGCATTGGCTTGCATGTGTTGCTCTAGAAGCGTTACCTAATGGAACAAATTAGCTAGCTAACGTACATATTGAGATAGATTTGAATCTTGCTGTTTTTAAGCCAGAAGCGTAGGTCTTCTGTAAAGTTCTGAAGACAGGAAACAGATACGGCTAATTCATTTCCTTTCTCCTTCTGCAGCCTTTCCGGTGTGCACACTGCCATTATTCCTGCAACATATCTGGTTCTCTGAAGAGACATTACAACAGGAAGCATCCCAACGAAGAGTATGTTAATGCTGGCTCTGGAGAGCTTGCCGCCGAAGCCCTTCTCCAGCAAGGTGACCTGTCTTATTTTGAAACCGTCGCGCACAAAAATTACTCCTTTGAATTAAGACACAATTAAATTTCTTTTGCAGAGAGAGCTGAGTATGCTGTGGCAGAATGTTGTGGCAGGCTTAGCTTTTCAGTGGTGGACAGTGATGGGATTTTGTGTGTGTGTGTGTGTGCTTGTTTGTCTGTCTGTGTGTGTGTGTGTGTGTGTGTGTGTGTGGCACTGTCATCACTTCCCTGAAAGAAAAAACCTGTAGCAAACCTTGTGTGCAAATTGAAAATCCACATGAATGAAAGCTGGAGGGAAGCCAACACCCTCTTGTGGATCGGCCCAGGTTTAAATTCCTACAGAACGCGTTCTTGGCTCTTTCTTAATGGGAATGATGCCATAGGCACTTTTAAAGGAAGAAAGCTGTTGCTGTATTTGAGAAAAGGTTATTTTTTCCCAGTTACGCTTTTTTTTTTTACATTTTGAAAACTGGCTGTGCAGCTGTGATCAGAGTTGGCACCTCCAATCCTGAATGTATTTACCTGGGGTTGTATTCAGTTGTGTCTCTCCTTGTCCATCAGTCTCTGGCTCAGCAGAAGGCATCTGTTACTATAGAATGGGGGGGAGGCCATTTTCGCTGATTCTCCCTTCCCTCTGCAGCTCTCCTCCCTCGCCCACCCTTCACCAGCTCAAGAGAGGCAGGGGACATTTTGGAACAGTGCAGCGGACAGCAGGAGAAAGGGGAGATCTGCAAAAATCAGTCTGCACCCCACTTTCATCCCGCAGAAGAATCCCCTGGATTCACTAGCTCTCTGTCCACAGATGGACATGGTAGGACACACCCCATGGAACTTCTGTTGGTTTCTGCAGAAACAGCTTCACAGGATGACACCTTTGATTTGATGAACTGCATCTCATGGAGCAAGCAAACCTAACATTCTGCTCATTGCTTCAGGGTATTCTTCTCACTGCGGGGAACGGGAAGCTGACCTAGAGATGAGCCTTTGGCCTGATTCAGCAGGCCACCTTCTTGCATTCTTAACCTAGCCAGTTCTTCTCTGCGTCACTTGTGAAACCGCCCTGTGGGTCAAATCCTACTTGGTTAAATGCTTAGCGTTCCTCCCGCAAAGCATTCTTCTCTTGTACTTGGTTCCTGCATACATTTCTCAGTTTCATTGCATCAGCTCAGCTCACTTCCAAATAACTAGCTGAGCATCAGAGTAGGTGCCTGAGCATTTTTCAATCCTTCCTGCTTATGTGAGTTTTTGTTGTTTTGATATTCACTAGAGCCTGGGAAGATAAAAGAGGAAGCAGGGAGGGAGAGGAATTCGAGAGGACTCTTTTCACTACTCCGGGCCCTATCTAATTAAAAACGGGTTTTGCCGAACAACATAGTATCTGGATGCAACTGCAGGAGATGTGCACACTGCACTCTTAAGGGACATTTTGCTGCTGTGCAGTTGGAAATCTGATAGCCCAGTCCAGTAGCTTCTTAAGTATGAAACATATTCAAGGATTCAGGACATTGAAAAGTGTGTAACACTACTGCAAGTGGGGAATTAAAAGGAAGCCAAATTTGATTGCCTTTTGTTGGGAGATGCTGAGCTGTTTGTGGAAGTTGACTCCCTTGTTTTATTTTTGATGGTTTCCAAGTGTTTATCCCCATATTGAACGAAAAAATGCAGAACTTTCCCCCTCCTTAAAAAGCATCTTGCAGGGATTTCAAAATTCGCTTTTTTTTTTTTACAGTAGAATAGATGCCAGACTAACACAGCCGCTCTAGATAATGAATAAAACATCATTCTCCCAAGCGTGACATTTCAAAAAAGCATTTCCAAATTATTCTTTTCTTCTTTCTTAGCTGTTTAAAATAAAATGTCTGCAAAGAATTCACATTTATCGGAAGAGCTAACCCATGTTCCAACAACACAGAAACAGTGACAGAAGCCAAATGCATTCAGAATAAATGCTGTCTGCCCTCCCCCTTCCAATGTTGCAAATATGGGAACTGGAGGACAAAAGCAGGGGTCGGCAACCTAAGGCCCATGGGCTGGAAGCAGCCCACGGAGGCCGTTTAACTGGCCCACGAGCCACCCTGATCTGTGGCCCACGTGCCACCCTGAACTGAGCCACCTGTTTGGTGAGTTCCTGCGCGCTGTGCTAAACCAGCGTAGCGTGGGGACTCTCTTCTGTGGCTCCAGAAAACGCTTCTGCGCATGCCCAGACGCCGAAAATCGCTTCTGCACAAGCGCGATTTCCAGCACCGCTGACATGCGCAGACGCGATTTCCGGCATCGCACTGCGCCGGCCCAGCCCACGGAGGATCTCCATGGGAGTGATCCTGCCCATGCCCAGTAAGCCTTGCCAACCCCTGGACAAAAGCATCGCAATGAGTGCACCCAGATGTTAGTTTCTTTGAGTCCTCCAAACCGCAGTGAAGATTGAGGTCTGCGGTACCTTAGAAACAAATGCATTTGTTGCAGCATGGACTTTGAAGGGGCGCTGTACATCCATTGAAAAGTACGTGCATTGTATTCCAATGGCCCCAGATCCAGTTCCGGTCATCTGCTGCCTGAAACCTCGAGAGCCGCTGTCTGTCATTGTAGACAGTACTGAGCTAATGGACTGATGGTCCGGCCTGGAATAAGGCTGCTTCCTATCTCTGTTGGCATGTGAATCAGGTGCATGGGCAGCCATGTTTGTTTTTCCATGGACAAACGTATTTGTGCAACAGCAGCCAAGAATGCAAGTACAGTGGTACCTCTGGTTACGTACTTCATTCTTTCTGGAGGTCTGTTCTTAACCTGAAACTGTTCTTAACCTGAAGCACCACTTTTGCTAATGGGGCCTCCCGCTGCTTGCGCGCTGCTGCCACTTGATTTCTGTTCTCATCCTGAAGCAAAGTTCTTAACCCGAGGTACTATTTCTGGGTTAGCGGAGTCTGTAACCTGAAACGTATGTAACCTGAAGCGTCTGTGACCCGAAGTACCACTGTATAGAAACAGGGCAAGCCATACATTTGATGGAATGGGGAGCAGTTTCCACTTCATGAACCTTCACAACTTTGCATTAGGAAATGGGGGGGACGGGCTCTGCACAGGAAGCCAGGAACGTATCTATGCACGCTGGATTTATAGTTTCCCCCCTATGATACACAGATGTGTATCTAGTAGCCAGATTAACTTGTTTTAGAAGTTAAAGAGAAAGGAAATGTCAGGAGCTGGAGGCAAGCACAGGTCAGCAATCAAAAGGGGGGGGGACCCCTCCGTGTTAGTGCAGTTAAATCTTTATTGTTGTTGTTTAGTCGTGTCCGACTCTTCGTGACCCCATGGACCACAGCACGCCAGGCACTCCTGTCTTCCACTGCCTCCCGCAGTTTGGTCAAACTTCGAGAACACTGTCCCACCATCTCGTCCTCTGTCGTCCCTTTCTCCTTGTGCCCTCCATCTTTCCCAACATCAGGGTCTTTTCCAGGGAGTCTTCTCTTCTCATGAGGTGGCCAAAGTATTGGAGCCTCAGCTTCACGATCTGTCCTTCCAGTGAGCACTCAGGGCTGATTTCCTTCAGAATGGAGAGGTTTGATCTTCATGCAGTCCATGGGACTCTCAAGAGTCTCCTCCAGCACCAGAATTCAAAAGCATCAATTCTTCGGCAATCAGCCTTCGTTATGGTCCAGCTCTCACTTCCATAAATCTTTATGCAAGAAACCAAAACAGCGCAGGCCCAGCAACCTCTCCCCAGTTGGTCTTGCTCCAAGAAGGCATTTGCACGAACTGAAGGCCTCCGCCTTCCCACCACTTCCCAAGTCTCTTCCTCTCCCAAGTATTTCCCAAGCAGTCGCAAATTGCGTCTGTGCACAACCTGCCTCTGCTCTGCCCTCCTCACTTCTCTGCACATTCTGTGAGACCAGGGGAGAGGTAGCTGGTCCCGGCAGGAGGGGGAGACTCCCTTACTTCTTCAGCAGCCTGCCTCTCTGTCTCCGGGCCTCCCTCCCAGCCTCCATTTCTGCCTCTGAGTCTGAATCGCCCTCTGCCACAGCCTCTTCCTGCTCACCAAACCCTGTCACCTCTTCTGCTTGCGACCCTTCCTCCTCCCAGTCTGCTCCCTCTGACCACTCATCGCCATTCCACCACCAACCCCCCTGGCTCTGAATCTTCTTTCCCTGGGGATTCCCTTGGGGGTTCCCCAGCTGGGTAGGGGCCCCCCAATTCCTCTGCATCCAGCCACTCCATGACAGGAGACCACCTGAATTGTAGATAAAATGAGCTAACAACAGGGCCTGGGCATATCCCTGCTATCTCTAAAATACCCTTCAAAGACAGCCAACCACATGGCCTCCCTGTCGCCAAAAAGAAGGTACCGTGGCCAGAATACAGGTTGTAAACTTCAGGCAGATTTGCCCAGTGAAGCTAAACCTATTAATTATTTTGTTGCTTAAACTTTCCTGCATTTTTTAAAGACAAACTGTAAGGATCTGGAGCTGTAACCATTGATAAGGAAATAGCCCAGGGCATGCAGTTGCATGTAGAGTTCTAGTAAGAAAAGTACTTAATGGAAGTGTTTTCCAGTAAGTTTCCCTATGGGTGTCCTGATGCTGTAGCTTAAACTCAAGGACTGTAAGAAGGAGGTTCACCGTGGGAAGCTGCAGATAGGAAGCCTTCTAAAACGAGCGTTTTCCCATACTATCAGTAGCACAGAGATCCTCGGGGGTTTTCTGGCTGCTTGTTATCTGCGACTTCTTTTCATTTTGTGACCCCTTATTAATGCAATATAGAAACTAAATGTCACATCCAAGCGACCAGTTAGTGCATTAATAGAGTGTGTGTGTGTGTGTGTCCAGGGGGATGGTGGGGAGGCCAACAGTGGAATTGCTCCTTTGGCATTTCAGAAATATGAAATACTCCCAATATGATTTGACTACATGCACGGGTGTCAAACGCAGATAAGGTATGTCATTCAGTGACCTTTCCCCCTCTCTGTATTGCCAAAATATTTAATGAATTGGATGGAAATTAATTTTCTTTAGCTGCAGTGTCAATTAGCTGTCGCACAGTTTTCTGCTACTGGCTCAACTGCATGCTTCCATTTGTTGTTCCTTAATTAAAGTCGCAGTGACAAAGGTGCCCATTTTAATTAGCAGGGTGTTATTGTTACAGTAATTTTAATTTAAAAGAAATAGAGGAAGGTCTTGCGTCTAATTGAGTTTTTATTAAGAGGGTGATATGAAATGAATATTTCATTTCAGATTTGGTAACTGATGGTATCTTTCTCCTATCCTGTGCCAAAGGTACTTACTAGGGAGCCGTGCAATGTTGCATATTAACACATTTGACAGAGAAGCTATTCCAGTTTAGCATAAAATCAAGCAGCCTGCATTGTCTAAAGCGGTTAAAGATAATAATAGGCAGGACTTAGGAAATCCTTGAAGACTAATAAATGTCAGCAAATGAACCTCACTTTAATGAGGTTTTATGAAATGAAATAGAGGAAATTATTCCATTCCGCCACGTTGATGAAGCCCCATCTTGAAAGAGTTTGGCTTGGAGACGGAAAACGTTTGGTGCAAAGACATTTCTGCAACTGATAAACAATGTGCCAGTGGCAAATTCTCCAACGTACCGCTGCGAGATTAGGGTGGCTTGCCACTGCACGAAAGCATGTGGAGTTGGGATGTAGAGACACCATTTATATATGCGATAGTTACTTAGTTCACACATAGACTGCCCCTCATCCAATCAGGATCACAGGAAAGATCATAAGACGTGTCATGGCAGCTCCCACATGCTGAGCCAATTCCACAGTCAGCCAGCGGATATATCACTGGTGTGATTATTAGCCCTTAACTTTGGGGGACAGGATAGCAGAGAAACAGAAAAGGCTCTTATTTCTGATAACTCTTTTTCAGTTTTGAGTATTTTTCGGTATGTTTCTTTCCCCCTCACCCCATGCCCAGGGTCCTACAAAACAGCTCTGGAACTGTTTCCCAGGTTAATAATAATAATAATAATAATAATAATAATAATAAATTTTATTTCTATCCCGCCCTCCCCAGCCGAAGCCGGGCTCAGGGTGGCTAACAACAATAAAACAGTACAACATAAAATAGTACACCTGCATTGTTGATCAGTGCTTGCTGCAAATGACCATTTCACTATGCTGTTCTAGTAAGATACCATAAGATTTTGTGGTTTATTTATTTAAAAAGGAGAGGTACCTTCGAATAGGGAAGAATGGATCAGTGGCCACTGCTGCATTTCTTTTTTCTTTTTAAAATCTGCATAATAATCAAATGCCCATTTCTAAATGCAATTAATCCTAAAATACACATCGCATGCACATTTCAAGATATAAAGTTTTTTTAAAAACTGCATTGCAAAATTAGAAAAAAAAATACAAAGTCTGAATGGTTACTGTGCCCCCAATCACTGTAGGTTGAGACGAGTGGGTCAGGTGTGTCCGTATCAGAATTCACAAATAAGGAATTCCTCAAGCATCCATAACTCAGGGCTATGTTTTGTTCTGCTGCTCAGTGCAAAGTAACATTTCCCACCATGCTGTGCATCCTCCCACCGTGAGATTTCAGAGCAAGATTTCAGGGCTTCTTCTGAATCAGGAAAAAAATAATCAAGAAGCAATTTATTTATTTTTTAATATATCCAAATGGCCAGAGATTTTGAGCACGGAAATAGGAAATAGATTAAAAACAGATTCTTAACTCTGTGTGTAGTAGATTCATTTTTCGTGTTTCTAGTTAAAAATTAGCAAAACAATTTGCGTGTGTGTGTGCGCGCGCATGCAGAATTCACCTGAAATACTCTGCTGCCGGAAAACAAAAATCCAAAAGTATTTTCAGCATCAGTAGTAAAACATAGTAGTTATATAACTGACAACGTGTTGCCGTTTAATGGTGCGTAAAATCTGCTTTGTGCAAATTGGAAAGTAATCATCTATTAAACTTGATAAAGTTGCAACCTGGTAACCTGGCGTGCTGATTTCTTACTGGCATGCTTATGCCTTAATTTATCAACAACGAGAGGCAAAGATTGTGTTGATGAAGTTCATCTTGTTCTCCTCCCCCCCTTTCTTTTTTTCTTTTCCTTCAGGTGGCATTAAGTGTCCAGTTTGCAACTTCGTGTATGGTACAAAGTGGGAATTCAACCGACACCTCAAGAACAAACATAGACTCAGATTGGTCGAGTATGATGGGGAGACAAAGTGGGAGGTAAAGACAAGCTGTGGCAGCTGGCCCTGAAATCTCAAGCATCTCTAGAAGGGTCAAGGTGGGGGATGTAATTGGAATCAAATGAGAATACGACAACATAAGCTGCCTTATGAGATGAAAAAAATGCACTGCCTCTTGTGTAGGCATGCAGAGATGTATGCTATCTGGCAAAAGAATCCTTTCCCCCCCCATTGCCCTTTAAAGGTAAAGGTAAAGGACTCCTGACAGTTAAGTCCAGTCGTGAAGGACTCTGGGGTTGCGGCGCTCATCTCACTTTACTGGCCAAGGGAGCTGACGTTTGTCCTCAGACAGTTTTTCCAGGTCACGTGGCCAGCATGACTAAGCCGCTTCTGGCGAAACCAGAGCAGCGCATGGAAACGCCGTTTACCTTCCCACCAGAGCGGTACCTATTTATCTACTTGCACTTGGACGTGCTTTCGAACTGCTAGGTTGGCAGGAGCTGGGACCAAGCAACGGGAGCTCACCCCGTCATGGGGATTCGAACCGCCGATCTTCCGATCGGCAAGCCCTAGACTCAGTGGATAGGGCTGGTCCCTATCAAAAGGAGGGCTTGCTGTTGGTTCTGAATTCAAATTCGGTGTCAGATGCAAATTCCACTTTCATCAGGCATCTTTGCAACCCCAGCCTGAATTCAAGCCACAGCTGCAAAGGAGTGTGTTTAGAGTATGGTTCTGATTCTTGTTTTGAAATTGAATGGCCTGGTGTCAAATGACACCAGGTGATTGACAGGTGGGCATCCCCTGTGTGCCCCCCCCCCAGTTTTGGAGTCTCTAAACTATATGTTTTTACTGAGTGTACTGAGTGGCTTACTAGGATGGGAAAAGAAGCAAAAGGGAAGGTCAGAGAAAATTTCTGAGTCTGCAGAGGGTTGAAATTAACTGATTTTAATAATTTCCCAAAAGCTCTGTAGAGTGTTAAATTGCGACTTGGATTCAAATTAGGTTTATTAGATGGCCTTGAAGAAAGTGTTGTTTTTTAGCTGTGCTGTGCAATCCTATGCATGTTTTCTCAGAAGTAAGTCCTACTGCTTTCCGTAGGACTTAACCCAGGAAAGCGTGCATTGGATCTCAGCCTTAGCTTCCCCATTTGGAAAGTGGATAATTTATTCATCCCAAGCTACTGCGAAGATAAATAAGATAAAGGTTTCAGAGTACAGTACGTAAGAAGTGTAAATTATGAATTAATGATAATTTGAAAATTAGTTCCAACTATTGATGTGACTGTAAGAATCGTGCATGTAATTTTCAGAATGAATGGACTTAAAACGGTGCTTCTTCGATAGTTAGGTAAAGGTAAAGGGGCCTCTGACCATTAGGTCCAGTCGCGGACAACTCTGGGGTTGCGGCGCTCATCTCGCTTTATTGGCCAAGGGAGCCGGCGTACAGCTTCCGTGTCATGTGGCCAGCAGGACTAAGCCGCTTCTGGCGAACCAGAGCAGCGCACGGAAACGCCGTTTACCTTCCCACCGGAGCTGTACCTATTTATCTACTTGCACTTTGACGTGCTTTCGAACTGCTAGGTTGGCAGGAGCAGGGAGCGAGCAATGGGAGCTCACCCTGTCGTGGGGATTCGAACCACCAACCTTCTGATTGGCAAGCCCTAGACTCTGTGGTTTAGACCACAGCGCCACCCGCATCCCTTGCTGATAGTTACATACTGCAGTAGCTGTTTGGCATCTTTGTGATGTGTGCCAGCTAATTCCCTTTGATCACTTTTTGCAGCCCAAAGCAGAAATTCCTGAAGAAACACAGTATCTCCATATCACGGAAGCCGAAGATATGCAAGGAACTCAGGCCGCAGTTGCTGCTCTACAGGACCTGCGATATACCTCGGAGAATGGTAAACCATTCTCTTTAAGGAGAAACAAATGTTTCGCAAAAGCAGTGTATAAATGCTGAGCGTTCAAAACAAGTCCCTGTACATTAGCGCAGTAATCCTTGCATGGTAATAATTATTATTATTTATACCCCGTCCATCTGGCTGGGTTTCCTCAGCCACTGTGGGCGGCTTCCAGAAAAATATTAAAATACAGTAATTCATGAAATATTAAAAGCTTCCCTAAAGGTAGTACGAGTTGCAAATGTAGGTCTCAGAGTAACAACAAGAGTAGCTAACCTAGAGCCACCCAGAGAGATTCATGGTCAAGATGGCATTTGAAGTGGTACTTGCTGCTCCAGAATTACACCAACATTACGTTGTCAAAAAAAGTGGCTTCACTAGGGAGCGTATTGTTTTGTTTTATCAAAGTTGCCAAGTCCGGAGCGACTCTGGGAAAGAAACGCATATTGGCTGCAACCTGATGCCACCAGCACAGCTTCTTCCCAAATCCTGCAAAGACTTGAAGCAGTTGGGGACAGCACAGAGGCGGGTTGCTTCTGTTCTAACATTGAAAAGAAACTAGCAGAGCAGTCTGAACCCCACTAATGCCTGGTGAAGAGGGTAAGGTGGGGTTGGGGGGGCAGACAAAAGCTCGCTTCAGGCGATGTCAGCCTATAGCTGCCAGGTTTGGGCCCGATGCCGTCAGGTGACAGCAGTGCAGCCCGTTCAGTTGGATCTGACAACTTACTGAGGTCACCAAAGGTAAATGGAACACCTTGGTACCTTGGAGACTGACCAGTTTATCAGGGCGTACGGTCTTATTCCTCCAAAGCAAACTCAGTGCCACCAGCGGGGCTTGCTTCTAAGCATGGTGAGGGGAAAAGACAGGATTCTGTAAGGAACTAGGGAAGAATGTGAAGAGGGATTTGAACGAGGGGTGAACAGGGGAAGTTCTCACTGCAGTGGCATGGCGGAATGTGCAGGAAACATAAGCAAAAGGAGATGAGTTTGAACAGAAGCAAAGATTGGCAAGTTTGTGTTGCTGTTAACGGTTCTCATATTGACATTCTCTCCGATTAGGGGGACGACTTGACCCCACGGCTGTGAACATCCTGCAACAGATCATAGAGCTGGGCTCGGAGCCCCACGACGCAGCTGCTGTCGCCTCTGTCGTTGCCATGGCCCCAGGAACTGTTACTGTCGTGAAACAGGTCAAATCATTTTCCTTTCCTGTGTGTGTGTGTGTGTGTGTGTGTGCATTAGACAGAAGGAGTGGTACTTCTGGCTGTTGTTGTATGCAAATAAACAGTTAATATTTCTAAGCTATTTGAGACCACATTTGTTTAGCTAGACAGCTCAATACTGGGCCGTCCTTGCAGCACCACCTTGAACCACATTTGTTTCTGGATTTGGCATTACGGAATGTGTGAATTCTCTGCCTAAAACCGAATGTAATCAACTTCATTATTCCTGTATATAAAGTTTTGGGGGAAGTAAAGGGCTGGTTTTGATAGATGACATCAAAATACTTATTGCAAGCCTATTATGTTAATGCATTGAGCAACTGGCAGCTCGTGTGAGCATGCAATCTTTTCCCGGGACGGTTCCAGGTCAGGATGGAGGCATTCGCTGCATTCAAAGTCCTTGCATGTTGCAGGTGGGGGAAAGCTTGGAGCATCATTCTTCCACACACATTTTGGCATTCTACGAACAGGAGTGATTTTGACACAGGGGCCGCACTCTCAAACCTTCAATCCCCCACAAGAAAACTGAGGTGATTGCAGTCTCATGAAGCCATGTGCCATTTGCCTCCTGGCTTGCTTGGTTCAGAGTAGCTACGTTTCTTCCAGAGATAGGTTTCCACATTGTGGCGAAAGTGGCTGTTTAAATTGGCCTCTAGGCAAGAGAGTTGAGAAAATTGACCTGCATTCTGTTCCACTTCTGAGCTTCATCATGTAATGAGGTAGCAATCTGCAAGCTATTGGAAGCAGTGAGGTTGCAGAGGTTCTGCTGGGAACTTATTTGATCTGTAGGATTTTGTTAGAGTCAGGAAGAAAAAAAAATGGCTTTCTAATGGAGGTATGAATCTTCCTTCTCACCCTCTTTTTATAATGAGGGCTTTCATTATTCATAAAGAACCTTAAGATCGTGGTTTGCTCATAAAAACACATTTCAATAAAATTGTATGTTTTCAGATACTTGCATAAGGCATTGAGTCCTTGTTATGTACTGTTAGCTTTTATTCTATGTAGGCACCCTGCGAGATAAATTCTTGTGCTAATTTCTGAATGACTTCCTTTGTAGCTTTTGTTTTGAATCTTTGTGTTGGTGACATTATGCTAATCATTTTTGTGTTAAAAAGGGGGGGGGAATAGAAGCATATGATAAAGCAAATATATTTATATATGCAGAAGATCAAGAGTGGGAGGGATTCATATTCCAGGGAGTCCTTATCAAATGTTGAGAAGCTAGACTAGTATAAAGCTCAAGGATTGCTGAAAGGCCTGAGCCATAATCCTGTGGCACCTCAGAGCTACGGAGTAGTGTGATCTCTCTCCCCCCCCCCCCAGCCCCTTTGGTTTCAGTCCAACTGCTGAGCAACAAGCATTGCTTCTGTGACAGATGAAAATGTTGTTGTTGTTTAGTCGTTTAGTCGTGTCCGACTCTTCGTGACCCCCTGGACCAGAGCACACCAGGCACTTCTGTCTTCCACTGCCTCCTGCAGTTTGGTCAAACTCATGCTGGTAGCTTTGAAGACACTGTCCAACCATCTCATCCTCTGTCGTCCCCTTCTCCTTGTGCCCTCAATCTTTCCCAGAATCAGGGTCTTTTCCAGGGAGTCCTCTTCTCATGAGGTGGCCAAAGTATTGGAGCCTCAGCTTCACGATCTGTCCTTCCAGATCGTGCACTCAGGGCTGATTTCCTTGAGAATGCATAAGTTTGATCTTGCAGTCCATGGGACTCTCCAGAGTCTCTCCCAGCACCATAATTCAAAAGCATCAATTCTTTGGCGATCAGCCTTCTTTATGGTCCAGCTTTCACTCCCATACATCACTACTGGGAAAACCATAGCTTTTACTATACGGACCTTTGTTGGCAAGGTGATGTCTCTACTTTTTAAGATGCTGTCTAGGTTTGTCATTGCTTTTCTCCCAAGAAGCAGGTGTCTCTTAATTTCGTGGCTGCTGTCACCATCTGCAGTGATCATGGAGCCCAAGAAAGATGAAAACAGATGAAAATAGCTACACCCTAAATACTCATGGCATAATCTTCCTCTTATTCTCCCTCACCTTTGGCAGTGCTCATTGTATATTGCTTGTGTTGGCTGGGGCACCAGTTCTAGCAGCCACTGCAAGCAGCACGAGGCTCCCCTGTTCAAGGAGTTTTGGTGACTGGCCTACCTCACACTGTCAGCCTAGCAGTTCGAAAGCACACCAGTGCAAGTAGATAAATAGGTACTACTGCAGCGGGAAGGTAAACAGCATTTCTGTGCACTCTGGCATTCATTACGGTGTCCCGTTGCACCAGAAGCAGTTTAGTCATGATGGCCACATGACCCAGAAAAGCTGTCCGCGTACAAAGGCCGGCTCCCTCAGCCTGAAGTGAGATGAGTGCCATACCCCATAGTCGAACTTAACCGTCCAGGAGTCCTTTACCTTTTACACTTTAATAACTGAGTAGCAATGGTACAGGGTTTCAAGTGGGCCAGAGCCATTTGCAAAATTTGCATGGCTGCTTCTGCTCCTTCCCACTCCTCACCTCTTCCTTGCAGTCTCCTTTGTATTCCACCACGTCCCCCAGAGTGTTTCTGCTCAGTAGAAGTGATGACTCGGGGAATCGGTTTGGCAGCCCGAGACAACCAAACTAGCTGAGGACTTGGACAATTCATTGGCTAACCCTACAGAATCTCAATTAAGTTGAGTGAAATAAATGCCCCAACTATTCTTTGTTGCTTGATCCTCAGCTTTCTGAAATACGTTGTTGAAACATGAGCAGGTACATCTAGTGGTAAGGGGCTATGTGTAAGAAACCAAAGAAATGGTGTCCAGGTTCAGCCATCACACATTTTTAAATCACTTTCATAAATGTAACACAGAAGACAGGAGGCTGCTTCGTTCAGGTGTCATATTGTAAAATCATCATTAACCATGCTAGATCTTGACATATATACCTGTATACCTGAAGGAGCGTCTCCAACCCCATCATTCTGCCTGGACGCTGAGGTCCAGCACTGAAGGCCTTCTGGTGGTTCCCTCACTGCGAGAAGCAAAGCTACATGGAACCAGGCAGAGGGCCTTTTCGGTAGTGGCACCCGCCCTGTGGAACGCCCTCCCATCAGATGTCAAAGAGATAAACAACTACCTGACATTTAGAAAACATCTGAAGGCAGCCCTGTTCAGGGAAGTTTTTAATGTGTGACATTTTGATGTATTTTCAGTCATTGTTGGAAGCCGCCCAGAGTGGCTGGGGAAACCCAGCCAGATGGGCGGGGTACAAACAATAAATTATTATTATTATTATTATTATTATTATTATTATTATTTATTGACATATGTAAAAATTAGAGACATCCTAGAGCTATAGAACGTACAAACAGGGGCACCTAAAATGAACCAGGAGATGGACCATCTTCCTTGTTGATAAAGGCTTAGCTGGATTTTTTTATATCGGGGGAAAAGATTGAAAGTTGTTGGCATTCATCTGTCTTGAGAGACAATGGAGTGTGTCCCCAGGGGTAAAGTCAATCTGCTGCATTGGCAACACCGAAGTGACCTCCCCGGGGTGCAAGCCTAGGCAGTGTGTATGGAGGTCCCCCTCTCGACCTGGCTGATGTGGCCCAAAGGAAAGCAGAGCAATATGTTTGGCACCAGCTTGGCTGCAGGAGTTGCCCGAAGAAGGCATACCAGGTGCCATCCAACCACCTTAGGGACTCCACACTGGATTTGTATAGGATTAGCCTTTTCTTCTCCTAAAGATATCCCGCAAAGCCTAGATGAGCTACCTTCCCAGGTGGACGAGCCTCACGTGCCCCTCACTTCCCTATACAGTGGTACCTCGGGTTAAGAACTTAATTTGTTCTGGAGGTCTGTTCTTAACCTGAAACTGTTCTTAACCTGAAGCACCACTTTAGCTAATGGGGCCTCCCGCTGCCACCGCACCACCGGAGCATGATTTCTGTTCTCATCCTGAAGCAAAGTTCTTAACCCGAGGTATTATTTCTGGGTTAGTGGAGTCTGTAACCTAAAGCATCTGTAACCTGTAGCCTCTGTAACCCAAGGTACCAGTGTACAGCACATGCAGAAACTGCCATCTTGAGGTTCTCTTTGGGCTCTGGGGTGGGACTTCTTGCGAGCCAGGAGGGATCTTCAGGGTGCTTCCCATTTCTGGTTACCACTTCCAGGTACCCAGCAGCACGCGTGTGCGTGGTCACACACAAATAGATTGCGCATCAAGCTCTTGCCAGTAAGCAAGGAGGATGCTTCAGGTAGCAGTTGAAAAGAATGTAGGTGCTGCCAGGGGGGAAAAATGGAAGGGCATCTCCAGTTGGCTTGGAAGCTACTGTTGTCTCATTGACTCCCTTATTAGAGGGATAAAGAAAAAAAGCAACATTTTGGGAAAGATGCCCCCAGTGGATCAGTCCAATAGGACCTAAGCAGAGGGGCATGTAAGTGCTGAGTTGCCGTGAAGTGTGCCAACCTGAGAAACACAGCAATTTGTCATGCTAAGAGGAATATAGATAGATGTCTACCAGAGAGAGAGAGAGAGAGAGAGAGAGAGAGAGAGAGAGAGAACAAGGAGCGCCACAAGTGAAAGCAGTTAATCACTTTTCCTGGAATGACAAAACCAATGAAAAACATCTGGATAAAGTCAGGTAGGGAGGCTGTTAACTTTCTTTATTGGCCATTTTCATTTCAGGAGAATATAAAATTGAATAAGCATTCCGTTTGTCGCCCTTGCGCCAAATGAGATTCTAGTTTCATTTCACTTTCGCGTCAGCGGCATTTTTATTTATCTTCCTCTCCTTGTTATTTATTTGTGCATCTCGGATGCATTTAAAATTATGTGCAGCTTTCAACATAAACAAAGCCAATTTCGAATCCCATTCAGGCTACAATATGCTTGCAGGTCTCGGTGAATGCTGGGCAGCGAGGCTTGTTGCCTTAGGAATAACGTGTGTGGTGTTTGCAAACCTGTTTTGTGATACCACCTGGAAAACTAAACAGCCCCCTCCCCCTGCCATCTAAAAAGGCGTTGAAATTCCATCACCAGTGACAAATCTCTTTGGATCCAAACATAGCAGTGAAAGAGGGGTTTGCATACCTATTTCAATGGCCATATCTGTTTTCATTTGGCTACCTGTCTAGATCCAGCAGTATAAATTGTTATATATGTGTAATCTGTGCAGTTCTTAATGCTTGCCTTGGATAGCCCAATACCTTGGTAGGCAGCTGACAGACTCCATGAAGCCCGCTGAGATCCTCTGATTGACCCATTGATCCTCTGGTTTTCTCCCCCTGCACACACACACACACACACACACACACACACACACTTCTCTCCCAACTTTCCTTACAAGTGCTACGCCAGGGAAACGTTCTCCCAGTTGCACCTTCTAGGGTTGCCATATTTTGAAGAGTAAAAAAGAGGACACATTTGGCAACTTTTGACTATGGATCTCTATAACAAGACTCATCATGAAAAAGAGGACGTGTCCTGGAAAAAGAGGACATATGGCAACCCTGCGGGTACATTCTGGTTATCTTTACTATCCTCACATGCTTGCTAATGTCCGCACCTCGTATTAAAAGGCAGCTTAAAACAAAGGGTGGTTGGGGGCCAGCGAGTTAAAGCATGCTGCTCAGAAGTTCCTGAAGTTCCCTGCTGCCGCCACGCCACAAAATAAGCCAGAGCGTGGCTTGCTGTTCCATTTGAACCCAAGCTCATCCTTCTCAGTCAGTAGAGCGTGAGACCCATATTCTCAGGGCAGTGGGTTCAAGCCCCACGTTGGGCAAAAGATTCCTGCAGTGCAGGGAGTTAGACTAGATCAGGGGTAGGCAACCTAAGGCCCAGGAGCCGGATGCGGCCCAATCGCCTTCTCAATCCGGCCCGCAGACAGTCCGGGAATCAGCGTGTTTTTACATGAGTAGAATGTGTCCTTTTATTTAAAATGCATCTCTGGGTGATTTGTGGGGCCTGCCTGGTGTTTTTACATGAGTAGAATGTGTGCTTTTATTTAAAATGCATCTCTGGGTTATTTGTGGGGCATAGGAATTCGTTCATCCCCCCCCCAAAAAAAAAAATAGTCCGGCCCACCACATGGTCTGAGGGACGGTGGACCGGCCCCCTGCTGAAAAAGGTTGCTGACCCCTGGACTAGATGACGCTCGTGATTCCTTCCAGCCCTGCAATTCTGTGGTTCTGTTATTCCCCTTCCCACAGGCAGTAAGTGAAAAACAAGAACTCGGTTCCCCCTTTGTTTGGAGGCACAAGTCTGGGTTCAGGCAGCACAACAAGCTAGTTTTATCCGTGATGCATCAGGAGAGCAGCACCAACAGAATTCAATAATAATAATAATAATAATAATACTTCCCGGACACTGAGGTCCAGCGCCGAGGGCCTTCTGTTGCTTCCCTCGCTACGAGAAGCCGTTACAGGGAACCAGGCAGAGGGCCTTCTCAATAGTGGCGCCTGCAATGTACCGTATTTTTCGCTCCATAGGGCGCACCTGACCATAGGGCGCACCTAGTTTTTAGAGGAGGAAAACATGGAAAAAAATATTCTGAATCAAATGTTGTACTAAACTATTTAAAGCAGCAAAGCGGGTGGCTCCTGTCCGCTTTGCTGCTTTAAAGCGAGCCTCAGAGGAGGGAAGGAAGGGGAACCATGGCTTATCTAAGTCCAGTTAATAATGCTGAGCCTGATTTTATATGCATCTCAAAGCCCTTGACATATATACATTATAATGACAAGCCGAGATAGGCCTCCTGCATAGGAGGAGGGGAGGAGAAGAGAAGAGAGGGAGCCATTATAGCTCAATGGGGAGAGCATGGAGAAGATCCCAAGTTCAGTCCTTGAAAGCTTCTCCAGGTAGGGCTGAGGGTGTGTCTCCTGAAACCCAGGTGAGCCTCTGCCCATCAGTGAAGACAAAACTGAGCTCAGTGGGCTCAGGGGTCCTGACGTGGTACAGGGAAGGTCCCTCTGTTCCTGTTTAAATTAGCCCTTTCTTCAGAACCATGGGGACTACAATCTTAGTTTGTTTTTAAAGGGAACAGCTGTAACCTCAGTGGCTTTGCATGCAGAACACCACACGTTCAATCCCGGCTTCTCCAGGCCTGAAACTCTGGCAAACTGCTACCAGTCAGTGTTGACATTACTAAGCTAGATGGAGTAGTGGATCCAACTCCTTATAAGGCAGCTTCCTAGGTTCCCATTTATGCTTCAGATCTGGGCGTGAGGCCTGCTGTCACTTTTAGTGTCAAGAGGGTGGTTCTTTGCACATCTGGAAGATGACTGTCACCTCCCATCACCCTATTGAAGGTGCTTTTACAGCTCAGGGGAAAGGGCAGGCAGACACAGCATCTGTAAACTGTAGCATCCTGAATTAAGGGAGGGAGGAGAAAGAGCTGATCTTCAGCTTGAAACCAGGACTTGCTCTTTAACCATGCTGCTCCTCCAGCTGCCAATGCCATCCATGTAACCTATGTGAATATCAAGTGTGGGTTGTGTCCAGGAACCTGGGAGGATTTCTTTCACATGAGTGCATGTTTTTGTCTTTAAATAAACAGCCCGTGCAAGTTTCCAGCTCTTATGGCCATGCCTGGCTGTCTCAGTGGAAATCTGAGGAGGCTGAGGTGGACTTTCCAGTGGTCAAAGTCTTCCTGCCCGGCATCTATTTCCTGCCCTCTTTCCCCACTGAACTCCCACACCCTGCTTCAAAGCAAGCTACGGAGGGGATTCCCTCTGCTTTGAAGCAGGAAAGTGGAGTGTAAGCTGCTCCCCTCCCACTTTCCTGCTTCAAAGGGAGCCACGGAGGAGGGAGGGACCAACGGAATCCCCTTCCCTCCCTCTTCCCCAGCTCAGCTCAGCAGCCGCGGCTCTTGCTGGCTTTACAATGAGCCGGAAGGAGGGACAGACGGCAGTCCCTCCTCCCGCCTCCCTGTAAACCCAGCCACTCTACGCAGCTCTTGCTTTAAAGGGAGAGCTGCGCAGAGCTTGTCAGCAGCAGCGGCTCTTGCTGGCTTCGCTCCATAAGACGCACAGACATTTCCCCTTACTTTTTAAGGGGGGGAAAGTGTGTCCAATGGAGCGAAAAATACGGTACTCTATGTGGGGCTAGCTTTGAAGGTGACCTGGAAACTACAACTAATCCAGAATGCGGCAGCTAGACTGGTGACTGGGGGCGGCTGCCGAGACCACATAACACCGGTCCTGAAAGACCTACATTGGCTCCCAGTACGTTTTCAAGCACAATTCAAAGTGTTGGTGTTGACCTTTAAAGCCCTAAACGGCCTCGGCCCAGTATACCTGAAGGAGCGTCTCCACCCCTATCGTTTTGCCCGGAAGCTGAGGTCCAGCGCTGAGGGCCTTTTGGCGGTTCCCTCACTGTGAGAAGCAAAGCTACAGGGAACCAGGCAGAGGGCCTTCTCGGTGGTGGCACCCGCCCTGTGGAACACCCTCCCACCAGATGTCAAAGAGAAAAACAACTACCAGACTTTCAGAAGACATCTGAAGGCAGCCCTGTTTAGGGAAGCTTTTAATGTTTAATAGACTATTGTATTTTAATATTCTGTTGGAAGCCGCCCAGAGTGGCTGGGGAAACCCAGCCAGATGGGTGGGGTATAAATAAATAAAATAATGTTGATGATGATGATGATGATGTAATTGAGTGAGACTGCTAAGCTTGGCCCTATCACAAATCTAACACGTTAATGATTGGTTTCTTCTGCCTCTTCTCCCAATGATCTTTGTTTACTTGGGCTACCGCGTGCCTTTCTTTCCCCCCATGGTCCAGCTAGTTCCCAGCTCTGTGCTGTTTCACAGTCTTATTAGAAACAGAGGATCCAAAGGAAGAGTAAAGGATGGTTGTTTTCAGTAGAGTGTCTTCGCCTGCATGGCTTACCGGTTGCCGCCTGTCACTGCGAGCTGTTGCGTTGGGCTTTTTCACTAGAGCTCCAGCTCCTGTGTTGTCGTCTTTCCTCCTTCGGATGAAATTAAACAGAAACGAAACCCGAATAAAAGATATTCATTCTCCAAACAAAAGAAGAAGCCAGCCTAAATCAATTAAACGGCGCAGCCAGCTTGGCATATACTGATCAATGTACACATAAAATGTCCTTCTGTTGAGCACAGCTGCGTCATATAACAAACCTTTTGGCACAACGCAATTGCATTTTTTCTTTCCTCTAGGAAAAAAATAATAATGATGATGGCTCCCTTTCTTTTTGTTTTACCTCTCCCCCATGCTCATGCTTCATTGCTGGTACCATTATTATTTCAGAGAGCATACTTGCTGGAAATGAAGGGAGCCTTGGGCCATCTGATATTTCCATTACTGGCCTGATGGGCATTAAGTGGATATAGTTTGCAGGTACTCTGCATGTTGTATTTGGGGGAGAATTGATTCCTTCCCCCAACTTTCCATTTTTAAAGACTGTGCATTGGCAATTGCAGATCTGTGAATGAAAATCCACAGTAAAATGGGCTCAGATGTTCCGAGTTACTCGTTTTTAATCCAAAATTGTCCGTTGAGAGAAAATTGTCCCTTTTTTTTTTTTTACACCCAGAGAGTATGTTTCTTGTTTGAACCTGTGTGCTGTAGATGAAATGCAGTTCGTTTTTGCTCCCCTTGGGAAAGTAGCCATTGGTCTGGGAGACCACATGGGGGCTAAAACTCCAGCTTGCCCCATGGGAGGAGGTGAACAGAGAAAGAGTTCCAACAAAAAAAATGATGGTGACCATCCTCTGCATAAATTACATGCTCTGCTGTCCCCCTACAGTGGCTCAAAGCAAAGATAACCATTGCAAGGCTGACAGTCTTAGTGCACACCACTCTGAATAAATATTTGCTGGGACAGAAGGTGTCAGGTGTTGGGGTGTGATTATTAAAACACACTCACTTCAGCATGAATGTCTTCCTGGAATTGTACTTATTTTTCCAGATGATGCAAATAACACAGTGGATAATGCGTTGGTGACCTTGTTTCAGATCCTTGCTCAGCCATGAACCTCATTAGGCGACTTTGGATCAGACATGTTCTCTCCTTCAGTCTTTCTCGTGGTCCTTCTGAGGATAATATGGTCCTTGGGTGGGTGGGATTAAAAATTGATGATAATGGTGACCAGTCTTTCTGGCAAGTGAGCCATGGTGCTGGGCTAATCTACACTGTTGTTCAGATGCATCTCCTTAGTATGGAATTGCTTCTAGTCCATTGAGTGGATATCAATGCGCTGATGTCCCTGTATTCCCCTTGTGGCACAGATTGGCTACCAACTGCTTAAACTCATGGGCTGCAATTCAGCAAAGGGAAAGTGCATAAGGAAACCAAACTCCTCTGTCACCGCCTCGGCTCTGCTGTTCCCTTGCCAGCGATGAAACGCCTGTACATGCTTTGAAACCCTTAAATTTTGGTTATGAATGCACATCCGTTCGGTCTTTCAGTAGTTCAGTATTCCTGGGACTTTCTGCATGCAAAGCAGGGCTCTTCCACTGACCCACATCCCTTCCCTAGTGGGTCATCAGCTGTACGAGCTCATCTGTTATTTAACTGAAGCAAATACTGCAATCTCCTTTAGTACCAATAATTTATGAAATACGGGGCTCGGTCATTTATTCGCACCTAGGTTTCCTTGCTCTTGTTTTAGCAACGTTGCAGCCCCGCCATCCAAAGAAACCCTTTGTAACGTCTCCCGTTTTCTCGCAGGTGACAGAAGAGGAGCAGTCAGCCAACCACACGGTGATGATTCAGGAAACATTGCAGCAAGCTTCCGTCGAGCTGGGCGAACAGCACCATTTGGTCGTCTCCTCCGATGAGGTGGAAGGGATCGGGACAGTGACAGTCTACACCCAGGGGGGAGAGGCCTCTGAACTTATTGTGTATGTGCAAGACATGCAGTCTGTGGAGGAGCAGGTGGAGGAGCAGGAGCAGCCTGGACAGAAAATCTAGATAAAATTCCCAAGGGAGACCAGCCTTCTGGTACCGCCAAACTGCTACATGCTTTGTTTTCCAATCTATATTTAATGTTGGGCAAGAACAGAACCTCCCGCAGCTGCTACTCTATCATATGTTTAGTCTTTGGCAGATGGCGCACGTGGTTGTTGACTGGACTGGTGGCTTCTTCTTTTTGCCAGGAAACGTTTTGGTACGTACTGAGCCATGCGCAGCTTCCTTTCACGTGGCACTGCTCCCCTGCTCGTAAGGAACGCCTGAAGTCGCAGCAAGCAGATCCATGCAGATGGGTGGTCAGGACCACTACCTTCTGGGATAAAAGATATTTTTCCTAGAGCAAGAGGTGAACCAAAAAAAAAAGCAAGAGGAGTCAGTGGCAGTGGACAGCACTTGATAAACGCTAAAATGCGTCCGTGTTATGCACTTTAAGAAGACTGTAGACGGAAAAGACAATTTTAGCAACCGCCCGGAAAGTTCAGATTTTAAGACTTGCCAAGCAACAGGCCCTGCAGCGAAGCTATTCAGAAGAACAGGCTCCATTGGGTTGGGTTCACTCAACATGCAGAAAATGTGGTGGTGTGAATCAGAGCCAGCTGTTCTTCAGTGCTGCTTTCTAAACGGTTTTTCTAAATAGTGTTCAGCATTTTAATCTCCCCTGTAATAAATATAGGGGTTGCTCGTGCGTAAGTTGCCGCCACTCCTGGCTAGGTTGCCTTGTTAAACCTTTTCTGTCTGGACAGCCCTTCACTTCGTGGCTGTTTCAGTCGCTAGCAGAATCCGTCAGTGGGCGTTTCTTAAACCTTTTCCAGCATAAAAGCTGTTTGACGCCAAGTCTCCTCCTACTCTCCCTGCGCGGAAGTCTTCTGCGCGGGGAGGGTGTGGGTAGCGGAGGACCCGTGCTCTTCCCGCTGGTCTCCGGCGAGGAGTCCTGGAGCCCCCTCGCCGATTCCCCCATCTGCCCTCCTTTATCCCTGGTGTTACGCTGATTTCCTTCCCCAGCTGATGAGCTGCCTCTCTCCCTGCTGGGCCCTTCTCCAGCATCGCTTGAGAGCCTTGCCTCTGCCTCTGGCTCCGATGTCAGTTCCCTGACATCCCCAAAGACAGCTTTCCTTCCTTTTGTCACTGTGAATTGTTGAAGACCCGAGATCATTACCCTAAGAAATGTGTTCTCTTTTATCTTGTATCTTTTAATCTTTTAAACCGGGACTCTGTGCCAGTGAGCATGCCACGTTTTTATTTGGATGGGATCTAATCTGACACGTGAGTGAAAAGATCCCACCTCTAAGAGTCTTTCAGATGCACAGTCCCTGCCGAAATGCAAGTGTTTTATGGTTGTGACATATTTTGGACACGTATATTGGAGATATATAGTGGATTTCTTCCTTTTTTTCCTATCTCTGAAGCATTATTTCCTTGTCTCCCCCTTTCCTTTTTTGCAAGCAATAGCAATAACTTCAGAAATATATATTTTAAAAAATCATAGCTTGGGCAGAGTTTTTTAGATTAACACACCCGCTACAGGGTTATGTCTCATATAATATACAATGGATGCCATGTTGAAGCACTGAGAAGTAATACCAAGCCAAAAAATCTGTGGAAGCCACAGTGATAGAATGATATTTCGGGATCCTATTTCTCCCAGCCTGGCAAACGTTGAGCATTTTCTCCAAAACAAAAAGCACTAACTCTGCATCCTTGAACTGCACTGAATCACTCTTCTGTATTGATTAGACACAGGTGATCTATGGAAGTCTTCTTCTTTTTCTATCTACTTAAATAATAAAATAGATATCCGCTATGAGGAATCACCCAAAGTAGAGATGCAAGCATCTCTTGCTGTAAGTAAGGGCTCAGACACTCTGCTCTTGGTGGAGAAAAGGACATGCAATTTGGAGAAAGACTCTATTTCAGGGGAAACCAATGTGGTGCCCTCTGAATGTTTTCGGACTACAATTCCCATCATCCCTCACCATAGCCTCCTCTGGCCAGAGCTAATGGAGTCTTAACAACTTCTAGACGACACCATGTTGGCTACGCCAGCTTATCCATGTGGGTTTTTTTCAGTAGGCCTTGGGGAGTGGATCTAATTTGGCCCTATGTGTTCTGATCTCATGTCCCGTGTTCGGGTTGTGATTTGGACTACATGGCAGTGCTTTCAGCAGAGAACTTATCCACTGGGCTCCACGAACAATGTCACATCTCATTGGGTACCTCACATCTGACATGTGAGAGTGATAATTCCTTGGGCTGTGTCAGGAAGTGGGCAGAGGAGGAATGGTGGAGACCACCTCCCCAGCCTGACCCTTCCAGGGAAGAAGAAGACAGTTCAGAATTACAACAGGGGTTTGAGGGAGGTCACAACTCAGAGGAAGATGAGGGGGAAAGCTGGGAAATAATGGGAGAGGAGGAAGAAGCAGCACCAGGACGGCAACAGCTGACGGACGCAGTGTCTTTAGAAAGCATTCCAGACCCACCATCTCCCAGAACCTGGTGAGCATTGAAAGTAAGAGAGCAAAGAGCTCAAAGGCAGAGGGCACGTTGCAGCACCCGCAGTGATGACGCTTGAGGAAGTGAGAGAAACTGAGTGGGTGGAGACTCACTCGGGACAACACCATTATTCCAAGAGGTTGCATTCCAAAGCTTCTCTCTGTGAATATTGAATAAAAAGCAGATGGTAAGGACTTTTCCTTGTCTTATCCATTCCTGGCAACCTGCCGTGGGGGTGGGGTCCTCTACCGCCTGACAGGTTGTGGGGTAGAGTGCAGGAACGGGCTGACTGTATAGCAGCTATACAGCTCCTGCCTTTTTTCACCAGTGCATCCTTTGTATTGTCATTCACACAAACTGTATTTTGGGGTGTCATCCAGTATGCGAGACCGAACTCTTTCTCATCTTTCTTTTTTTGTAATCTCAAACCCCCGTTCCTCAAATAAATATCAGACAAGGTGAAAATGTAAAACTCCCGTCACTTTTGAAGGACCACATTTATGTATATTCGGTGCGGTGTCCTAAACTGCATGTGGGGAAGATACTGGCTTCAGTCGAACCTACACATTTCTGCTGTAAGTCCATCTGCTACAGCTGCCTATGGCTCCAAACTTGGTTTTATGTCGCATCCCGCAAAGTAGCGATGGTTTAAATGGCATGGCAATGGATGCACACAAAACGGACAACAAGAAGTAAATAAGGATGAAATAGATATGGAAGAAGAGATGATGTAGCAACAGGACGAAGAGATGGACATATGCTTGTAACAGGAGTGGGAAACCTGATTTTATTTTTTTTAAAAGAAATTGTATTAAATTACATTTGGATGGATTTGCAATAATTTGGAAAAACCAATAAATAATAATAAATAATAAAAAAGACAATGGATGCACACCAAACAGAGAAATGACCTTTTAAAATTAGCTATCCTGTCTCCAGTAGGATGCTTGATACGAAGATGTAAAATGTCTCCTCCTGTTCCTGCACTTTTGTTTTGAAATTCTGTATGTACACACAAATTATTCAGGGTGTAAATGGCTATGTGATTCGTGAATCAGATACACAAACACTTCTAGGTTAAAATGGGAAATTGCCTTCTGAACGCACTGAAATTCTACCCTTCTCTAAAAGCCTGATATGTGATCTCTAAGGAATTGTTCTTGTTAATATGTACAAAAACAGTCATGTTTGCGAGTGTAATGCTCAGATGGCTTGAATGACTGTAAATAAGGGAATCTGAACTAAGAGATTTGTCATTCTTAATGCTTGTGACCAAATTCATCCCAGAGTTAAGCATGGTTTCAAGTGACTGAAGCATGTCTAACAGATTGTGGTTCATTACTTCATCATGTGCATCTCATTTATTTTGGGGAGGGATAATCTTTTTTTATCTGCACTTCAAAAAAAATTTAATAATCATGTGCATCTCATTTATTTTGGGGAGGGATAATCTTTTTTTATCTGCACTTCAAAAAAAATTTAATAACGCAAGTCTGTTGCGTTCTGTTCAGTTAAAATTAGACAAATTCAGCAAGTATTCTCCCTGCCCTTAAAAACAAAAAAATTACCCAAACCAATAAATCATATTTTTTTTCAAGTCTTGAGTTGGCTGAAGGGTGTTTCTTTGCAATTAGGCAGACCTGTGAAAACCTTAATGTCAGAAGCATCTCTCCTTCAGGAACCAGCCCACTTGGAGCTTAATAGGATCAGTATATCTTTGGCGTCAAGAATTTCAAGCTATGGAAATGTGGATTGGCACATAGACAGGTCCGGTGTGGTGACCCAGTGCACAGTAAAAGGGTTGCTATTGCATTGGAAATGGACATAAATTGGCCATCCAATTGGGCCAACTTAGCACTAGTCGATTGCTTTAACCCTAATCATATGCTGACCAAAATTCCATATGGCACAAAGCCTGGAGGAAACGCAAACATTTTAGAAGACTTTCTGTGCTAGCTAATTATCTGGCTTTTCCATCGCACTTGTTGTTTGACCATTCAGAAAAAATGAATACACTGTGTTGGGGTTTCAGTGTGATTTGGGGGAGATTCTTTCTTTTGATGATAAGGTTGGTAGCTGTATTTCTCACTGTTCCAAATGCCAATTAGCTGATGGAAGCCAGGTTGAACTGAAGGCAATATTTGCAAGTAAGGTAAAATGCTTGCCCATTCATTAATTGGAGGTAAATGGGGATTGTTCATTATCATCTAGACGCGACGCAAAGAAAACCGGGCTAATGCAGCAAATGAATTTGTATTGTGGTTTCCAATTAAACTTCATTGTTCGTTTGCAGAGATTACTCTTTGCTGTAATCTGGAAAAGGAAGAGTAACAGCTGCAAAATGTGTTTCTCTTTTTTTAAAAAAAAAACAAAAACTTCAGCTACTCTATCTACAGCCCATTTGCCATTAAAACTGCATTTGGAGCAGTGTGTTAAACGGTAGCAAGATTCACACTATTAGTAGAGAAACCTTTCTGAATCAATTAAGCAATTGACTGTGTTAATATCTGGCTGCAGGGGTGGGATGCGAAAACTAATTTGCCATGCATCGCTTACAAATTTTCAAGTAAATTATTTTCAAATTGACTCTGCACTTCCACTGTCCGTGACAGGTGTAATTTAAAAGAAAAATTCTAATATATCACTGTCATGCACACCTACCGCAATTTAAGGCTTGGCTTGTTTGGAGCCTGATAACAGTAGTTCTGCTTCCTGCCGATTGAGGATGGAAATTATTGTTGTTTTTTCCTGACTAAATGTGATGCATTTTACAGACGGAAAGCCAAACAGTAAGTCTATGCAAATATTACCTTTATGACTGCTCTGAATGCAGTAATAACATTTGGCTTGGGGTTTTTTCCACCCCGTGTATGTTTTTGGCAAAGATTTCTTCTAGTCTTCATTCTGTTCTACTAATAACTTCCATCCTCCCTTATTTGTGTGTTTAGTACATCTGCCATAATTTGATGCCAGAGAGGGCTATCTGTGTTAGACTGTTTTAGGCACAACCAACAAAAGGTTCTTCATAATCTCAGTGCAATCCCACATATAAGACTCCACACCCTCTTGAGTAGATTAAGAGGGATTTACAGGCCCAGGATCATAGAATTGTAGAGTTGGAAGGAACCACGAGGGTTATGTTGTCCAACCCCCTGCAATGCAGGAACCTTTTTGTCCAACGTGGGGCTCAAACCCACAACCTTGAGAGTCATGCTCAACTGACTGATCACCCATAGGCTTCACAAATGGGCAATATAATGGCAAATGCAATTCATTGCAAAAGAGTGTAAGGTGATGCATATTGAGGTCAAAAATATTAATTTCATGTACACCCTCATGGGTTTGGCTTGGAGGTGATGGACCAGGAGTGAGACCTTTGAGTCAGAGCAGTTAACTTGATGAAGATGTGTGGCAGCTGTAGAAAAGCTGGAAATCATTAGGAAAGTAAAATACAATGGCCAGTGTCATAATGTCCCTACCAAATCTACAGTGTGACCGCATTTAGAGTACTGTGTACCATTCTGGTTGCCTCACCTCCAAAAGGATGTTGTGGAGTTGGAAAAGGCTCAGAAAACAGTCACCAAAATGTTCAAGGGGATGGAGCGACTCCCTTATGAAGAACGGTTGCAGCATTTGGGACTTTTTAGTTAAGAGGAAAGGCGAGTAAGAGGAGGAGACATGATAGCAGTTTATGAAATCATGCATGTCGTGGAGAAAGGGAATAGAGAAACGTTTCTCTCTCAACACCAGAACTCATGGACATCCAAGGAGGCTGAACGTTGGAAGATTTAGGGTGGGTAAAAGAAAGTCCTTCACACAGTGCATAGTCAAACTATGGAACTTTCTCCTTACAGGAGGCTAGGTGGCCACCAGCTTGGGATGGCTTTAAAAGAGGATTAGACAAATTCATGGAAGAAAAGGCTTATGGCTACCAGCCATGACAGCTATGCTCTACCTCCACAGTTGGTCGCAGCAATGCTTCTGAATACCAGTTGATGGAAACCCTGGGAGGGAAGAGTGTTCTTGTGCTCATGTTCTGCTCCCTGGTTTCCTGCAGGCATCTGGTTGGCCACTCTGAGAAAAGGATCATAGAATCATAGAATCCTAGAGTTGGAAGAGACCACAAGGGCCATCGAGTCCAACCCCCTGCCAAGCAGGAAACACCATCAGAGCACTCCTGACATATGGTTGTCAAGCCTCTGCTTAAAGACCTCCAAAGAAGGAGACTCCACCACACTCCTTGGCAGCAAATTCCACTGTCGAACAGCTCTTACTGTCAGGAAGGTCTTCCTAATGTTTAGGTGGAATCTTCTTTCTTGTAGTTTGAATGCTAAACTAGATGAGCCACTTGCCTGTTCATGACTCAGTGGGGTTTTGAACTCTGGCTTAACTTGTAGTCTGGCCCTCTGTTGTTGAACTACTGCTCCCATCATCCCTTTCCTCTTCGCATGCTGGCTGAAGCTGATGGAAGCTGAAGTCCCAACAGCATCTGTAGGGACAGGAGTCTTCGTTGGTCAGGTACTTACCCTCACAACCTTTTCTGAAGAATGCCTACTGTGTCGTCGGTATGTGGGCTTAAGAGAGAAATGGAGACTGGAAGGGAAACTAAAAAAGCATAAACTACACAAGAAAGAACGAAAGGGCAGAGATAGAGAGGGGCGAGGGTTATTTTTTCCTTTAGTTTTTACTGAAGAAGGAGCCAAAAGAGCAGAATTGAACCGACTGCTGGGATAAGCATAGAAGCAAGGGCTACCTGCAAAGGGAAGCATACTCTGTGGTTTAATAATAATAATAATAATAATAATAATAATAATAATTTATATCCCGCCCTCCCCAGCCAAAGCCAGGCTCAGAGCGGCTAACATCAACTGTATAATACATTAACATAAAATCAGACAATTAAAATACATCCTCAAATCAAATCAGGATCAGAATAAAATCCAATTGAATGGCAAAACGGAAATTAGGGTTGGGGACCTTAAATGCTCACCAGGCCCAACTGTTTGTGCTGAACTTATATGGGCCTGTGAGAAAAATTGGGAGGCCACTTTCATGCAAGTTCTTATGAAAGGGGAGAGGGAGTCAGACTGAACCCCGACCAAAGGCCTGGCAGAACAGCTCTGTCTTGCAGGCCCTGCGGAAAGACGTCAAGTCCCGCAGGGCCCTAGTCTCTTGTGACAGAGCGTTCCACCAGATGGGAGCCACAGCCGAAAAAGCCCTGGCTCTAGTTGAGGCCAGCCTAACCTCTCTGTGGCCTGGGACCTTCAGGATGTTTTTATTTGAAGACTGTAAGTTCCTCTGTGGGACATACCAGGAGAGGCAGTCCCGTAGGTACAAGGGTCCTAGGCCGTATAGGGCTTTAAAGGTTAAAACCAGCACCTTAAACCTGATCCTGTACCCCACCGGGATCCAGTTCAGCTGGTATAGCACCGGGTGAATGTGATCTCGCAGCGAGGACCCTGTAAGGACACCCTCTGTCCCCGACCAGAGAGAAACGAGCGCAGCCATTGAAGGACTGTGCCCTGGATCCCCACGTCAGCAAGGCGGTGGTCCAAGAGTTCGTGATCGACCATGTCGAAAGCTGCTGACAGATCAAGAAGAATCAGCAGCCCCAACCCGCCTCGATCCAGCTGCCTACGGAGATCATCTGTTAGGGCGACCAGAGCCATCTCGGTCCCATGACCAGTGCAGAAGCCAGACTGGAATGGATCCAGGGCCAATGTTTCATCCAGAAACCCACAAAGCTGTTCAGCAACCGCTCTCTCAATCACCTTACCCAGGAACGGAAGATTCGAAACCGGGTGGTAATTGGATAGATCTAAAGGATCTAATGATGTTTTCTTTAAGAGTGGGCGCACCACTGCCTCCTTCAATTCCCCTGGGAATGTCCCGGTGCCAAGGGACAAATTGATGATATCCCCTAGGGGGGCCCGCACCTCGTCTGGACACGCTCTAATCAGCCAAGACGGGCACGGGTCAAGAGGACAGGTGGTGGGCTTTCCAGCTCAGAGGAGTCTGTCCACATTGGCTGGAGATATCTGGTCAAAGTGGTCCAATACTGGACCCAAGGACAGTTGAGGGGCCTCCAGTTCCTTTATTGTATCCAAATTGGCAGGGAGGTCATGGCGGAGCAACAGGACCTTCTCCGCAAAAAAGCTCGCAAATGCCTCACAGCTGTGTGTCAAATTATTATTTAAATTTGGTTTGGGATGGGCCTTTGCACCTAAACATCTTCATTCGCCTAGTCCTAGAAAGGCCGTGGTACAGTATATGCTGTGGGTGCAAAAGGGTCCAGTTTCAGTGTCTGGCTTCTCCAAGAAGGTAAAGCAATGTCCAGGATCTTGGGGAGCTGTCGCACAATGAGTCAGACCACTGGGCCTTCTGGCCAAATGCCACCCACAGTGACAGAGTTTCAGAAAGGATTGCCACCCGAGTACAGTGATACCTCGAGTTACATATGCTTCAGGTTACATACGCTTCAGGTTACAGACTTCGATAACCCAGAAATAGCACCTCAGGTTAAGAACTTTGCTTCAGGATGAGAACAGAAATCGTGCTCCGGTGGCACGGCGGCAGCAGGAGGCCCCATTAGCTAAAGTGGTGCTTCAGGTTAAGAACAGTTTCAGGTTAAGAACGGACCTCCGGAATGAATTAAGTACTTAACCCGAGGTACCACTGTACCTTCTCCAAAAGAGAGACCTGTGCCTCAGCATAATTTAAATTGGCCAATTAAATAACACTGAATTGATATTTGCCTTTTAAATGGATTAACCAATTAAATTTAAACGTGTGTATATTCTCAATAGAGTTTTGTTATTGAGATATTGAAATAAGTGTTAGTTAAATTGCAATTTCATTAATAAAATGTACCACTCATTGTTCAATGGAAAGGTGATCTTTGAATATGTGTACTAACTTCCTGTTCTGATAACAACACAGTCTAGTGGCTCTTGTGAAGGGGTTCGCTTCAGAAAAGTACATAGCTTTGTCAGCTACAAAACAGCATTTCACTTGACGGTAATTTACACTGA